AATAATCGGCGCAGTGCACCGCGCGGCCGCAGAGCCAACCTGGCAAAGCCGCACCGGCAAAGCCGGCAAAGCCACATCAATGCGGTCAGTGTTCTGCCTCTCTCTGCCTCTCTCTCCCTCCCTCTCCCTCTCCGGCAATCGTCGTCCGAACCGCAGGGGTGCGAGAGGGACAGAGTGAGCGCTGGCAGCCCTTGGTCGGAATAGTGGAGTATCAGTCCGCAGTCGCGGCGTCCCCGTGCAGTGCAGGGCCAGCACGGCCACCGGAATCAGCAGAAACCGAATAGCCAGCCCGGCGTGCATGGCGTGCATGCACTGCAGCGAAGCACGCTGTTGTGTCCCCATTGCGGCGGCGAAGCACGGCGAAGTGCGGTGCCAAGCAAAGACGCGTGCATCGTCGCGGCGAAAACGCGACAACCCGACCCAAGCCTCACCCACGCCCCACCCACGCGCCGCCACACTGTTACCGCATGCCTGCGGCGCTGCGGCTAGCTGCGGCTCGGGTTCGAGTGCCGGCGGGGGCGTGTAGTAGCGATGTAGTCGTCACGTTGCCGTCACGCGTTGCCGTCGGGGCGGCAGCGTAGGGCAGCACGGCTCGGCGAGCTCACCACCTTGTTATCCTGCAGCCGAGTTTGGCGGCGAGGAAGGGAAGGGGTGGCGATGGGTTAGGTCTCGGTGCGCAGCGCGCTACGCGCTGTGCAGCACTCGCGGTCCTGCGTCGGGTCGCTGCGCTTTTGCCGACTGCGTTATGATGACGTGCTCCAGGCATCGCTCGCGCCCATCTCGCACCTCGTGCACCTCGCGCCGATTGCACTCCCGCATAAGCACCGCGCAGGCCGATTCCAAGTGGGGAGCCCCTCTCTCTCTCTCTCTCTCTCTCTCTCTCTCTCTCTCTCTCTCTCTCTCTCTCTCTCTCTCTTCTCTCTCTCTCTCTCTCTCTCTCTCTCTCTCTCTCTCTCTCTCTCTCTCTCTCTCTCCTCTCTCTCTCTCTCTCTCTCTCTCTCTCTCTCTCTCTCTCTCTCTCTCTCTCTCTCTCTCCCTCACACACACACACACACACACACACACACACACGCAGACTCATGGGGCGCTCCGCACGGCGCGAGAGAGACAGCCTGCAGCGTGATGGCAGCCGGATGGCGGACGCGGATGCACAAGCAGGGGGCCGTGGAATCGGGGACGGGGAGGGCTGTTCCCGGGGTTGTTCCAGTTCGTCAGGCAGCGAATCCCAGTAATCCTCGCATGCCCGCGGCCTGCACACCAACACGGCGGGGTGGATGCGCAGGAAAGGCGCAGGGCGCAGTGTATGGCGGGGCGCAAGGGCGTACTCGGCGTGCTGCGTGCACTTCGCCCTCGTAATGACGTTCACGTCATGCACACCGTAATGCGGGCCGAGGTACGTGGCACGGGCTGGCCCGAAAGCACGGGCGAAAAGGGCGTCCAGAGCGGTCCGTCCCCCCGGGACGCCTTCGACTGTCGTTGCATCCACACCGAGGGCAAGACGGGCGCCGCGGCGCACTGAAAAAACTGTTTCAGTAGATTCTACTGAACGCGTTCAGTAGACCCCTCAGCAGTATATTGTAAGGAGCGCGCAATACCTGCTACTGTTTGAGTGGCAGTAGATTCTACTGAACAGTTCAGTGCGCGCCGTACAGTAAATGCTACTGCAGTCCGGTGGATGCTACTGCACCTTAGTCGTCGGGCCCCCACCCTACACCTCCTCCCCCGCCGGAGCCCTCGGCTCCACCCGCGCGCTACCCCCTCCTCGCTCCTTTGGAGACGCACTGGCGCGCTTTGTCCGGGCCGCACGACACAGATGTGCTTGTCTACCGTCTCCGGAGGCGAGGCCTTCAACGCGCAGGCATGGCTGAGTAGTACAGTCATGGCTCTGTGATCGGGCGGCCCGGGTTCAACTCCGAGTCGTGGCCGTCGCAGTTCGTCGCAGCGAGCCAAGTCGAAAGCTAGGATTGACGAGTGTGGAAGGGGAAAGGGGGTGGGGTGAGGCTGGGCGCGCCCCCTCCCCCGACTGCTTTTGGCCAGCAGTCCCATTTACTGTACGCGACCAGTAGCATCCACAACAATTTTGTAGTTGCGTCTACGGAATGGCCGTTCCGTAAAATCTACTTGAATTCCCAGCTAACGATATTCTACTGTACGGTTCAGTAAGAAAAAATGTTATGTCCGTTGGATATACTGAAATTTTTTTTCAGTGCGGGAATCTGGCGGGGAAGTTCCCCTCCATATCTGCACGCGCTGCGGGCGGCCGCCCATCCCGCCGCCCCCGCGGCCGCCCGCAGCGCGTGCAGCCGTGCGGCGTGTCGTCGCTCTGTATCTCTCGCACCCCCTTCGGACCGCCATGCCTTGCGCCATGCCGCCTTCTGCAAGCGAGCGGGACAGAGCGCGCGCGCCACGAGTTTGGAATCAACCTTGGAATCAACCTACAACTGCAACGAGGGAGGCGGACTGCGGACTGGAGTCCCTCCATGGATGGGCGGGAACAAGTGCCGCTTCGTATCGGATCTTCATTTCCGTGCTGCCAGTGTCCTGCTTCTCGCGGCACCGCTCACCGCGCACCCGCCGCACCCGGTCGCCAACAGCGATACCAAGACCACCGTGGCGGCCCGGCTGGGGGGCCCGGCGCCTGCAGGCTGATTCGCAGTGTCGGAAGCGCGGAAATCAGTCTGCTGCCATTCTGGCGCATTCGGGCGGTGCTCGCCCGCCACGGGGAGTCAGTGTCATTCCCCCCCTCTCTCTCTATCTATCTCTCTCTCTCTCTCTCTCTCTCTCTCTCTCTCTCTCTCTCTCTCGCTTTCCTTCGGGAGGCCCCATGAGTGCGACAGAGACAGGACTGCGCGCAGGACTGCCTGCCGTCCCTAGGGTCCTGTGGCATATGACCCCGGCCGCCGAGGTAAAGGTTCCTGCTCTTTGTACGGACGGTATGTCATGTTGTGCAATGCAAGCATGGCAGTTACCGGGCCCGAACGGCAAAGGATCATTTGTGGTCTAGCCTCTCAAGTTCAAGTTCAAGTTGTCCTTCCCTGCAGCAGCGATAGCGCCGTGCTGGCGTGCCGGCCCCCGCCCGCCGCGCCGGGGAGAGCGCTGGGTTGCCTGTCGACCGGGCGCTCGCAACGTCGCGGTAGAGTCCTAGAGTGGGAGAGAAACGCTATACCTTCCGACAGCGAAATCTGCCATACTTGTCATTTCCGGACCGCTGGTCTTGTTTCCGGCCCGTCTTTTCCGCCGTTTCACTCGGGAAGGCAGACGGCAGACGACTTATTGTTTACGTTCGGGTCGTTGGCCTGTCGGGTGACATTAGCGAGTTGCGAAGGTACGTCTTTTCGCCACAATGGTGTTTGAATTCTGGAAAACGGAAACCGGCTCAGCGGTCCGGAAATGACGAGTATGGCAAAGTGCGCGTAGCATTTTCGCAATTGACTTTTCTCTCCCACTCTAGGACTCTACGTCGCGGGGTGGCGGTCCGACAGCGAGCTCGATGGGCTGCCTACGCACCCGGCGCTCGAGCCAACGTCGTCGCACTGCCGGGCTGCCCGCCCTCGCATCCGCTCCTCGCGCGACTGGAGAGCAACGCTGCAAGGAAACCCAAAAATGGGAAGAAATCTGAGAACTTGGAAAAACAGAATTTGCTCGGTGGCATCCCTGCAAGCCTGGAGGTGAAGTTTGGCGCGGCAGAGCGAAGGAAGCTAAGGCCAACGAGCGATGCTATGCCGCACTCCGAGAGCTCCCCAACAACAGCTCCTCGTTCAAGTGACTCCTTCGTTATACCCACCTCCCCTTGTAAGCCCCCTTTCCCCTTTAAAGCGATAATTTGTCGTCTATCTGCACACGGACTGGGCCCCGCACGTTCGGGACAGGCAGCAGGGGGCAGGGCCTGTGCTCACCCTCGCTCGGGAACAACAAGCAACGAAGGTCATGGCGGGGCGGGGCGGGGGCCCTACACGCTATCCTGACAAGTGCACGGCCGTCCAAGCCTTCCCGCGGGGCGATAAGGGAAGGGGGAGGCCCCGTCCCATGTCCCATGTGCCATGTGGTCCTTATTCCGGCTCGCAGCTCGCAGCGCGCCGTCGCGTCGCCTCCGCCTCAGTGCACCGCGCGCGTCCGGGGTTCGAATACCAGCAGAGCGGAACGGCGCGTCCCCCGCGGCATCGAAGCCCGGGCCGGGGTTGCGCTTCTGACTTCTCACATTGCCGCGTAAGGACCTCGCTGACTTTGCAGCTACGGATGACTCTCACGACTTTACTGCCTAGCGGAACGGCCGGCCGATAGTCAACGCGATATTAGGTTCATTTCATATTTCTATCCTTCCTCCCTTTTTCTCTTCTCTTTCTTTTCCTCCTACTGTTCTCAGCAACCTCTCTGGAATGGGTACCCGGATGTTAAACCCTCAGTTTCCCAACGCAGTGTGCCAGCCTCGCGTATTATCACGCAGTTTTGTTACGATACAGCATGTGACTACGGAATCCATCTCGTCCGGACATTCAAACGGTTTGACAAATGTGTTTTGGAGCTAAGAATTCTTGTGATAATACGAGATAGATGTAACTAGCGTGGAGATGAGAGATCCTGCATTCCAGAGTCCATTGGGTCAATTCAATCTATTCTTTTGTGTTGCCATGAGCTCATGGTGTTGGCACTGTGTTCCGCAAAGCACGGAAATGTTGATGATTTTTATTTATGTATGAATAAAAATCGGGAGCGTCGTGGTGAATCGCGAAGACTTTTGAACCCGACCGCCAGTTCCCGCCAACCCGCTTTCCCGCCCCAAGGCGTTATTCGCAGGTCGCAGGAGCCTCTTGTCTTCTCTTACAAGGCAGTGCCTACTGCCTGTCAGTTGGCGACTGCAGACGACGTGACGACCTTTATTTTTCCCCATGGAATACGTTTTTTACTGCGTCCCGAGGTAAACGTTGTTCCGTTTCAATTAATTTTGGGTTTCTAACGTTGGTAATGTTTATAGGAATCAGTTCTAAGCTTCTGTTCCAAGTCTACCACAGACTAATAATCATGTAGCTCAGGGCTTCTTTTCAACTTTTTGAAACAGTTTTTAGATTTTCATTTTTAAAAAGATAGTTATGTTTTAAGGGAAAAAGACAGCATTCATTTCGGTTTGGAGACTTGTTTCTGAGACTCGTCTTGAATTCAGGGGAGTGCATGAAGCAGCAGGTGGGATCGGTTTTCCCATACTATGCCATACACTATGACTCACAACTTCACCAATTAACCTCAATAAGTGTTTAGGGCTTTTATTTGTTATTTTAAAATCAAACGGCTTTAGATTTGCTCCTATACTTAATTTAACCCCAACCTCCCTTAGTAGATGTTGGTTTGTACCACTTGAATTTATGCTCAAGAATCTATCTTCAATTCTAACCTGTTGTTTCACCACAACAAATGCATTCAAGTACAGAAAATATAATAGCTCGTTTTAATTTTCTTGACTCAAGATTTACATTTGCTTTCTACATAATGTCAAGCATTATGCCTGTCTTCTGTTGCAGTTGTCTCCATATTATGGACCTCTGATCTTTTCACATCATCAACCAAGAATGGGTAAACTACTAAGTCTTCTGGCACGAGATGAGTCTACTTGCTGCTCCCCTCAAAAGTACGATGTCTTCCTGGACTTTGAAAGTAAGTCTCAAATGCACGTTCCCTCTTTGTTCTTCTCTTCTTTGAGCCAAAAGCTGCCTAAACATAACGCCATTATTCTTCATCACAGATGCACAACCCACTGACAGCGAACGAGAAACATTTGAAGAAGTTCAGCGGGTGTTAAAAAACTCAGAATCAATTTTGGATGAAATTCAGTGTTACAAAGGAGCAGGAAGAGAGATTCGAGAAGCTATTGCTAATCCAACAGATGATTATCAAACTAAAGCTTGGACTGCAGTCCTTCCTCTTGTGTCAAAACTGAAGCGGTTTTATGAATTTTCTCTAGAACTTGGTGAGCATACCGTTTGCGTCTTTCACATCTTGTTCCTTCTTTCTTGTATTTTTTAAAATAATTATTTCTTGCAGAGGCTGTTGTCCCAAAAATACTGTACCAATTGTGCTCGGGTCCCATGGCACCTACACAGCACCTGGAAACCCAACAAGCACTCGTTAAACAATTTGCTGAAATTCTTGAATTTGTTCTTAAATTTGATGAGCATAAGGTTTGTAAAAGACAACTGTATCTATTGTGTTCACTTTCTTGAATCATCTTTAGTGTAATTTAATACCAAATTTTCTTTAGATGAAAACACCAGCCATTCAAAACGACTTCAGCTATTATAGACGAACATTGACCAGAGAGAGGATGTCAAGCTTGTCTAGTTTGGCCAGCAATGAAAGCATCGATGTGGATGAAAGAGAGGTGTCCAATGAGCTAGCCAACCACATGTCCCTATTTTATGCACATGCGACCCCAATGTTGAGAACTCTGAGTGAAGCTACCACAAAATTTGTTACTCAGGTAGAAATCACATTTAATGTGCTAGTCATTCTTTTCCAATTATTTTAAGTATGATAAAATTGATAAATTTTCCATGTTATTTCAGAACTCTGATATACCCATAGAAAACACAACAGAAACATTGAGTACTATGGCTAAAGTCTGTTTACGTATGCTTGAAAGCCCGTGAGTTTCTCTTTGCCAGACAAGTTTGTTATTCATGCAATAGTAGTTGTTCCCTTAACAAATTTGTGCTTTTTGCAGGAACATTATTTCACAGTTCCAGAGGGAGGAAACACAGCTATTTGTTTTGCGAGTTATGGTTGGCCTGGTCATTCTCTATGACCATGTGCACCCGAATGGAGCCTTTGTGAAAGCAGCAAATGTTGATGTACGCCTAATCAGACTTGAGTACTAACAAATAATTTTATTCTTGCAATCGATCATGTATTTAACATACTTTTGTTTGACCCATAGGTAAAGGGTTGTGTCAGATATCTTAAAGACCAACCTGCTGCTAGATCTGAAGGTCTTCTGAATGCCTTGAGGTATGTCTTTATTCAGTGTGTGTTTTTTATGTTTTTTTTTTTTGTTTTATTTTGCTTTGATGTTATTGTGGTTCCCCGTAATGGTAATTTTATTTTACATTCTAGGTACACCACCAAACATCTGAATGAAGAAGGCACACCAAAGAACATAAAGAACCTTCTAGCAGTGTGAGAAAAGTTAAATTTATTTGAATCATTCACAAAGCATTTCATTTATTTCAAAATGAGCTTGCATACACTTGCTCATGTCAAAACAAGCTCTTCTTGCATTTGAAAACTCCACAACTCACCTATTCAGCAATGTTCTCTTTCTGTATTAGCACTTAGACAGATTTGGTAATCCCGGTAATCCATTACACTTGTTTGAGGTTTTCTTTTTGTCAAACTCAGGTACTTGGGTCAAAGTTTAAGTAACGTGAGGAAGTTAAGACCTTCCTCTCCTAAGATCCATTTCATGTTGATTGGCAGCTGTGCCAATTTTAAAGAATATTTATAGCTTTAATTATGAGTGAGTTATTTGAGAGTTTTATTCATTAATATAGATGCAGATTTGGGGATATATCCTCATTTCTCTATGTGATCTTAATTCTTACCTGGTTGTGAAGTATTTGTATTATTGCCTCAAATTAGAAAAGAGGAAAAGTGTTCATTTTTTTATAATGTGTGGACTGTAGGGATTGTTTGTTCAGGATTAGGTAATACATAGTTACCACTTGACAAAAGAGCAAATAGTTCATGACAAATTTACTAGTAGAATTTATTTTTTTGTTTTATCTTTTAATTTGTTTGTAATCAACAGAAAGTTCAAATGCATGAGAATTTCCAAACAGTAAGGATAGTTTGTGTAAAAGCAGTACGAAGGACAAATGGAAAGGCACAATGTAAGCAGCATGAGCGTCAGGAACAAACAATATTTTCCATAAGATAAACCTAGTCGGATGAATTCTACTTAATTCTCAAGAGTTGCTTGTATGTCCAATAATATCTCACTTCTCAACAATTTCTCTTTTTATGGCACTTTGACTCACTTGAACTGTGAGCAGGCTTCTATTAACTTTCTCTCTGCATAATTATGTAACCTATTAACTAGTCCTGGAAGCTTGCCTACCCCTGTAAGTATTTTTATAATGTATTATTTGAAGTCTGGCATAAACAAATAATGCGCACAAATATTGAAATATGTACCGTATTAACAATGTACTGTCATGAACTTAGTTTTGGTTGTTAAGCTTGTGCTTTCTGAAATTTTTCAGCTCATTATTTGTGGTCCAAAATTTTACAAACTACTGTACTTGAAACCATTCCGCCATCCCTTTATGGTTCAATCCTCTGCTCAAACATAAACATGAGACTTGTTTTTTTTTGTTTTGTTTTTTGGTTGAGTGTACAGTATGGTGTACAAGCTAATGTATTTGTTTTGGGGCGTGGAAATTTCATTCCAAATATCTAATCATTATACCTTATTGTATACCCTTGAAAGTGCCTAACAGGTACTTTTTTTTCTAAAGTCTGGTTTTGTTTAGAAATGTTAAAATTTATCTACTGTCCAGCAAGACCAATTTTACCTGTGTTTAATTCACTGCTAAATGTGTAATCTTCATGTATTCGACATTGCATTTCTATTAACATTGTCAGCAGCCCCTAGTAAAAAAATATGTCTTCACCTGGTTGTTTTTGTCTGTCTCCTATACTTAATGTGTCTTGATAGTTTGGTATCCAGTTTTATGAAAGGCTCACTCAGGGCTGATTCAGAATTTGTAATATCTACCAAATTAGTGGTGACATACGATCACTGATTATTTTTGCCGTGTTTGTTTGAACGATTGGTGTGTTTTTTGTGTTAATTCTGAATTTTGCTTGAAAAGTATTTCAATCTAATATAAAATACACTAATATCATTACCCTAATGACTTAGTTGAGCATTGCATCTGGGCATCTGGCAAAAGTTTGTGATGAAGACTTTGACTGTTTGCTTTGTGATGCTTAATTATGTAATACAGATTTTAGTCAAAGTTGGTTTTGTCAACATGTATCCATGACCAATTTAACATGATAGATGTTGGTTTTCAGTGGGTCTACAATTATCTTTATATAGCAATATGTTAATTGTTCAAACTAGAGATGTGAGGACATGTTAGATGTCTAAAAGTGTATGTTGATTTTTTTTAAAGACTGCAATTTCATGTGTCACATCTCTAGTTTAAAATAATTTATCACCAGTTTTATTATAGTTCTATTGATAGTTAAATTACCACACCACAACTAATGTTTTGTTGGATTGTTGGTTATGCTTAAACAATTGAATTTGTGCATTTACACTTGATTCTTCTCTCTGGTCTTGTCTGGCTTTATTACATCATTCCAGGAGTAGTTTGTTAAGCATGCCTCTTATTCCTACTCATGTAACATGTCCTCAGATTTTTATCCTAACTTGTTAACAAAAAAACATTATGTGTTCAGTATTTTGAGTATCTACTTCCATTTTTTCTGCCTGTGTATAAATTGACAGAACATCTATTTGTGATTTGTACAATTGATCATTGATCAACATTGTTGTAAGTCTGACTAAATCTAAGCTTTACTCAAAATTTAGGTAAAGACAATTAAAAATTTGTGGGGAAAGATGAGGTGCTAAGCTTGTGGGGCTTCCGCAGTGCACATAAATCCAGCATTGTATATTTTTTAGCATGTGAAAGATGAGCAGGCCTAGTCCTGATTCTCGGTGTGAGCTCTTCCAAGGATGGAATGTTGAGTTTGAATTTACTAAGAAAATCTATGTTAGAGACTATATCTTTTAATTTGACAAAGCACTACACAATGATGTCGTTAACAGGCTTCCAGATACAAATTGTCAAAATAAATCTACTTATCAAATACACTTTACCTTTGTCATTTCTTCATTAAATATTTAAACCGCTTTCCTGCACCAATCGCTTGGATTTCACCCCATTTCCTCCCTTGTTTCCGAGCATTAATCAGCTCTGAATCAAAAGGGAGGAAGTAACGAGGCTTTCCCAGGGAAGTCCGCCGCAGCGTGTCTCTTCCCTTCCGGTGCGAGTGTGGTCGTGTGGTCCGAGCGTCTGGTCCCCAAACAGTCCGCTCCGTTTAGTTCTAATTGCTAATTGCTCTCCACGCGCTACGCGCAGCGCGTGTTTGGGACCGTCATCTGGCCATCGAGCGCACAATGCCACTTCCACTTCCTCTGGCGGACGGTGGCGGTGCGGTGCGGCCACAGCGTGGCGAGCATGGCGACACCGCGGGGACAGTGCAGGTAGCAGGAAGGGGTTCCCGCGCTGGCGGTGCAGGCCCCGCGGATGGTCGCGGTCCCGGCGAGTCCCCGCGGGGGCGTGCTCCCGGAAGCGACAAATGAAGGGAAGGGACCAGGCCGACCAGGTGCCGTCAAGCATGGGCTGCAGCGCCGCAGCGCGCACGTTCCCTCGCGTTTCGACCGTTTCGGTTCGGACTGCAAAGCGTTTCCTGTCGACCGGCCCGGCTATCACCGCCGAAATCGCACATCGCACGCAACGCGCCCGAGCGCAGCCGCGTGGTCGGCCACAGGATGGCACGGCACTTGTCGAATCTGCAGAAATTTCATTCCCCTGTGGGCTATGCCGGCTACACACAAATACGCTATCCTATGTGAAGCAAATGCCCAGCCCTAAGAGGGGCAACCCTCATGGGCAGCCCATATCGGCAAACCAAGCGCCTGCAGGCAGGCAACTCTAGACGCAGGCGTTGTCTCTGAGAACGCCTGCAGATAGGCAACCCCACAGGCAGGTAATGTATCTCAGAGCGCCTGCAGGTAGGCAACGCCATGGACGGGCGCTGCCCTGGAGACCCTGGAGTGCCCTGGAGCCGCGCTGGGCAGCGCTGTGGATAATGGAAGGGAGAAGGGAAAGCGTGAACAAAGGCAGAGTGGAGCCATCATGACGGAAAGCGGAAACGGAGCGGGCTGCTGCAGTTTGTAGCGCCTAGCGCCGCCGCGCCACAGCGCGCCTCGCCCGGCCGGCCCGGCCCGGCCTCGCCGCCGCGACGTGTCATGTCGCCGCTTCGCCGCCAACCCGGGGGACTGTCGGGACTGTCGGGAACGGCTCGGAGCAGAAACAACAGCAGGCTCATTCCGAACGGCGTTCCATCGCTCCGTCTGCGTCGCACTCATGGAGCGTTCCGTGGGGGCGCGAGGCGCGCGAGAGACGGAGCGACCTGCAGAAGCCTTGGCAGCAGCCGCCCGCGGCGCGGCGCGGCGCGGGGACAAAGCGGAGCGCGGCGCGAGCGCCCTTTGTCCGGGAACAGGATTCCGCGAAAGGGGAGTCGCAAGTCGCACCAGCGCACCAGTCGCACGACCAGGACCTGGCCCTGGCCTGAGATGGTGGTGGACCGGGGCGCCAAAACGGCCTCCGGTTGGATGTCGGACACTGCTGGCGCGAGCGCGCTGCCGCCGCTGCCCTGGGGGGACTGTACTCGGTACTCGCCTCCCCGTCCCCTCTCCCTCCTCCCCGCAGGGTACCGTATGACTGCACTCGCCTGCACTCGGTACCCGCGCGCATGCTCCGCGCTCTCCAGCGGCACCCGCGGCACGGCCTGGAGCCTGGAGCTGGAGGCGTGCATTCTCTCCAACAAAATCTGTGTATACACCAACATGATACCAACAAACACACGCCGCGACGCCGGCTGAGACAGCGTCGTGCAGCAGCTCTTGTAGTGGCTGGATTTTAGTGAAACAAACATTCCCTCTTCCGTTTCGCCCTGATGCAGCTCTGCTTCGTGGGTATAGGCTGGGCTCGGCATCTTCCCACATCTTGGGCGCGGTTGCGTTGCCGTGCGAGCGCAGTACTATCAAGACCATACGAGAGGATTGCCCGTGTGTTGCACTTTGTGGCACTTTGTGGCACTTTGTTGCAGCGCGCGGCCGAGCGATTCGGAAGAGTCGTATCAGCGCCCTGTCTCTGTCGCACTAGTGGGACACTCCGTGCAGCAGGTGCGAGAGAGACAGAGCGGCGAAACACGACTTCTCTGAGTCTCACGGCAGGTGGAATGCACGGCCGATGGCGGAGCCGATGCAGGGAACCGGCCGCAGCAGCAGCACTTGGAGCGCGATCGCCGGAGTCCGGGGACCGGGGACCATCATCGGGGACCCGTTTCCTCCGGCAGGGACTCGGGGGACGGGGACGCCGGCCGGGCCGGGCCGGGGCCGGGGCGACGACACTGCCAGGGGGGCGGCAGGCACGGCAACCGTGTCGCCCCGTCGGCCCCGTCGGCCCCTCGTCGCGACATTGTCTGCCGTGCCCGCGCGGCGCACTGTGCTGTCACACACGTCGCGGCGCACAACAAGCGCGCCGCGTTACAGCTCGCCTCGCCCCGCCTCGCCTCGCCTCGCCAGCGCTCCTTCGGGATGCGAGAGCAGCAGGCAGAGGCAGAAGGTGGTGTTCCCGCTAGCCAGCGCAGCCAGCGTCCCGAAGGAGAAAGGCCGGGCCATCGGATGGAAGCGATCGGGAAGGGAAGGCGGAGGGGGCGGAGGGAGATGGAGAGGGGGCGTCCCCGCTTCATGCCTTTGTTATTGTTGTTGTTGGCGTCTCTGTCGCTCCGCCGGCGCGCCGCGTCTGTCCTCGTCGCACCGATGCACTCACTCGGTGCAGGCCGGGCCTGGCCGGGCCGCTGCCCCGCCCCCTCCTCCCGCCGCTCGGCCCCACCGGCCCCACGGCGTCGCGTTGTGGTGCCGGTGCCGCGGCCGGCGACCGCGCCGCGCGGCGCCGCGCACCACCGCGTCAGTACGGCGGGAGACTCCAACGCGCAGCGACGACGCCCGACGCGCTGCCGGCTGCTGGTGTGTGGCGTCTGCGGCGGTGCGGTGCGTGCCTTTGCCTTTGCCCGTTGGAGTGGCTGCGTGCGAGTCGCTGCGAGCCGCCTGCGGAGGTCGCCGTGTTTGTGTTGGAGTTGAGGATTACGACGTGACAGCTCAGAGCCGCTGACGCCGCGTAGACACGACAGGTGAGCGTCCACAGTGCGTTCGGAGCCCCACGCGGATCACTAGTAGTCCCCCAGTCGCTTCCGCTGGGCGCTGCGGCTTGAAGGTTCGAAGCGTCGCGGGGCAAAGCGGTCTGCTTCGGCGGGGTCAGGGTGGCCTTCCCCGGGGCGCTTTGGCATCCACTTGGAGGGCCGAGTCGAGTCGGGGCCGGGCGGTGCCGGTGCTGCCGTGCTGCCGGTGCCACTTGTTGGGCAGCAGGAGCTGCGACGGCGGCGCCGCACTGCCGCTCCCTCTCCCCCTCCTCGCCCACACGGCGGCCCGCCCGGCCCGGCGTCCCGGTCCCGATGGCCCGAGCCACGGAGTCCAGTGCCCTCTGCCCTGACCCTTCCCGCACCGGCCGGTCCATGTCTGGGCCCGCGTCGCGTCGCGCTGGGCGTGGGGCGTGGGGCGTGGGCCTGCGGGCCGACTCCGAACAGCGTGCTGCGTGCTTTCGGGGCGCTCTGTCTCTGTCCCTCCCGTACTCGAGGGGCGGCCCTGTAAGGGGTGCGAGAGAGACAAAGCACTGCCAGCCTGCAGGCTATAGCATCAGCATCCCGTCACTTCATCGACGTCCGACTTGAAGGAATAACCAACAATGCGGCTGCCGTACCACCCCCAGTAATTAGTCACTTAGTGCACTGGGGCCGGGGCTTGCTTGGGCTTGGGGCTCGCCGTGCCGTGGGTGTTCCGTCCACTCCGGCGGACGCTGACGCCGTGCCCGGCCGCCCCCCGGCCGCCCCGCGGCATTCCTGGCCGCCGTAACGACACGCGTGTAATAGGCTGACCCGACGAGTCCGTCGAGTCCGTCTTCGTGCTGGACGGGCCGGACGGGGCGCCGCGGGTACTACACGAGTACCTCGAGTACACGGCCACGTGTGTCATTAGGGCTCGCTGCCCTGCGCACCGCGTCTGCGTAATCACATCACGGCGGGGCGGGGCGGGGCGGGCTTGCTCCGTGGTAATGAATACCCCGCGCATCCTGAATGGCCGCGGGAGACTCTTGAACTGCGCTGTCGTGAATGGCAACGTTCGGCGCCGCCGCCGGGCACCTCGGCAACGGCAACCCGCATGACGCGGCCGGTGTCGAGCTCGTGTGACTGTGACCGCCGCCGACAGGACGCGGTGGTCGTCGGAGCGAATCACTTATCTGTTGAATGGGCGCGGCCCGGGCCCCGGCCCCGTGCCACGGCCAACGCCACGGCCAACGCCACGGCCAACGCCACGGCCAACGCCACGGCCAACGCCACGGCCAACGCCACGGCCAACGCCACGGCCAACGCCACGGCCAACGCCACGGCCAACGCCACGGCCAACGCCACGGCCAACGCCACGGCCAACGCCACGGCCAACGCCACGGCCACTCCATCCTCGACCTGCTTGGCAGCCTCGGCACGTTGTCGTAGGTGTGTGTACCCGTTCCGTGCGCTCGACGGGGGGCCACGCGCCCCACCTGTTGATTGGTCTTCCCGTGAGTGTTCTCGTTTCTTGTTGTGATCCAAGGACTCCAAGGCCTTGGTCGTCTTTGTTGGCCTCGGCCCTTACATCGCTTTGGTCATGCCGGCCGGCAGCCTGTCATCCCGAGAGTGCGTCCACGTCTAACCATCGTCCGTCCCGGGCCGTCCCGGGCCGTCCCCGGGCCCTGGACAAGGCCGGCCGAAGGGGAGAGCTGGAAGGGAAGGCCTTTTTCTAGCTGAGTCAAGCACCGGAGGCCGGGGGCCGGCCGGACAGCGCGTCGTGGTGAGAACCCGACAATAGGCAAGCGGGAGGAAAAAAGAAAAAGGAAGAAAATTGAAAATGGAGATTGTCCTGTCTTTTTATACCTTTGTTCCGTCCTTGAGTAGAACAAAGAAGGTGGGCAGTCTGATTCGAAACTGGAGCTCGACACCGTGCCACGCCACGAGACGCCCAGCCCCTAGCTTGAGCCAAAGTTGTGTCCTGGGCCGCGTGAAAATGTCTTGCCCACCTTGCGGGGCGCACTTCATGAAGTACTATGAGGTCGGGTTGAGAAGTACACGATGAAGCATGGACGCTGGCTCTACCGAAATTGTTTGGGATGACTGTACCATTCCGCAGCGCTGCTCCCATTTCCTCAGCCGTTTTACAGTTGTTCTGGAGGGCGGGGGGGGGGGGGGGGGCGTCGCGGTCGGGGAGCTGCTGCGCTGGTTGCACCGTACGCATCGGCGTCCGCCGGCCCTGCCGGCCCCGCCCCCTTGCTTCGCCCCGCTCCGCCCCGCTCCGGCGCGCGGTGCAGCGCGGTGCAGCGCGGTGCAGCGCATGCAGATGGTGTGGGAAAACACTGGGCTGGGTGATATCCCTCCGCGCCCTCCGCCTCGCCAGGCCCTGCCTTGACGATAACAGCGAGGAGGGCGGCGGCAAGGCGCCGACCGCCACTTTGCTGCGCTGCTACGAGCTGGACGTGCTGGATGGGAATGCACCGCACCGGATTCCTCTCCTTGTTAGACTTCACGCTGCGGACTGATTCCGAGAGTCGTTTTCGTCGCTCTGCCTCTCTCTCACTCACAGGGCGTCCCGTGTGGGTGCGAGAGAGACAGAGCGACGAAAACGACTCTCGGAATGAGTCTGCTGCTGGTGGCGCCGCGTCGCCGAGTCCTGTCTGTCCTGGCGAGGCAGAGCCTTTTTCGGCTTTTTGCCGGCCTTTTCCGCGAGTCGGGCCGCAAAACTGATTCCGCACGGCGTTTCGTCGCTCCATCTCTCTCGCGCTCACACGGCTCGCACCAATGAGAGCGAGAGAGAAAGCGAATTTCGGAGTGAGCCTGCTGGTCGGTACACCGCACACGTGCGTGCCGCGTCGCCGCGTCGGACGGGGAAGGCAGCAAGCTCATTCCGAGCACCACTCGCGTCACTGTTTCTCTCGCACTCGTGGGGCTTTCCGTTAAAGTGCGAGAGAGACGGAGCGACAGGATTTCGTTTCCAAAGCAGACGGGTTCCCTTTCTTTGGACAAGTCGCACAACATCGCTGCGCTGTGCGATGAGAGGGACGCGTTGAGGGACGAGAGGCGCCAGCAGGGAGGCTGCGGGGCCTGGGCCAAGGCCTGGGCCTGCTTGGAGGAGGTGGCGACGGACTTGTGCTCGAGTCCGTGGCGAAGCCAAGTCTAGCTCCACTGAGTGGCCGGGCGAGCGTCGGGGGGGTGCTGCATGCTGCGCTGGAGAGCAGGGCTCGCCGTGCATCATGCCGCGCCATGCCGCGCCATGCCTACGCTGAAAAGCCCTTCCCGACCCTTCCCGACCCGTCCCGACCCGTCCCGACCCGTCCCGCCTGCTCGCCATGACAATCACGATCACGATCCGGAGCAGCACGACCAGGCCCTGCCGTGGGATGATGCCGATGTCGATGTCGTCTCGCAGCGCTCGGCCCTTACCTCCGCAATCTGGCCGTGGAAGTGAGGCGGGCAGCCGTCGTCCTGCATGCGGTGCTTCATGAGCTGCAGACGGCAGTGCGCGCTGTAAACTCGACCGCAGAGAGCAGAGACTCCCCCGGCGCGGCCGCGGCAGTCTTCTTGGAATGTTTACGAGTGTGGGCCGCCACCGCGCCACCGCGCCCATCCCATAGGCTGGCGGCCCGCATCGGTGACGTCACCGTGACCTCACCGTCGGCCAGACCGTCTCGCCGGAGTCATCTGGGCTGGCAGCGATAGGGAGACGGTTCAGCCCGCCGTCCTGCCGCCAACAGGAACATGATACCGACCGACATAAAGCCCTTCGCCGACGCACTTGATGCCAAGTAGACTTGCATTCACACCCGAGTCGAGTCGGCGCGTCCCGAAGTCTCGGCCAAACAAACAGTCCACGCATCGCCGAGTCGGCGCCGGCGCGCGCTAGCTATAGCTATAGCGTAATCTTGGCGGTGCGTCACCGGGCGTCCGGCTAGCCCCGCAGTCCCCGCGGGCTCCGCCCCCGCAGGCCGGCTAGCGCTCCACCTCGCCCGAATCGGCCTCTAGTTTACTCTACGTATTTGCGACGCGTCCTCCTCTGCCTGGATAACCTACCACCGCCCATGTTACTCCATGTTGTTGTTCTTGTCCGCAGCGGCCATGGTCACGAACGCGTCGTCGGCGCAGTGCCACGACGGGCTGCTGCTGCCCTTCCTCGACGAGACGGGATGGCGCTGGGAGGTGCGCGGCGTGCTCTACCTGCTGGCCCTGCTGTACCTGTTCCTGGGCGTGGCCATCGTCACCGACATCTTCATGGCCGCCATCGAGAGCATCACTAGCAAGACGCGCAAGGTGTTCATGGCCAAGGAGCGCGCCAAGAAGGTGAGTGGAGGCAGCCCGGATGGCGCCTTCGCTGCAGTCTGGTTCCGAACAGTGCCTCTCGCGTCCCCAGGGGCCCCAACAGAAAAGAGGACTGTTCGGAATGGGCCCGGCGTGGCTGCTTTGGCGGCGCGTTGACGGCCTGCTTCTGGTTGCAGAACGGCAGCTACAGCTCGGTGGGCGGCGTGGTGGCGGGGCTGCGGGAGGACGAGCCCGAGGTGATCGAGGTGCGCGTGTGGAACGACACGGTGGCCAACCTCACCCTGATGGCGCTGGGCACGTCGGCGCCCGAGATCCTGCTCGCCACCGTGGAGATCATCGGCAACGGCTTCAAGGCGGGCGAGCTGGGCCCCGGCACCATCGTGGGCTCGGCCGCCTTCAACCTGCTCGTCATCACGGCCATCTGCATGCTGGGCGTGGGCGCCGAGACGCGGCGCGTGGCGCGCATCAAGGTGTTCGTGGTGACGTCGCTCTTCGGCTTCCTGGCCTACGTGTGGCTGCTGGTGGTGCTCAAGCTGGTGTCGCCCAACGAGGTGGAGCTGTGGGAGGCCGTGGTCACGTTCCTGCTGTTCCCCGTGCTCACGGTGGTGGCGTACAGCGCGGACCGCGGCTGGTGCGGCTTCGGCCGGCAGCGCGGCAACAAGCGCCAGCTGGAGCTGGGCCCCATACAGCCCGCCGACGGCAAGGACGGCGAGACGGAGAAGATGGTGCGGGAGCGCAACCTGCTGAGCGACGGCAAGCTGGACAAGGACAGCCTCGTCGCCTTCGTCCGCGAGGTCAAGAAGTTCCCCGGGCTCACCAACGAGGACGCCGCCCTGCTGGCCGCCGCCAAGTAAGTGGAGGGATGAAAGGAGGGGAGGGGGCGTTCCCCTCCCCAGCCCTTTGCGCCACCGTCCGGCTCCGACACCGCCTTGTCTTTGCCCGCAGGGTGAACGACGCCCACCCGCACTCCAAGATGTGGTACCGCATCGGCGCGGTGCGCGGCATCTCCGGGTCCCGCCGGCTGCAGCCCCAGCTCTCGGGGCGCCTCCGCGAGGTGTACTCGGCCCTCAACGAGCACCCCAAGGCGCCCAACATCGGGGAGGTGCACGTGCCGGACTCCGCGACCAACGCCATCGTCGAGTTCCACGCCGCCACCGTGGCCGTCCGCGAGAGCATCGGCAAGTTCCACGTGAACGTCTGGCGTCACGGCAACCTGGAGGGTACCGTCAAGGTCAAGTAAGTCCAGCGTTTAAGTTGTTTTCACGTTTATTGATTTAACTTCAGCTGTTTGAAGCTAGCGCCCGTCAAGCGGCGGGTGGGCAACGCCGCGGCACACGCGCGTTATGCGGGCTAGCCTACCTCAGAGTTCACAGGCGCTCCACTGCCTCCGAGCGCCTGCTGAGCGACGGGTAGGCAATGCCGCATCACACGTACGTTTTGCGGGCCAGCCTACCCCAGAGTTGACAGGCGCGCTGCAGTGAAATTGTCAACTTACTTTTATTATTCTCTTCAGAGTTGAATCTATTGACGGATCGGCGGAAGTGGGCAAGGACTATGTAGCTGTGAATGAAACTCTCATTTTCGAACCCAATGAGTTGGACAAACAGGTATGATTTGTTTGCAGTGTTACTTATGTCTCACTTGGTTGTCAATGAACTGACAGGTTTTGTCTCTACTTGCCTAGGTGACGATTGAAATTCTAGATGATAACCAATGGGAACCAACTGAAGAATTCTTCCTCAAGCTGAGTATTTTGGACAGCGAAAACAGCAAAGTTGAGCTTGGGAAAATTTCCATAATGGAAGTTACAATTCTTGATGATGATGGTGAGGCCCATGCAATCATTAAGAGATTCATCATCCCCTGACGCATCTTGCTTTCTGCTTATTTTTAATAAGTTCGTTGGTATTTGCAGAACCGGGCATTTTGTCGTTTGAAAAGCGAGGTATGCTGGTGAAAGAGAGCTCTGGATTTGTCAGGGTGTCAGTCGTCAGACGTCGAGGTGCATCGGGCGAAGTTGCCATTAAGTGGAGAACCATCGACCGTTCAGCGATCAGTGGTAGAGACTTCAAAGGTGGATCTGGAGAGTTGGTTTTCAAACACTATGAAGTATGTAAACATTTCCAAAGAATGGCAGCTTACACTAAGTTCGCAGGACATATGGTTCACAAATACTTGTATTGTACATTATTGTAGGTGCAACAAGATATTGAAGTTCCTATAATAGATGATATGGAACCTGAAAAAGATGAACATTTTGAGATTGAATTGTTTGAGCCTTCTGGTGGAGCCAAGCTTGGCAACATTAATCGGATTGCTATCACAATTACAAATGATGATGGTAGGGCTTGCAACAAAGTTTCTTATTGCATTGTGCTGTATCTATTTTTATTTCATCATTTCTTTTCAACAGCTTTTAATACAGTGGTAGACCACTTAATGGTTTTAACAAAGACAAACATTGATGCTATCAGAGTGTACCGCAGTACCTGGTCACAGCAAATTAAAGATGCTTTGACTGTTAACGGAGGAGATGTGGAAAATGCTAGCAATGCGGACTATTTACTTCACTTCTTGTCATTTGGCTGGAAGGTAGTCGAAATTGTTGCAATTCTATTTAAGTGACTTTTTGGTTCCATGGTATCTCACAAGAAAGAAATTCTGGCCCGTTTGTCTTAAGATTCCACATTTATTTGTTTTTCAGGCCATTTTTTCCCTGATCCCTCCTCCAACAATGTGTGGTGGGTGGTTGTGTTTCTTCGTGTCCCTCTTTGGCATTGGTGTAATGACAGCAGTAATTGGAGATGTAGCGGCTATCTTTGGGTGTCTTGTGGGACTTCCCAACACTGTGACAGGTAAGACCACCTGACAAATGATCATATCTTAGTCTCTCTCAATTACAATGCCTAAAATTTACCGAAATATTTTTTTTTCAGCAATCACCCTTGTTGCAGTAGGCACTTCTCTCCCAGATACATTTGCAAGCTTGACAGCAGCACGTCAGGAACGATATGCAGACAGTGCTATTGGAAACATTAATGGAAGCAATTCCGTCAACGTGTTTTTAGGTCTGGGGCTGCCATGGCTGCTTGCAACAATTTATCATCAAGCCCAGGCATGTCATCAATGCAATCCAATTTTCAAAACATGCAATTTTATGCACTTTTATTTTATTGAGAAATTTATTTAAATTTTTCAGGGCACCAAGTTTACAGTGCAAGCAGGTGCATTGGGCTTTAGTGTTTTGGTTTTTGCCATTGTAGCAGTTCTGGCCATTGGGACATTGGTACTCCGCAGATATGTCAAGTTCTTTGGACAAGCAGAACTTGGTGGCCCAGCATTTCCTCGAATTGGTTCAGCAATTCTTCTTTTGCTGCTGTGGGTTTTGTACATCACCATGTCAATTCTACAAGTATTTGATGTGATAGGCGAGTTTTAATTTTCCAAAAGGAACAGATTTGTTTTTATTTTTCTGAACTTTTTTTTTAAATGTAAAAATTTACTCTTTAAGCACATATTGAGCTATACATGCTATGTAATTTTTCTTTTACCTGTTTGTTATTAATTTAAAATTATGATCTCTTTAAGATTAATTTTATTATTATTTATTATAAGGGCTAGTGACGCAGAAGCAGACATAAATATCAACCTAGGGACTGTTTCTTTATACTGTCAAACTTCTTTTGATGGTGAGAAGCAACAAAATGGTATTATTTTTGCACTTAGGTTCTGTTCCTGGCTTACTGTGCCATGAACTGGCTGAGCAATTAGTATGACAAAGTATTCATGCGAATGTTGTTACAAATATTGATTTATTTATAGGTACATATATATTTGAGACCATGACATTAAATATTAAGGCTGCATGCAATGTCCAAACAGTATTATATGACATTCTACTAAAACTCTTTTTAAATCAATAACTTCTACTTCTACTTGCCTACCAGTTTATTCCCCACACTGAAACACACCTTAAAAAAAAAATTAAATCAAATCCTTGCATTAGTCACACCATGTGAAGGATCATGCTCAATACAAATAAATTGTACTAAAAAGATCATTCTTGCAAAACAATGCTAATATTTTGTACAGTTCAAGTGTGTCTAGTGTTTCAAGACAATTTTTACGAAGGAAAGCTTTTTGTACATCACACCATAGAATATTAATCAAACATGGATTTTAGATAGCAATGGACAAGGTCAAAACCATAAGGAGCAGAGAGGACCCTCATAGATGCCCGTCTGGTTGCAGTCTTAAATAACCTATCATACAATTTCTCCATTCTGTATACAGTTGATAAAAGGTGGGAAACTTTTTAAGTATAAGTAGTGACTTCTTACTCCTATTAGAAATCCATCAAGAGACTTTATAGACCTAACGTTACTCTCTCAAACATGCGAATCCACAAATGAACAAAATGTGAATAGCACAAACATTTGGCACATCCACTAGTTCTACAATGATTGTACGATCTTGCACAGCAGTATAAACACATACCATGGCCTTAGTCATCACAGCACTTTTCTTCACAGCACAAATGTGCAATCACAGAAAATGCATTAAGGTCTTCTGGCCTTAACATTGTAGTAAAATTCATACTTAACATATTTGTCACTGTCATAGACAAGAGGCACAGAGACAGAATTAAAATAGAAAATATGTCTACAGACACTTCTTTCTAAGATCACTGAACCCTTCTAAAGGTGGGTACTCTCTGTTCACAGCAACCAAACATGCAATGTTGCCCTACACTGGCAAAGGACTGTGTATATTCAAATGTCTTACATGCATTAAAATCACTTAATAATTAAAACATTACATATTCAGTCTCCACATCACTAAATCAATTGAATCTACAAGGAAAAAACACATTCTTTCCTTTTCTCTGATTAAGTTAAATAAATTAAAACCTCCAGACAGAAACTTACAGCAGCTACACTTGGTGTATAGTACATTTAGGTCCTAATGTGTAGTGAACAGACTACCTCTGCCTCTACCGTCCAGTCTGACCTCTAGACAGAGGTTAACAATTCTATCCGGGCTAAGGGGCAAAGGTCTGCTCTTCAGCTTACTATGGACCAAAATTAAATCTATCATAAACCGGGTTTGACCACAGAGTATGCACCACAAAGTTATCTTCAACCAGTTCCTTTGGCAGATGCGTCATGTAGCACTTGACTAAGTTACAACATAGTAAATGACTCACATACTTAGTAAGCACAGAGACAAAAGATAGCAAAACGCCAAGCCATATGCACCACATCTAGCAGGAACTACAGAACTGATTTAACTTTTTGTGCTGATGTTGGTTACTAGATGATAACTAACGGACTATCACAAATCAATTCTGTACAGGGTCTCATTATCAAAACAATAACAGTAAAAACAAAAAAAGCCACAGAAATTGGTAACAAATAACTACTAATTGAGAAACAGAAGCAGGGAAAAAAAACAACTTTATAAGTAGATGATTAATAATAAGAAAAAAATTACTATTTGTTTAAAAGAAAAGTTCTAAGTTAAGACTCTATTAAAGCCAGATCAGATGGTTCAGCAGGGATAGTAATTCCACCAGTATCAATGCAAATATCATCATCAGTGCCTTTAAGGAAGAAAGAGTGTGAAGATTCATCATCCTCCACTATAGGGTCTTCATGAGAGGGTATTTTTATGGTGATTGATTGAGTTGTTCCTGAAATAATGGAAGGATTTTTATAGATTTTATCATACTGTTTCATTTCAAATAACTTTTTTCTGTGCAAAATGAGCACAATTACCATCAGCAGATGTCCGAGAATCAGTTATGTTGGCAGGAGGCAATCTACGGCCAGGTTCTTGCAGAAATGTACCCAGATATCGATAAACAAGGTGTGCTGCAGCCACGTTTCCAGGAAAGTACTCTACTTCCTCATCTAAGTTGAAAAAGAAAATACAGACATTATAGAATATATTGATGAAGAAACACAACTGTTGATAAAAGTGTTTTTGTACCATTATTAGAAACATCTTCTTTAGGAGCAATTAAGCCTTTCTGATGGTCTGCAACATGCTGAACATAGGCATCCTGACTGACAGTCTGGAATGTACATGAAGAGCAGGAAAAGAAACCTGACTCTCCAGGATGACGATTCCTCAAATGAGCTTTGTAACTGTTGCTTTGAATTGCAGAATAAGAGCAATAAGGACACTTGTACGCTCGCTGACCCGTATGTCGCATCATATGCCTGCCCGAAGGAACATATACTTAAGACAAGAAAAACCAGGCGGACTAAACTTACACGTAAAGTATAGATTTTTTACCTTCTGAGGGAATTGTGATCTCCTGTACGGTATTCACACTGAGTGCAAGCATGAGGTTTCTCCCCAGTATGCTGACGCAAATGTAGTGCCAGCATAGCTTTACAAGCAGAAGAATGTCCGCAAACCGAACATACATAGGGTTTCAATTTACTGTGGACTGCTTGTATGTGCCTTTTCAAGCCTTTAGCATTAGAATAAGTCTTCCCACAATGAGGGCACTGTTGTTCCATGTACCTGCACGTTTCAAAAGCATTTTAAAAATGTTGTTAGTTAATAATCATTTCAATGACCCCAAAATGAAACTTACCAACGAGGATTCACATCTTTGACATTTTTGTCCCCATGAACACTTGTAGAATGATTTCGAAGCTGCGCTGCTTGCTTATAGCTCTTGGGACACAATTTACAGCGGAATGGTCTCAGATCGCCATGAGTGCGCATGTGAATTTCTAGCTTCATTGGAGTGGCAGCTTTGTAGGTTTGACATACTGGACAGGTTAGGAGATCAACATCTACCTTATGAACACGCCACAAATGTGCAGAACACAGGCGCCACCTAAAAACGAGAATAAACTTGGTATTGAATGATGCTAAAAGTCAATTATAACATAAACATTGCATAAAATTACACTACACTGTTTGAATGTTAATTTCTCAATAATTAATATCGTCTCACCTGTTGAATTTTTCATCACAGTGAATGCAATGAAATTCTTTCAGAGCTTTGTTTTTAGAGTGGCAGGAAATGTGAGTTTGAAGTGATTTTTCATTAGAAAACTTTGACAGACAGGAATGGAAAGAGCACCTAGGAATTAAGAAGAATTATTGATCATTTACTTAGTCACGAAAGCTGCTTTTTACAACATTCAGGAAAAATAAAAAGGATTTGAAAATATTTTCTTACTTTATTTTCCTTGTCCTCAGTTTTACTTTCTGTGCCTCTTCCTTTGGGGAACTTCCCAATTTGTTTTCTGTTGTTGTAGGCAACTTTTCTGGTTCCTTATTTGAATTATCATCAAAAACCTGTTGGGTAGAATTTTCTGCAACAGCTGATGCATTTGGCAGTTCAACAGCTTGCCATGTCATTTGAATGCCTCCATCATCCGTGAGCGTCATTATAGGAATATTGCCAGGTGCAGCTACATTGGTGAGAGATGGGGTCAGCTCAGGGACACGACCGATATCAGTCTTTGGTTGAGATTTTCCACTGCCTGACACAAACTTGTGTTCCTGGAAAAGTTAAGGATAAACATATTAATGAATATGTAATTCATTTGTACACTTGAAGTAAAATACATAGATATAAACTCGCCTGAATCATGTGTAGTTTGCAGAGCTCTATGCTTTCGAATGCCCCTTGGCACTGGACGCACAAGAAGAGGAGCTGTTCAGTTTCATTTTCTTGCTCATCTTCACAGATGCTTTGAGTATCAGCGGCCACACTTTGTGCGAGCCGTTCAAATTCTTCATTTACTGGAATGCTGCCTGTGTAAATTTGAAAAAAGATTAAAAATTATGTTGTTGATTTAAAAAAAAAAAAAAAATTATTCAGGCAAAGGTTTATTGAACTTACCCGGTGGAGAGAAAAAAGTATTGGTGGGCTCCGAGACATTAAGGTGCACTTTGGTGAAATGATTTACAATAGATATCTTCTCTGGAGCTGTAAATAGACAAGCTCTGCACTTGAAAAGAGTTACTTGTTCAACGCATTCATCTTCTACTTGGAAGATGCCAAAACCAGTTCCTGTTGAGCTGTTTGGAAGCCCATCAATTAGACCCACATTAAGTTGGGGCTCTTCCTCTTCATCTTGCATAATTCCACCATTACCAATCAGATCTGTTTCCTCAGGAGCTGCCAGGATTAGGTTTGCACACTAAGACCAGAAAAGAAAATTATTGATGAGTCAACACATATATTAAATTTGCAACAATGTTATGCATTACCTGGTCAGAAAATATATTTGACATAACAAATTGAGTTTCATCCTGTTCCCCTGCATCAGAGAGCTCCCCACCAAATCCACCACCTAGTGTTGTTTGTAACTCGTCAGATAGGGACTCCTCTTTCAAGCCACACATATACACTGTTCCTGGAAAAGTATCATTCAAATAAATAAAAAATATACATTAAAAATTTAATTAATATGTACAACACTATGGCTGCTATTGCATACCTGACTTGTCAACATACGCCACTCTACCATCAGGCAATGGTAACAGGGAAACACCCTCCAAATCTTTTATATCAATTTCCATTTTGAAGCTGTAGAGAGACAGAACCTAATATTTAGAAGTTAAGAGAAACACAGAACAAATTAAATTACATTGAAAATGCGAATGGGACAACAAAGCAAGTGGGAACATTATTATACAAAATGAGGATCAACACGCAGAATTTAAGCTTACCAATTTTAATTTTTCAAATTGATCATGACATCCCGCTGGGACAATTTTGAAAAAAGAAGAGTTCTTGGTTGGGTTTGTTTAACGTTCTTCTTTTTAAAATTCATAACCTCAAGTAAGAGCAATCTTGATGAAGATGCCTCTCTCTGGAGGAAGCTTTCATACTACAATATTAATACGGGACGCATCGGCCCACTATTTTACCGACCTCATGTTGGACGAGAAAGGGTGACCGAAAGAGTCGAAAAGGGCCAAAATTACATTGTTTGGAAGAAAGTCTAACCTCCAACCACAATAAACGACAACGACCTGCTTGTGCTGTGCAGTCGACACACGACTGTTGGCAGTTGCTCCTTGCGTGCGGATAACGGAAATTAGTAAACTAGCAGACGACTTGGCGACATTTGAAGTACCGCGTGGTGCCTTGTTTGCCCACGGAACAGTGTTCTTGAGGGATTTTGACAGTTCGTCATGGATCACGGCCAATTTAGCGATGCTGAAAGTGACGAAGGGTAAGTAGTTAAATCCTGTTTGGTCAGAGAACAATCCTTCTCTTGATATCCCGTTCATTGACTGTTTCTGTCGTGTGACTCTTTCCTATGTGTTTTCAAAGGTTAAATTAATTGCGTTCCCTCAATTACTGATTTTAGAATTATGCTTCTCTTCTCAAAGTAAACAAAATATTGTACACTCAAAAATTTAATAGCAATGTTTCTGTTGATTCACCAGGGTAACTCCTCCCATCCTGTCATTAAAGGCGGACAAGCAGCTGCAGACTCGGACTGAAGAGACGGCACAGCATCTGTCGACTCTTTCTCTTAAAAGCAGCAATGTGGAACCACAAATTAATGGATTAAGTTCTGAAAACCCTGCTGTTACGAATGAAGTGGTGCAAACTGATCTGTACTCAGAGGAAGAGGAATTTGAAGATCCAGAGGAATATGACGATGATGATGATGATGACGATCTTTACGATTGGGGGTCTGGTCAAGGTATGATTGATGCTATTGCCAATTTATTCTCTATGTGTTTCCTCAGTTATTTGTTTGATTCGCTTTTTCAGTATTCATAGTAGGCGCTCACACTGGTTCACTAATCCCGTAAACTTTTCTTCCCTCCATCAGCTGCTTATGGTGTCAGCAGTGGTGTGAAGCAGTCACACCTAAATCATCAGTCTCATCTAAATCAACAGTCTCAGTCAAAGCGAGTTTCTGATTTCCAACCGCAAGAAAAGCTTTTTAAACGTTTTCTGAATAAAATAAATGTTGAAAAGTATGAAGGCCCATCTCTTCCAAATCATGCTGCCAACAAACTTATCGAAAATACTAGAAAGGCAGATGCAGGGAGGTAGGTTTCTGTTGTTTTGCCTCATAGCAACAAAAACCAGTTTTGATCATTGTTTTATTAGGAATACGGACAGATTTAAATACTTATTCTGTATTTTATATATTTCAGAATAAGAACCAAAGATAAGCAAGATCGAGCTACAGCAGAGCAAGTTATGGATCCAAGAACCCGCATGATATTATTTAAACTACTCAACCGTGGAATTGTGCTTGAAATTAATGGGTGCATATCAACAGGAAAAGAGGCAAATGTTTACCATGCTACTGGTAAAGATGGGAAGAATCTTGCAATAAAAATTTATAAAACATCTATTCTTGTATTCAAAGATCGTGATAAATATGTCAGTGGGGAATTTAGGTAAAATGTATTACTATTAAATTTTGTCCCTCCTTTGCTTGTTGCATTTCCAATATCACACTAATGATGAACTTGCTGCAGGTTTCGCAACGGGTATTGCCGAAGCAACCCTCGTAAGATGGTGAGAACTTGGGCTGAGAAAGAGATGAGGAACTTAGTGCGAATGCATACAGCTAATCTTCCTGTACCGGAACCCATATTACTTCGGGGTCATGTCTTGGTGATGGATTTCATTGGGCATGAGGGATGGGCAGCTCCCAAACTGAAGGTTGTTAATTGTTTAAATATTTTTAACTTTAATTTATTTTTTATTTATTTTTTTAATGTCATGTCTGTACTTATTTTAACATAGATTCATTGTGTTTTTGCAGGATGCAGAACTATCTAACTCCAGGGCATGTAAACTTTATCGAGATTGTGTTGTTATGATGTGGACAATGTTTAACAAGTGTCGCTTGGTTCATGCTGATCTCAGTGAATTTAATTTACTGTAAGAATAAATTCATCGTTGATTCTCTCATGTATTGGTTTAAATATTTGCTGAATGAGATTCTACAATTAAAGCATCTCTAACATTTCTGTTGCCCAGGTACCATGAAGGCATGGTATATGTCATTGATGTGTCCCAATCAGTTGAGCATGACCACCCTCGTGCTGCAGATTTTCTTAGAAAAGATTGCTCAAATATTACTGGTATGTGGAACTGCTGCAACTACAGTGTTAGTTGTATTATTTGATACTTTTTGAGGCAAAGGGAATTAACTTTATTATCTTACTATGTTTCAGACTTTTTCAAGAAACAAGGAGTTGCGACCATGTTAGTGAAAGAGCTATTTGATTTTATCACTGACCCCACGGTGACTGAAGCAAACATGGAGGCATATCTAGACAGAGTTTCAGCTCAGGCTGCAGAAAGAGGAGATGAGTTGACAGCAGAAGAACAAGTAAAGGAAGAAGTTTTCAAGAACGTATACATTCCTCGTAGACTTGAAGAAGTAAGACAATGTAAATTTGGTAAAGGCCCTACCTGCTGTGTGTTTCTTTCCTAAACTAATTGTGTTTTATAAATTTTCTGTCTAGGTAGCTCATGTTGAACGTGATATACTTCAAGCTAAGGAGGGTAAAGGCGACAATTTAGTCTACAAAACCATAGTTGGTTTGACAGACAACCTCAGTGCTGCACAGAAACCATCAATATTGGTCAATGGCAAGGAAGGTGAGGAAGGTTCTAGTGATGAGTCTGGGAGCGATGAAGATGATAATGAAGGCGAAGAAAGAGTTTCAAAATTCAAAAATGAAGCCAGGCCTAGAAATGAATCTCCAGAAAGTAAAAAGGTACTAACTGCAGGGACAATGAACTATTCTAAAAGAAAAGAATCACCAATATCTAAACATGTTTGTAATTTATTTTTCCAATTTATATTTCAAGGCAAGGCAAAAGGCAGCAAAAGAAAAGCAAGCTGAAGCAAGGAAAACTAAAATCAAGAAACACATCAAGAAGAGGAAAGAAAAAGCCAACAAGAAGTGAACCCCTCCAAAATGTGATAATAAGTTTACAATAATAACAATATGGTAATAATCTAAAGTAAATTTAGAGTGCAGTGTGATTTTATGACGGTAACAAAACATTTCATTTCCTGTAGTCTCCCCTACTTGCTGGCTGGGTTGAGTAGTTAAATTATATATACATCAATAAATGAATTTCAGAGGATGGATTGGAATTTAATTTTAAACAGCCTTTGTTTGCAAGTACTGGTTCTGTCAACGCCACAAAGCACTTGCTCCTCGGGGGCCATCTCCGGAAATGAGAGTACAATCTAAGAAGAACCTTGGGTGGGCCTGGCCTGGGGCATTGGCTTTTCCGCTCTGCACCTCGTGGTCACCGGTTCGCGCCGACCCAGACCCGGCCCGACCCAGGCGGCAGAATAATAGAGAATGCAGCGGAGCTGTGGCCGCTCACCGCGCAGCGCGCAGCCCCAGGACGAGGAGAACATAGGCGGCCGCCCCGCTCCACTCCGCGCCCTGACCACCGGGGAAGAGGGAAGAGCCAAATATAGAGCAAAGGCACTGCGGCCGGGGAGGGAGGGGGCTGGCGGCGGGGGGCGGGCCGGGGCATTGTAAATTTGCCCGGCTGGGGCTGGGAGGGCTGGGTCCGTGGAAGGGACAGGGGGCAAGGCACTGCCACGTCCCCGAGACCGCCTGCCTAATGAGTGTTCCAGTCAACGTACCCGTCAAGGCAGTGCCAGACGACGCAATCCGTCTGCCCGGCCGGAAGTCAAAGGCACCCCCCGCCTCCCTCTCACCCCATCCCCCTCCCCTTGGGGCCAATGAGCGAGAATGAGTTGCTCGTCAAGGCGGGGCCGGCGGGGCTAGCGGTGGCATTAAGGCAACGAAGGCCCTGGGCCCGTACCTGTGCCCAGGCGGGCCTAGGCGGGCCAGGCCGAGCCCCCACCGCGCGGACTGCGGACGAGGAGGACCTGGCAAGCGGGCTCTGACGGCGAGCCGCTGGGGATGCTGCCGAGGACCGCGTGGTGCCGCCGTGGTGATGCCGTCCTCGTCTGCCTCGCGAGGGAGGGGGGCGGCACAGGGCGCCGCCGCGAGCGTGGCCCCCGGGAAGGGGGCGGAGGGGGCTAGGGGCGTGGTGGGGCTGGCAGGGGCAGGGCGACACGGCTACAGCTTGGCTAGTCGCTGAGCAGGCCGCAGCCTCGTCCCGACGCCCCGGTCCCGGTTCGGCTCGGCGTCGACACCGCACCACCGCCGCCAACCTCGCGTCTGGGGATCCCGGCCCCCGTGCAACTCGTGCAGCTCGCGTCGCAGTCCTCCAAGTGCATCCTGCAGCCCCCGAAGCCCTGCTGCCCCGTGCAGACGCTCCGCCGGACTCTGAGCCCTGCTGCCGCGTGCAGCTCCCGGCGCCGCGGAGGGCTTGGACAGTGCTCGCAGCCTAGCCGCCGCCAAGCTTGGCACTAGCGCCCTCCCATGCAGCTGGCTGGCGCCCCGCCGCGCCCCGCGCTACACCCCGCCGCCGGCCACCGGCCGCACGGGCCACCAGGGAGGGCTCGCCGTCGCGGACCCGCCGCACCCGCTGCACCCGCTGCACCCACCCTGCGGCCGTGGTCAACATGAAGAGTGACCCCTGACCGCGTCCTGTGGCCCTGGCTGGCCTCGCCGCCGGCCGGGCTGCCCCGCGCAGCGCGCATCGCGCAGAATCCCATATTCCTGTGATAGCACCAAGACTGCCCCTTTGTATTCCACGTCTGTGATAGCGGACGAAGACAGTTAGTGTGAGAGTGTTTTTGTAGCTCAACGTGAAGTGGAGAGCCCCGCGCTCCCCGGACGCCCCATCCACGTGAAACGGTGAGTGGGACCCTCAGTTGGTTCGCCAGCTAACATGCGTTTTCGCGAATGTTTACCCCCGCAAGTTTGACCAAGTTGGGGCAAGTTTCACCGACAGAGGCGCCGCCGGCCCCGCCCCCGCTCGGCACTCAGTGGCGCTGACGCTGCTGCACTGCTCTGGACAGGCGGCAGGCGACGCGACAGGTGTGCAGCGCGTTGATTATTTACCCCGACGGGTAAAAGTGGAGGTGAGACTGGCGCCAGACAACGCTAGCCTAACCGTGAGGGGCGCGTCCCGTCCCGAGCGGGCGTTGTGCAGAGATTCGACCGATCGGCCAAAAAAAATGCATCACGTCGCCACATGGCCGCTGTGCTTCCAGTGCACGCTAGACGCTGCCCGTGTAACACACCGTGCACGTGCACGCCCTCGGGGCAGATCCCCACTGGTTGCGCTAGCGTCCAGTAGGTCCATATACTCGCCAAAAGCGGCATGTTCTTTGAGAGGCCTGCAAAGCTTCCGAAGGGCTTTCGTTGTTCTTGGTCTCCTTCTCGCCTATCCCTGATCTACCAGTAAGCGGGCAGAGGGCCCCTCTCACAGGGCACAGCTCGCGGCAAGGTTGCCAAGGCCGACTCGATAGCGGCCGCCGTATAATCTGCCTGACTTAAAGCTTGGATGAAAGCGGACGAGAGCGCGCGCCTGCCTTGCCAGCCTTGCCTGCCTGCGGCCCTTTCCAGCGGTGCGTCAACAAGCTCGCTCATGAGCATGATGTGCTGCAGCGCAGCACCTGCCACCCGTCCGGAGCAGTGGAGCAGCAGCGGAGCAGCAGCGGAGCAGCAGTGGAGCAGCAGCGGAGCCCCCGAGGGTGATGCGGTACGCAGGCCTGTGACGCTCACGGACGCTCACAGAGAAGCTCCTTTTCCTCATCCGTCCTTTCACTACAGCACACCGATCTGTCTATTTTGTTCCCCCACTCCCGCGTCTTTTGTCTCTCTCTTTTATCTTCCTGGCCACGCTGTGATCGCTGGTGTATGTGTGTGTGTGTGTGGGGGGGGGGGGGCTCTTGCTGTGTGTGACTTGGCGCGAAAGCGTGAAGCTGCGAACCCAACCCGTGTCATTATGCCATCGTCCCCTTTAGCTCTTTTTCGCCATGCCAGTAAACGAAAAAAAAGGGGGGAAATCGATTCATGCTATGAATTTTTGTTAGCTTTAATCATGTTCGTCGCATGGCTGTCCCAACAGTATTGATCGTGTTCGGCGGCTGACGAGCATTCACACACATTCACTGCAACATGGTGTCATTTCTCTCTCTCTCTCTCTCTCTCTCTCTCTCTCTCTCTCTCTCTCTCTCTCTCTCTCTCTCTCTCTCTCTCTCTCTCTCTCTCTCTCTCTCTCTCTTTTCCCGTTTGTTTTCTTGTGCGGCACCGTCCCTACCCCGGGGCGCCTGTCTGTGGCATGTATGTACCCAGTACCCCCAGGGTCCCAGGGGTTGGAATGAATGGGTGGAGTCATGGGTGCGGGAGAGGAGAGGCCATCCTCCTTTCGCTTCAGCTTACGTCACCAGGACTGCTAGACCGCTGCCAACCCGCGCGCCTCATTTCAAATGGCCACGCCGGAGCACAACAGCAACAGTTCGCGCGTGGCGCCGCGGCGCTCGAAGCGGCGGGCGCAGGGCGCACAGTGGGCCACCTTTGGCGGCCATCGTCGAGGCCACCCTCACCCTCGGCTGACATGGCTCCGGGCGCGTTTTGATTTTGAGCCCCGATGCTCCGATAGAGCTCCGCGGCCCGCGCCTTTTACTGTCATCATGCCCCGGCCTCGGCCAGGCAGACAGAGATACAGACAGGTACTGATTCCTCAATTCGAGCACCAGGTCTGAGGGCTTCTCCGAAACTTGTTGCTCCAATAAAGGCCCAGAACTCAGAACCGGTTCCGTTGAATGGAACCCCCTTTGATGCCTGTTGATTGCAAGGCTTCCGCGAAGTCCACTGGTGGCCTTCTGGCCCGGTGGCTTGCGGTCTACTCACGGAGGGTCGGTTTGAACGCCGATCCACACCGATCACTGCGCGTCGGTTGCGCGTTTACTTATAATTGGCTCCGTGTTTACATCCGTCCGTCCGTCCGCCCGCCCGCACTGCCCCGCGAGACTCGAAATGCCACCACCTCGTGCTGACGCGTGCTAGGCCAGTGCGAGGCTCCCCGGGCCGCCCCGCCTCGGAATCCCTCAACGCGGACCTATTAGAGCCCTCCCTCCCTCCGGGCGCCGTGCCGCAGTGCCGCGCGGAGGCAGTCGAGTCGCGACGCCAACAAGTGCCTCTCGGAGCAGCTCGGGGCGAGCCCCGCCTCGACACCATGCGCCGCGCCGTGCCGCGCCTCGCCGCGCCTTTGCCTGCACTTCGCGTCTAGTCGCGTCGTTCAGAACGAACGTTGCGATGGTGGTTGGCTGCCGGCCAAGGGGGCATAGGGGGCCGATAGGGGCTGTACCGGGCTGTACGGCACTAGGCATTCCCCTGGCCGGCCGCCTGTCTGCCTGACTGGCCGACTGGCCGCCGGCCCAGTGGCGGATCCAGAGTCGGCCCTAGGGGGGGGGGCAAAGTAGCACTTTTTGCCTACTTACAGGGGCAAATCAGTGCTTTTTGCCTTCCTTTCAGGCGGCTATCTAGGGGTCAAGGGGGGGGGGGCAATTGTCCTTTTGCCGCCCCCCCCCCCTGGATCCGCGCTTGCGCCGGCCCGCCGGCTGGCTGGCCGGCTGGCTGGCCGGCTGGCTGGCCGGCTGGCTGGCCGACTGGCAGACACAATGTCTCCTCAGCCTCGCCGCTGGCGGCCCGTGAAATATGCCAGGCTGTTTGGCGGTTTTGGTTTCCCTGCAGCCTGACTAGAGCCCCCACGAAGCCACCACAATTACAGTTTACAGCCAGTCGCCAGACAATTTGAACTTGAGTCGGAACTACGGGGGAAGCGAAGCGGCAACTAGACATGCGGGGTCTGGACGCAGAGCAAGTGTGGGTTGGACGCAGTTCGCTGTTTGATTTCCCTTTGTCTCTTTCCAGGTGCGGGAGATGGGGAGTTCCGGTAAAAAGGCGATCGGCGGCAGCATCCACCGTATCCGTGAATTCGAGTTGGAGAAGGTAAGCACGCTCCGACCAACTTTCCCAAACGCTCGGCTCATTCGGTGGACGACGCGTCGCGTTCTCCGAAAATGACAGCGATGCAATGACATTGGCCTGAGTGGCATGGCGTCCGCCTGCGGCGCGTCGCTGCCTTTTTGTTGTTCGAGGGGCCAACTGTGAGGGGCAAAACGACACGAACAACCTGAACGTGCACGGCGCACGCGGAGAACGGGGAGGGGGAGGGGGAGAGAGCGCGCAGAGCAGCGCAGAGCAACGCAGAGCAACGCGCAGAGCAACGCGCAGAGCAATGCAGAACCTTTCCGCTTGTCGGCGCTTCGGTCCGACCGGCCAGCATCAGACTGATTCCGCACAGCGTTTCGTCACTCGGTCTCTCTCGCGCCCCTCGAGTGTGAGAGAGAAACAAGGGCGACGACAGCGGTGCCGTGCGGAATCAGTCGGCTGTGCGCGTTGTGCGTTAGCAGCGGTGCGGCGCGCTACACTGTATGTAAAGAAACGGCAGTAAACACTCGCAACACTGCGGCCAGGCGGGAGGTTCCATGGCCATACTTTGACCTTGCAAGTAGACAAAGAGTTCTACAGAGAGAGAGAGGAGAGAGAGGAGAAAAGAGAGAGAGAGAGAGAGAGAGAGAGAGAGAGAGAGAGAGAGAGAGAGAGAGAGAGAGAGAGAGTGTGCAGGTGGGACAGCGGACTGTGCGTGGTCCATGTCCGGAGTCAGGGCGCCTGTCAGCCGCCGGGTAGGCAACGCGCGGAGCCGCGCGCACGCGTGTGTCGCCGCGGCCTACCTCGCAGGCGCTCTTTCGTCCCGCCCCGCCGTCTCGCCGTCTCGCCCCGGTCATCTTGACTGACTTGACTTCAGAGGCTAGACCACAAATGATCGCACTCGTGTAGGTTCGAGAGAGACAGAGCGACGAATCGCTGTGCGCGATCAGCGCGATCAGCTCGAACAGGTCCCGAGACAGGCTGGCGGCGTGCCGACGTCTCCCATCCTGGTGCGTTCGTCAGTCAGGACAGGGGCATTTCTCCAGCCCAAGAGCATTTCTTCAGGCAAAAGCGTTTCTCTAGGTCAAGAGCATTTCTTCGGGCTAGAAAGAGGGCAAGAAGCATTAAGCATTTCTTAATACTAGCTACTAGCATTTCTTCGGGTGAAGAGCATTTTCTTCAGAGCATTTATTTCGGGGGTGGGGTACGGAGACACTAAATTTTGGCTAGCCCGACCCTAACCTAACCTAACCTAACCTATCCTAACCTAACCTAACCACACGTGACGGTCTGTCCCGTTGTGCAAAGCCGGTCCCGAAACGGCATGCGATCATTTGCGGTCCCGCCTCTCAAGCCCAAGTTGGGACTCTAGTTGGGACGACGGAGCGCCTGTGAGGTAGGCCGTGGCGAGACACGCGTGCGCTCGCCTCCGCGTGCTGCCTAGCTGCATTACCATTACCATTAAGGGCCAGACCACACATGATCGTATGCCATTTCGGGCCCGACACATGCCCGCCTGCACTGCGAAACGAGACATGGCGCCATGCCTCCTTGAACTTGAACCGCACACTGCGGATGGGCCTCCACTGTCTCAATCTAACCGCGTCCACAGTCTCGCATGAGCCGAACGCCATTACAGAAGCAGACATTTTTGTCGGAGTAAACGACTCTCTGCGGTCTTGCAAAGTCAACCCCGTGCAACATTGAGGCGCCCGATCGATTTGGTGACGATTGTAAATCGAACCACTTGAAAAAAGAAAGCCTTATGGTCCGGAGCGGTCAATAACGGACAAGGCGGCCAAGCGGCTGCAACCCAGCCGGCCGGTGCGAGACTCTGCTACCGTCTCTGCGGCGATGGCTTGTGGCACCCCAAATTGCCGCGCCGTCTTCATCATGGCGGTCGGTGCCACGGCATGGGCACGGCCAGCGGTGCCGCCAGCCACTCGTGTTGGAGCCTAACGAGGGACGGGCAGGCCGGCAGGCAGGCAGGCCGCCGCCCCGCTGCGTTTGGCGGTCTGGCCTGGGATTTTGAATGAGTGGTGACGCGTGACGCGCGGCGTCCGTGCGGGCTTTCCAATGGCCGGCAGGCCGGCAGGCAGGCATCGCCGTGCTCACGGCTCGCCCTCCACACCGCGTTTGTTCGCGACCACGGCGTTGGTGACGTCCATCGCGCCTACGTCGGCGTGCCGTCGGCGTGTGGCGGCGGCCCATGTGGCGGTGCCAACACGACGCCCTCCCCTGCCCCCACCCCTCCCCGCCCGCCTCCCCGCCCCGCCGCGCGCCGGGACGGCCGGGCCGGGACCACCCGCCGGCCGCGTGCACCCCGCCGGCGACACCCCTCTCCCCCGCCCCTGCCCAAATTAAAAGAGTGGAAAAAATGAGACTCTGAGCGAGAAGGCAGCTGCGCGCGTATACTGCTCAAGACTGGCTCATCGGCCACCTCCTCATCCCCTGGCGTCCGCGGTCCGCGTGTTGCAGGTGAACCTGGCCGAGGAGTTCGACATCCTGCAGATCGTCGGCGAAGGATGGTTCGGCAAGATCCTGCTGGCCGAGCACCGGGCCACGGGCCGCGAGGCCGTGCTCAAGGCCCTGCCCAAGCCCTACACCGCGCTCAAGGACTTCTACCGCGAGTTCCACTACTCGCTGCACCTGGGCGCGCACCGGTCCATCATCACCACGCAGGACGTGGCCTTCGAGACGGCCGGCTTCTACGTGTTCACGCAGGAGTACGCGCCCCTCGGCGACCTCACCGCCAACGTCTCCGATAACGGCATCGGCGACCTGCACTCCAAGCGCGTCGCCAAGCAGGTCAGTCTGGCCCTGGCCTGGCCGGCCCGCAGGGGAGGCACTCCCTCCGAGGGGGAGCAGAACCTAACTCAACGAAAGCCACTGAGAGCGATATTGCGCCTCACGAGGTGGGCGGGCTAGTGGGCACGGCGCACGAGAGCCAGCGGCGTAAATACAGCCATCGAGTATCAATTAATCAATGCCGCTAGGGAAGCCAGCCTCGGACGGCAGCCCGGCCAGCCCGGCCAGCCCCCGGAGACAAAGGCGATGGGAAGCCGAAGCCACCCTCAATAATGCAGCGAACGCCGAGGGCAGGGCGAGGCCCCGGCGGGGAAGGTGAGGCTTTGCACTTTGTATACGACTGACGTGTTGTAGGTCGCCTCGGCGCTGGAGCACCTGCACTCGCGGGACCTGGTGCACCGCGACGTCAAGCTGGACAACGTGCTGGTGCTGCGGTCCGACTTCTCGCGCGTCAAGCTGTGCGACTTCGGCGAGACGCGGCGGGCCGGCACACTGGTGACGCGGCGCCACGAGTGGCTGCCCTACTCGCCGCCCGAGGTGCTGCTCACCGACACCGACCAGACGTACAAGTGAGTTCGCATCGCGGCACGCATTGGGCCGCCAGCAGACTGAGAGCCGTTTCCGTCGCTCTGTCTCTGTCGTACTCGTGGAGCGTCGCGTATCGATGCGAGACAAAGAGCGATGAAGGCGACTCTCGGAGCCGCCCCTTGATCGAAGCGAAGCGCCCGAACCTAACCTTCACCTCTGCCTTCCCGGCCTTGCCTGCCTCCAGAGCCGAGACGTCCCACGACGTGTGGCAGTTCGCCGTGGTGGTGTTCGTGTGCCTGACGGGGTGCTTGCCGTGGCAGAAGGCCGCCCCGGACGACCCCCGGTACGCGCGCTACGTGTCCTGGCGCGCCGCCGCCTCCATGCCCTTCCTGCCGGCGTCGCGACGCCCCAAGCTGTGGCGGCTCATCTCGGCGCGCGCCCAGCGCATGCTCAGGAACTTCCTGGAGCCGCGCGCCGACCGCCGGCCGGCCAGCCTCGGCGAGCTGCAGCGGTACCTGGACGACCGCTGGGTGGCCAAGGGCAGCGGCGACAAGAAGGGTGAGTCCGCCAGTCCGCCGACCAAGCCGCCTCTGGAGACTTCGTCGCTCTCTCTCTCTTTCTGAGCGTCTCTCGTGCCCTATGTGCTCTATGCGTTCGAGAGAGACAGAGCGACGAATGAATCAGAGTCCGCTGATACGAGTCGTTTTCTTCCCTCGGACAGAGGAGGGCGTTGAGGACGACGGCCTCTGCCCGTCCATGTATTCCTTCCACTCGTCCGTGGAAGAGAAGAACAAGCTGCTGGCCACGCTGTCCGAGTGCGGCATCGAGACCACGGTGGACCGCGGTGCAAAGAAGGACCGCATCCACCAGTGGGTGCAATCCTCCGTCATCGCCGAGGACGACGAGGAGGGCGAGTCCGAGGACGGCGACCTCGAGGGCGAGAGCTGGGAGGAGGAGGAGTCCCAGCCCCGGCCCAGGCCGCGCACGGGGAGGGTGGGTGTTGGCCGCGTTCGGCCCTGGTTCGGACGCGCCGTCCTGCAGCCGCTGGAGTATTCGCGGAGCACGGCTCACTCTGTTCTGTCTCTGTCTCTCTCTGTCCGCAGGGCCAGGGTGACGTGGAGCAGGCGACCACGTCATCGGCGTCATCGGCTGGCCCGGTGGCGCAGCCACAGCCTCCCCCCCGCAGCGCGGCCAGCGGCACGTCCAGGGTGTCCTCGGTGTCCTTCGCGGACAGCCAGCCGGGGCCCGGCCCGCAGCGGCCCACTGCCGCCACCCGCTCCAACGGCACCCCCAAGTCCGGCCCTTCCAGATCCGGCACCCATTCCTCCGGCCGGACGGCCAACGCCAACCCCAAAGACAGCCCCTACTCGAGCGGCAGGGTGCCCAACGGCGTGGCCAAGCCGTCCAACGGCAACCCCAAGGATGACCCGTACGCCGCGGCCACGGCGGCCACGGCGCGGACGCCCAACGGACTGCCCAGCGGCAGCGGCAAGGGCCGCACCGCGCCCGCCGGCAGGGCGACCAACGGCAAGATGGTGAACGGCAGGACGGCGAGGGAGCCGCAGCCCCAGCCACCGCCACAACAGCAGCAACAGCCGCACACCGCTTCCGGCGAGTCAGGCAGCAGGTCCGGCAGTCACTAGCCCCAACAGTCCTACAGTACTCTTTGGTACTACTGTACCGTACTGTAGGACTCCACTGACTCCACGACCGGCGGCCGGCGCGGCGGTCTGCAGCCGCTTCCACGGGCTGATGTGCTGACGAGCTGAGGAGCTCCACTTCGGCAAGCGGCAAGGCCCGGCCATCCTGACAGGGCGGCGGCGCCTTGCTCACAGTCAGTGCGAAAAAAAACAATCTGTGGTATTTTTTTAAAATTCAATTTTGCGAACGCGTCTTTGAATCCAACTAATGTTTCTTGCAGCTCACCCCTCCCCCTTTCACTTTCAGTCCCCTCATCAAGTCATGGCCAGGGATGGATGTTTGCCGTCTGCAGTCGGCGAAGAGCATTGCTTGGCGGGAGTGCATTCTCATTCTCACGGAAAGAACGGGGTTTTGAAACATGCTGTAACTTCTAAATATGATGACCACTTCGTGGCTGAAATTTTCTTTTTTACTGAAAGAAAAAGCTAATTAAAAGAATGATTCTTTTCATGACGATGACTATCTAGTGTCAATATTCTCCAAATCAAGACTGCTCTCATTTTGAATGGAACATAGTGTATAAAAAGTGTAAACAGGATGTCTGTTCCGTATAAGATATTTAATACATTAAGCAATTCGGTAAGTTAATATTGTGTAATCGCTTCGTTGTTTGAAAATAGAGAATGATGTTCAACATTGTGATCTTGGAAATGCCTTCTTTCAAAGTACCCTGCATAACTGGGTCTTGCTCTAGAACATACGTAGAGTAGAGCATAACACTGAACAGGTGAGCGACTTACCTTCGCTCGCATCTGTGGGCTGAAGGCACGCTGGGGACTGAAGGGATGCAGGCAACAATGAAATAAAATTAACATTACAAATAATAATACTTTATTTTAACAACATTGATCTTAAACATGGAGTCAAATTTACACAACATACACTTGCATTTGATATGTTCACAACTACATATAATGGACATTAATTGGTCCAATTCAGTAAAAATTACTCATATAACAACCTCCAATATGAAAGACATTGCGTGAGGAAGATACAAGAAGAGATAACAGAAAAGAAGTAAGACTTTTCTGCAAGTCAAGTTACTAATTTCCATTTTTATGAAAATTAAGGAATAAATATTTAAGATGTCTGAGAGCGATGAAGTGAAGTGCATTGCGTATTAACAAGTGATGATTTGTAACTATTTAACAAAGAGGGAAGAGGCGAACTTTAGTCAAACACACGACAGATTAGAGAAAGAAAGAAATTTACACTCAACACTCATAAACCACTGTAATAAGATACATTTAAAAAGGAAGAAAGTAAGGCTTTATGTAAAAATTTCATAAACACATGTGTACAGCACAAAAATATTATTTTCTTTCAAGAAAGCTCAATGCTCCAGTCATCATGTAAATAAAGATAAGACATAGAAACAAAATAGCTCTTCAAAACAAGTATAGTTTATTCTGTATGTGGTGGGAGCAGAAACTATCTCATGCAGAAACTCTGTCATTCTTATACGCAGTCTGTCACATAGGACAGAGGCATGTACAGAGGAGCTGCATACAGAAGATTAACTAACAGCATTTTTGCCCCAACTGGAACACTTCTGTAAGTTACTTCATACTTACTGACAAAATCAAAGCATGTAAACAATTTTACTTCAGTCTTGACCCGATACGGTATAGTTTGTTATTCTAATCTTTCGAACATCAAGAAAATGTATCACAAGCTGGCTGGCAGGAGGTAAAATTGTTGCAATAATTGTAGATTTCCAACCCTGCCGAACAATTCTTATGCAAATGTGATATCTCCTGATGACAAATTATGGCAACCCCATATTCATCTGGATTAATACTGCAGGCTCAAGCTATGAAAATTATTGATAGGCTGATATATGTTCCACAATAGATAAAACACACAGTGCAATGGCACTCACTGGAAAACATTACAAAACCTCAATGCACCTTAACTCTTCAAAAATGACTGAATGAGAGAATAGACTGGCATTCACAGGGATATGTTCAACTATTGACCAAACAAAGCTTGGAAAACAGTCAGTTGTAGTTCCACTATATTAATTGATTACAAATAAATACAACATTCATATCAAACAAGAATCAAAATTTCAAAATATTTTAAATATAAATAGATGTATTGACATAATCGATATGTATTAAATTACACAAGTTATTGCTTTGATCAAAAGAGAGACAATGGTCCACAGTCTCTATTGCAACAAGCTACAAAGGTAAAATCTTACAGCAGTCATATATGTATAGCCAAACCAGTCACTTTACCATGCAAGACTGAAATTACCATCACAAATGCCCCTGTTTTTTGTGAGTTAGGTAGGAGCAGACTAGAGATAATGTATTCTTATATGGTCACATAGAAAAAAAAATCAGTTCAAATACTGTATATATAAAACATTAGATAGAAAAAGAGGAAAGACCTTCAGTTAAAAAATCAATTATGTAATATGAGTCTAGCCACTAGCTTAAACCTATTGCAAGGCACAACAAGACCGCTCTGAGGGCAATTTGTAGTGCCAAATCTTATTTAGTGCCGGCTTCGTGAACACTAGCATCACATGAACAATAAACATTGATATGTTCTTAATAATAAGGTAATTTCACAGTGCAACAACAAAACTTCGTAAAAATAAAATCACTGACATAATGTTTACAAAATCTGTTGTCAGGTTGCACACAAGTCATCTAAGCTAAATTTACAATTGAGAAATAAGTACAATTGTGTACTTATGAAATGCCATGTAGAATCACCAAACAAATTAATCAGTTGAAGAAGTGATCGTACATTCTATTAGTCACTTTAAATCTCACTTCCAATCACATAAAAATGCTAATACCAAAACAAACAGATACAGCATAAGTCTCACCCAGATGGCACAAAGCAAATTGTAAAATATGGCAAATTATTTTATCACAATATAATTTCAGTTTATGAAAGGAATTGACTAAGATTGTTTCCCCCAATCAATCTATTAGTAATGCAACAGACCACTAGGAAATATGCAAAAAGAACAAAATCGTAAAGTGCTTTTACATAGAAAAACATTTAAAAGTACATGACAAAAGGAAGTGCAAATATTCAATCAAGGGGAACATGATTCATGATAACAAGGAAGCAGTGACATGATCAGAGGGGAGGCCAGGGGAGTCAGACCCCCCCCCTTTTTTTCAAAAAAAAAAAAAACAACTTTTTGTTACACTAAACAGTTGCCTGGAAAGAAGGCAAATTGCAACACATTCCACAGGAATGTAAGCAAAAAGCATGGCTCGATCCCCCCCTTTCCTCAACAATTTCTGTACACAGAACTTCCAAGTAAGGAATACTAATTACTGAAAAGACATGGTTTCACAGAATAGTGTTCAAATAGACAGAAGACACAAGAAGCAAAAGAGTCCATATTTCATTAAAGATCTAAGAAATTAAGAGTTGATTTCATTTGAAGGATTAAGAAGAAAAATCTGGGAGAATAGTTTGTATAACAACAGTCAGAGTCAAAATACCATTTCAAACTTTTAAAATGCAGACATTAAGGTCCACTGTAAAGCTAGGACAAAGTAATAAATCAAAAACATGGATGCAGATCTACACCTGTGTTTTCAGTAGATACAATATTCAATGGTTGTAAATACAGTATATTCAGAATTAAAAAGATTGGGAAGAACAAAAATTAAAATTGGAACTGTCAAGTTGTAATATGGATGAACTGTTTATGATGAGATGAGGTTTAACATCAACTCAACAAAACAGTTCTTCGTGTCACCACCTGAGGAGAAACCAAAAAAGAAAGCATATTAATTGAAACTGAGTGTAACTTCATTAATTCAATGGAGAAAGAAAGCATTATTTGATATGTGAAATAACAGCACTTCTGACAACACCACACTAAGGCATTTGCTTTCTTATAGCACTGGGCACTTGTCATATACTCAATGCTCTCTTACAAACCTCTTTAAACCTCCAGTATTGAAATCCATCTCCATTATTTTTGATTTTGGATCTGGTGTGAAAGAGCTCCACATTGTTGCCACACAGGGTTCAAGGCCCCAGTTAGAAGCACAAGACGATGCCTGAAGCTTCGCATAAGATGACGTTGAAACACAAGTGTCAACAACTGAATAAAATCTGAAGCAAAATTTTGAAAACACGAATCAGGGTTGAAGGACAAAACAACATTGCATCAGCATTGCATTGGAGACACTCAATTATTTTTTGAATCAATGTGCACACCTTTGGGTTAGTCCATCTATCCACTGCAGCAAGTCTTGCCCAAAGCGACGTGCATTAGCAAGTGCCTTCCTTTCTGCGGCTAGCCGAGAAGTCACTGTGGAACCAAGAAGTGGATCCCATTCCCCAGCAAGGTGAGCATGCTTGTATGGGGCACCTGGACCACTATGGACAAAACTGAAATCAAGTAAAAATTGCAATTCATTATGATAAAATGGATTGATAATATTAGTCATTAAAGAGTGCCAGGGTGGGCCGGCTTATCCCAGATCTCTAATTCAAGCAAATTGTACAAAAAATAAAATCAAGATTCTAATCTATAAATACTTACCCTGTCTGCTGTTGAGTAATTGGCACACCTGACATTATTTCAAGAGGAGACACAAGGAACTGAACTCTTGCCCAAACTGTGCCATTCCTCACCAACCGTACATCCCAAACTCCAGGTAACAATGGAGATTGAAGAGATGGTTTGACATAGCCGACCTGATGATAGAAATAAGATAATTCATGCTAGATTAAAGATAAGAACACAATAAGAGAGAATCATGATAGAGAATGAAAAGACACACATACCAGATGCCCATATTCAATATGCATTTCAGAAACTTCAGCCAGCTGGCCAGTAGGGTCTATCCACAGAAATGTCATGTTATTACTTATGGCTCCCGTTGCATTGGATTCCAAAGTGGCAACTAAGACAGGGTCAGAAAATGGGCCCAACACTCGCAGAAAGTTGCGAGACATCTGCTCTTTCATATCATACTCAGAGCTTATCAACAAGGACTGAAAACAAGCACAAGTACCATTTAAGTAACATAAATGCTGTGAATAGAGAGAAAGGTTTTGAGTTTTGAAAATAAAAATTTAAAGTTAGAAAATTAAAGCTAGGTACCTTTAAACGAATTGTAACTTGGTTTTTCCTTATTATATTAAATTGTGATATTGGGGACACCCATGTCTCCAGCTCTAAAATTTCCTGAGTTGAACTTTGAGTGGCTTCAAATCTGACTAAAGATCCCTGGAAATTGGACACAGCATTAATAATAAACAGAACAACTTACAGGAACAAAATATGGTATGTAGGCACAATTTTTCTTACTTTGTATGAATCATTGTGAAAGTATGAAGTAACTTCTAAAACCTTGAGGACTTTCAGAGAGCAGCTACTGTCCCCATTCTCCACTTTGTGAGAAGCATGTCGAGCCAAACTGGCAGAAACGGTCAATAACCCATCATCTGCTTGTGGGCTCAAATCCAGGTAATTATAAACACTCTGCCAGTAACTCAACTTGCTCTGAAGATCTAAAAAAAAAAAAAAGGCAAAAGTCAAGACAGTGGATAATTGGTCTTATGACTATTATGAAGCATTTGGTAACAAAAATGAATACTTGAGACACTTACTGCTAGGGGTGGCACCATACAACCATTCCTCCACTTTATCAATAACAAGCTGGCTAATAGTTGGATCAAACTTCCTTGCAAAATAGAGCTGTCGTTGCTCAGTGCTCTGAATAAGAAAATATGTAGGAAAATTACAGACTTAAGAAAACACATGGTTTCACAGAGGTTTTTGTATATAAATTGCTTGCTCACCTGTAGACGGCTCCAGTCATCAACCTTAAATACATTCGGACTACAACCACACCAATCAACAACATGTTGATACTGGCACTTACAACCGAGACGACGTTTCCAGTTAGTGACATGAAGATTGTTGTCAACATAGGTGTCACAGAACTTAGAGTTCCGTAAAATTGTGTGAAAAAAGGACTGAAAATAGATACATTATCAATAACAGCACAGCTCAAAGAAACAAAATCTGGCATCCAAAAGAGAAAATTGTACCTCAGCAGGCAAGAGTGTGCGTTTAAAAACAGTAAGAAGACCTTCCACAAGGTCATCCTGTTCTGAAGAAGTCACAAATGCCACAAACGTACGAGACAGAGCCACCCAGTCACTACCTCCATCAATCTAAAAAATAAAAGAGTCAAAGATAAATGTTAAGATAAAATATTAGAAGATTTGGATTACAAAAGATCTAGATGATTTCTTTAAATTAAAAAAATAAAAATAAACAGCAATACGTTTTGAACGTACTTGTATTCCCCACGGCAGTTGCCGATTTCCGATTCTCCACATATGTGCTTCACATTCAACGAATGATTTGTCAAGCCCCTGTTTTTGAATGAATCTCTGAGCCTCCCGGCCATGGGACTTGACAAAATTATATTGCTTGTTGGCAGTAAGAAATTTTACCAATTGAGTATTAGACCTACATATTAAAAATGCAATTGTGATTACGAGGAAGGAGTTTAGTAAAGAAAGACAATAGTCATACAAGAATTAACTGTTACTTACTTGATAGGGAAATCAGATTCACTCAAATTAATTACAAAGTCCCATTTCCAATCAGTTGAAAGCAAATAAGTCATTGATGACAGCAACATCTGAAGAAGAGAGGCACCTCCCCATATTGTGGCATAGCGTTTTCTGGCCAGTTTCACATTTGGAAATTGTGTCTCCAAAACCAGTAGTTCTCGGAAAAGGTAGTCTTGACGCTAAACAGCACACAAGTATAAATAAGATACATGCACAATAAATTTACAAGAAAGAGAACCATTAAAACTTCAGCAGCCTCTTACAGCATCAACATGAATGTAGAAAAAATGGTCTTGATGATAAAGTGTTTTAAACAATCTTCTGACTTGGCGAACCCCTCTTCCATTCAGAGTCAAGAGATATGCCACTCTTGCAGAAGGTTCATTTCTTAGTGGGCTTGCGCTTGGTACTTGAGGGGTAAACTCTGAAGTAAATGACATTGTTTTAATTATTTTCTGTCTGTATGACTAGGGCATTTGTTACATTTCACTTAACAATATGAAACAATGAACTCTTAGGAATACTTACTCGGAATACCTGTTTGATACACATTAATTGTGTAATACCCTCCACATGCTTTGCGAGGATCAGCCGGACATTTCATATTACATGAGGAATCAGGCAAACGAGAACTTGATTCAGGTCTGTTATTGCCACAGAAACACTCCACCCTTAAAAAATATAACACAAGCGGAATGGTAAGTTTTAAAAGGAGTAAGATATACAGGGATATAAAGCACAAATTACAAGACTTACGAATATTGAACACCAGCATAAGGAAAACCAGATTGCAGACATATGTTTATACAATGTTCTGGAGAATTTGTGGTTTTCAATGTAACAGAATATCCATTTAATCTTCTTAGGTTCTTTTCATCCTTGAAACAACCTAAAGATTTACCAGGTGTGATGCCTAAACAAGTTGGAACCAGAATGTAAAAACAAATATTGCAATTTGTACTACAAAAATGTTGCAAGAGTTTCCTTAGCAAGTTACCTTTTGTCAAAGGACAAGACATTTTCAGAGTTTTGGGATACAAACTGGAATCATTTATAAGGCACGTTGTGTTGGCGATTTCTTGCTTGCAAAGCTGAGTTTTAGCACGATGAATGGCAGAAACTGCCTCTTTGTTTGATATTTCACAAAGCGGTATAAAATCTAACTCTTCCAGTCTGAGCACTGTCTTGTTCACTGAACTGACTCCTGTCCGTGTCACAGATGCACTAGGCACATTTGCACTTTTCGTTACGCTTGAACCAGCTTGACGATTTGATGTCTTGTCAGGCGGCACTTTGTGACGATTGAAAAGGGCATTCATGGGTATGTCTTCATCATCTAAGGCAAGATAGTTTTCTTTAAATCTTCTGGACGATGCAGCTCCATTTGGATCTTCATTGAATGCCTATAACAGAAGTTCAAAACAGATAATTAACAGGCAATAAAAGCTTGAAAAAAATAAAAAATAAAAAAACAACATAGTAAGGTATATATCAGGCCGTGATCAATGAACTATTCCATAGAGAAAATGAATGAATAAAAGAGTTTTATTATCAAACAAACAAACAAAAACAACCAACTATGCTTAAAGAAAATTATCATGCGACCCGTTTAATAATAATCATTCTCAGATAGCTGAAATTTTGAAACTAATGCAACGATACCTGAATTTTTAATTAAATTTTGTGCTTCTACAGAAAAGGTGTCAAAGACAAAAATTTAAAATTGTTGTTAAACGAAAGAAATGGCTGCACGCACCTCCACATTTAAGCGTCTTTTCCCTGACACATCACGAGGTTCCGATATTGTCCCTACATTATCGGAATCCAGGGAGAAAAAGACATACGCTAAAAGCACCTGAACACACATAATCCCCAGGCCACATATTAAATATTTGCGATATCTTCGAATCCATCTACTGTCGGGTACTTTAACCGGAGCCATTTTTAGTCTGCTAGATCCGCGAGCGACTTGGAGTAACGAGAACAACATCAGCGACAAAACATAACACATGCTCAAAACTACGTATTATGTGCCAAAGCAGTAATGAGATGAAAGAAATCTTATGAAATGACATAAAATCAACTCACCTCTTTCGTAAGTTAGCTACGAAAATACTTTTCAAAACTATGTAACGAGGAAGTTTGTTACGTAGGTTGGCGCACTTGATCGATGAGAAATTTAATATGGTGTAGAAGGAATTAGGAATATTACGGAATTTGAGAGGAGCTTAGGTGCACGATATGTGGCTGTTCGGGTCATTATCAGGTAAGAATCATTGATATCATCCGAGGCAAAGTACCCATCAGTAAGTTTCACGCGTTAACGACAAAATGAAGAGGTTATGGGTCAATAATAAGAATTTCTCATATGGCTTGAATCTTGGCGCTTTGTCCGCGTACTTTCGAAAAGCACGTCACTTGGTCGCTTCGACACTAAACCACTAAACCTCAAACCTACTCCGAACGTTGGGTGTTGCGCAGATTCCGAACCCAGTCCACGTCCGTGGAAGAAAGCATCTTTTCATGCGACTAAACTTCGGTAGAAAAACAATTTCGAAACTAAACCTGAGAATCATTTATAAAACAAAATCTCACAGGTTTAACAGGGGATATTTTTTGGCGTGCATTTCAAGACGCGCAATTAGTTCTGCGAGTTTCGAGTGTTTCCAGATGTGAAACCTGAAACGAGGCGGAGCCATGCATCCGGTAAAGACCTCGCACCACGTTACAAGTTAACCCGCGGCCAGGGAAGTAAGTCCACATCAGTCTCTTCAATGTCCTCAGGCAGCGCCGTCGGCCTCTTCAGGGACTGTGAAGCCGGCAGTTCGACCCTCGTCGCTCCGGGTTCCTTCATCGAGTGAGTCTTGCTCGGCCAAACTTGCCTGGTCCCGCAGGTCTCTCAGTCCGACTCCACGACTCGTGATCGCTGTCTGCTTCGCACTCGTGGGGCGGTCCGTGGTGATGCGAGAGAGGCGGAGATTCGAAAGCACTGTTCAGAATCCAGTCCGCTGAGCCCCTGACTGAAGTGAAATGGTTCGGCCCTGCAGATGCCGCCCGCCTGTCTTCGAGCCGCGTGCAGTTCCAACAGACGCCGCCGCCACCACGGCCAGTGGCCTCGCGACCGTCCACCACCTCCAGAGCGTCTTCCCCTCGGCCCGTGGCCTCGCGACCGTCCACCACCTCCAGAGCGTCCTCCCCGCGGCCCTCCCCGTCCTCGTCCTCTCCCGCGCCGCGTCAGTGCCATTGATGCTGGTTCACGCGTTGCACTCGCACAACGTTCAAACGATTCAAACACGACTTGCCTTCTCTAACTCTCGGGCGATTCTGCACATCAGTGCAGTCACTCGGTCCTCCTCGCATGAGTGTAAAACTCATGGAATGTTCTGTCCGAAGGAGAGTGAGAGAGACAGAGCGACGACACGCTATGTGGAATCGAACCACTGGACCAGCCACGTGGAACTCTTCTCGGCTGCCCCCAAGAGCACTCGTTCCCTCCCTCGGTCCGTCCGGAACGCCTCCGCTCTCTCTGCGCAGGGAGGCCGTCGAGGCCGGCCTCCAGCACGGCGGCTGCGAAGAAGAGGATGCGCGTGGACGTGGCCACGCCGTCCATGGAGAGGAACTTCATCACCGTGGAGCGCGCCATGGCGGACTTCCTCCTGAGCGCCGAGGACCTGGAGGGGCTCAAGAAGACCTCGCGCCGGTCGCCCTACGCCTCCGCGCCAGAGATCGAAGTGCTGTCCAGAAAAGACGTGGTGCAAAGGTGACAAGTTCCCTCTTTTCAAACAAAAATAGTTTCAAACATTGGGTTAACTCTGGTGATACGGGTTTTGTGTGGCGGCAGGGCGAACCAGAAGTGGGGCTCTCCGGAAAACCTCGGGGTGGAACTACAGAAGCGCATTCAGCACGCGTCGCGGAGTGCCTCGCGGATCGGTGGGTGATGGGCACCGATGATGGGCACTTGGTCGCTCTGTCTCCCTCGCACCCTTGCGGAACGGAACGCCCCACGAGCGCGACAGAGACAGAGAGGCGAAAGGCCAAGTGGGGAGTCGAGACGGACGCATGCGGACGCAGGGATACGGCGGCCACCTCGCCACGAGCGTCGGCGCTTGGGCGAGGATGGGGACATGGACAAGCACCCCGGGCTGTGGGGGCCCTCCGGCGTGGTGGTGGTCACCGCCATCGCCCTGTACGCGTCGAAACGCACGGCAAATCAAACACCAGGTGAGTCATTCCCCCCACTTATTCTCTTTTCTTTTTCAGAAACGGAGGTTGCTTGGTCCTCAAGTTGGTAGCATGGAAACACACCAACTCTCACACCATGTTCTCCGAATTCTTGCACTCTGTGGCTGACACGGCCAACCAGGTCGTCATAGCCATCGGCGTGCACACCTCGACCAAGGTAAAAGGCCAGTATTCTTCGCGTTCGAGTCGTGTCTTCGGGCCGGCCAGGCCAGCTGGCTCCAGCGGCGGGCCGCCTGGAGCTAGAGCCCTCTCTCTCTACCTCGAGTTACCGAGCCGGGCGCCGTGCGCCACACGCGTGCTCGGCGGGCCGGCCTACTCGCCAGGCGCTAACTGCCCGCTGCTCCCGCTGCTGCCCGCAGCGCCCCAGCATGCAGCACCCCTACGGCTTCAGCAACTCCAAGTTCGTGTCGGCGCTCGTCTCCGGCGTGGGCATCTTCTGGCTCGGCATGGGCATGTCGCTGTCGCACGGCGTGCGCGGGCTGCTGGAACCCGCCGCCTGGGAGGACCTCACCTGGGTAGCTGCTGGGGCGAGCTGGGGTTGTGGGGCGCGCACCGCCATGGCACCACCATGGCACCGCCATGGCACCGTGCCGCCGCTAACGCACCTACTGCCCTAGGCCCTGGTCGTGATGGGCGTGTCCGGCGCCATGGAGACGACGACGCTGCTGCTGGCCGTGCGCACGCTGCGCCGCGAGGCCTACAAGAGGAGCATGCCCTTCTTGGCGTTCGGTGGGTGCGCGCACCGCGGTGGGCACAGTGACGCCACATCGGCCTTCGGACGTCCCCCGTGACCGCGCGTGGTGCCAGTATGACCTCCCAGGACCCGAGCGTCAACGTGGTGCTGCTGGAGGACCTGGCCGCCGTCGTGTCCATCCTGGTGGCGTCCTTGTGCCTGCTGCTGTCGCTGCAGACGCGCTCCAACATCCCCGACGCCGTGGGGTCGCTGCTCGTCGCCGTGGTGCTGGGCGCCGTCGCCCTCTTCATGATCTTCGACAGCGCGGGCAGGCTGGTGGGCAGGTGGGCCGGTCGTCTCCCCTCCCCGCCCCCGCCGAGCGCGTTGTCGGCGCGTTACGTGATTCGTGTATGGTTAGGTCCATCCCGGCGGCGGAGCTGCAGCGCATCAACGCCGAGCTGGAGGGCGACGTGATGGTGCGCGCCATCCACGACGTCAAGGGCATCGACATGGGCGACAACATGGTGCGCTACAAGGCCGAGCTGGACTTCGACGGCCGCCAGCTGGTCCGGGCTTACCTGGACCAGGTCAACATGAACCACGTGCACGAGGTGCCCGGTAGTACACCCAATACTGGATGAAAGGAAATTATTCGAAATCCGGAAACATGACGTGATGCGAATGGGAGTGGGATAAAGGGGGATGGGCAGAACAGTTTCCCGGGCTCTCCCCCCCCCCTCTCTCCGCCGGCAGTGCGAAGCGCGACGCGCTCTGCGCTCCATCGTGGCTCCCTTTGCGGAGAGACGCCCCGGACGCCCGGTTTGTTCGCAGGCCGTCAGGAACATCCACAGTGTGGAGGAGCTGGAGGAGTTCATGCTGGACCACGGAGAGAACATCGTGGACCTGCTCGGCAGCCAAATCGACAGAATCGAACGGAAACTCAAGGTGCGGACGAGGGGACGGGCCATGAAGTCACATGCCACATGTGCACCGCCAGGACTGACGTTCTCCATGGCTTCGTTACAGGCTGCACATCCGAGCATCAGGCACTGTGACCTGGAAATATTGTGAAACAACCGAGTTCGATATGAATAAAATTTTGTTTAACGCCTCTGTGAGAAATTGCTGTCAAATTACAGTGTTTCGCAACTCAACTTGGCTTACCATGTTCGGTTGTGTTCAAAGTACATCGTTTATACGACCTCCTTTTGTCCGACCTAGACTTCTCTTGCATCGGCATTTTTGCATCCGACCTGCGGTTATTCCGAACTGTTTCGAGGAAAGATGAGAGGGAGGAGGAGAAGGAAGGGGAGGGAGGGTGTGTCACGCCAGACAGGTAAGCCACGAACAACTGAACCAACAACGAATCTACCCTAACCTTCGGTCAAACTGCTGCCGTCGAGACCTGCGGGACGCCTGGAGTCCTGTGGTCGTGGACACAATGGGGCAAGGACATCAAATGAAACTCGTCGTCATCATGCGTCTTCTTTATTCCAGTCGTTTGCTCGGCAGGCACACAGTGGCACACAGTGCAAGGAACTAGGCGGGGCTTTGGCAAGTGGGCTTTGGGGTTTTGGCAGGTGCACGATGGCGCGTCGAGTTCGTCGTGAAGAGTCGAAGCTCCGCGGACCGTGGAACCTGGAACGGCGCGCAAGGCCAAGGGCGTCCGCCTGCAGCAGGCTGCAGCACGCAGCATGGGCGTGGTGCAGCACGACGCCGCTCGACGCCGAGGCGGCCGAGGCCCTCACGGCGGAGGCAGCTAGTAGTGGCCGTAGTGGGACGCGTAGCCGAGGCCGTGGCCGAGACCGTAGCCGTGGCCGTAGCCGAGGCCGCTGTAGCCCAGCTCGTGTCTGAGCCCGTAGGCCGGGGCGGCGGCGTAGGCGATGGGGGCCGCGGCCAGGACGGGGGCCTTCACCACGGCGGGGGCGGCATAGTGCACGGGGTAGGCCGCCTTGGAGATCTGGATCACAAACGGGGATGAGATTACAGCCTTGAATGCGGCGAGGCGAGGATGTCAGGTCTGAGAAGCGAGGGCTCACCTGGTAGCTGTTTTGGTACGACGTGGCCCCGAGCGCGATGGCCGCGCGCGGGTACCCACGGCGCGGCAGTGGCCGACCGCCGAGCGGGGCCCGCTGAGCCGAGGCCGCTGTAGCCGACGCCTCCGTAGCCGAGGCCGCCGTAGTGGTCACCCACGTAGCCCGCAGGCAGCCACGAGCGTGGACAGGCCACGGCAGGACATGGCAGCCGCAGGGCAGGCGGCCAGGCAGGGCCCAGGCAGGCCCAGGCAGGCCCAGGCAGGCCCAGGCAGGCCCAGGCAGGCCCAGGCAGGCCCAGAGCCCAGCGCCCAGGCAGGCCCAGGCAGGCCCAGGCAGGCCCAGGCAGGCCCAGGCAGGCCCAGGCAGGCCCAGGCAGGCCCAGGCAGGCCCAGGCAGGCCCAGGCAGGCCCAGGCAGGCCCAGGCGGGCCCGGCAGGCCCAGGCAGGCCCAGGCAGGCCCAGGCAGGCCCAGGCAGGCCCAGGCAGGCCCAGGCAGGCCCAGGCAGGCCCAGGCAGGCCCAGGCAGCCCGGGCAGGCCCAGGCAGGCCCAGGCAGGCCCAGGCAGGCCCAGGCAGGCCCAGGCAGGCCCAGCAGGCCAGGCAGGCCCAGGCAGGCCCAGGCAGGCCCAGGCAGGCCCAGGCAGGCCCAGGCAGGCCCAGGCAGGCCCAGGCAGGCCCAGGCAGGCCCAGGGCAGGCCCAGGCAGGCCCAGGCAGGCCCAGGCAGGCCAGCAGGCCCAGGCAGGCCCCAGGCCCAGGCAGGCCAGGCAGGCCCAGCAGGCCCAGGCGCCAGGCAGGCCCAGGCAGGCCCAGCAGGCCAGGCACCCAGCAGGCCAGGCAGGCCCAGGCAGGCCCGGGCAGCCAGGCGGCCAGGCAGGCCCAGGCAGGCCCAGGCAGGCCCAGGCAGGCCCGGCAGGCCCCAGGCAGGCCCAGCCCGTCCCAAAAAACCATGGAGCACATGGGGTCCCATGGATGACTTCCCACGAGACGATGATCTTTCACCATGGAAATTTAGGAAAACACCACGAGCACTCTTACACCACGGCATGGGGCGGCATGGGGCGACAAATAATTCCGTGGTGAAAGAACCACCATGGTGTCTATCGTCATGGTGAAGCATGGCTTCCCCATGGTGGCGCTCGCACCATGGTAACGTGCTCTTGCCCGTGCGTTGAAGTCTCCAGAGATTATTCCGAATCCCTCTGCAACTTGAAAACTACTAGAGATAGAGTGACGGCGACCGCTCCATCGTGTTCAGCATCGAATTTTTACGTGGGTGAAGAGGTTAGATGAACGCCTCGTGTCTCTTCGCTTGACTTTGTGACAAGGCACTTGGCACGCCATGTGTACGAGGGATGTCATGGGACCAGTACACCATGAAAACCAGACACCATGGAATTTTCTCATGGTAAAAGGGGCCAAAAATGAGGGGTGTTTTGGACACCATGGGATTTTGCTTCCCATGCAATCCCATGATGTCCCATGCACCATGGGACCCTCCATGGTTTTTTAGGACTGGGAGGCAGGCCCAGGCAGGCCCAGGCAGGCCCAGGCAGGCCCAGGCAGGCCCAGGCAGGCCGCAGGCCCAGGCAGGCCCAGGCAGGCCCAGGCAGGCCCAGGCAGGCCCAGGCAGGCCCAGGCAGGCCCAGGCAGGCCCAGGCAGGCCCAGGCAGGCCCAGGCAGGCCCACAGGCCCAGGCAGGCCCAGGCAGGCCCAGGCAGGCCCAGGCAGGCCCAGGCAGGCCCAGGCAGGCCCAGGCAGGCCCAGGCAGGCCCAGGCAGGCCCAGGCAGGCCCCGGCAGGCCCAGGCAGGCCCAGGCAGGCCCAGGCAGGCCCCGGCAGGCCCAGGCAGGCCCAGGCAGGCCCAGGCAGGCCCAGGCAGGCCCAGGCAGGCCCAGGCAGGCCCAGGCAGGCCCAGGCAGGCCCAGGCAGGCCCAGGCAGGCCCCGGCAGGCCCAGGCAGGCCCAGGCAGGCCCAGGCAGGCCCAGGCAGGCCAGGCAGCCCCGGCAGGCCCAGGCAGGCCCAGGCAGGCCCAGGGAGGCCCAGGCAGGCCCAGGCAGGCCCAGGCAGGCCCAGGCAGGCCCAGGCAGGCCCAGGCAGGCCAGGCAGGCCCAGGCAGGCCCAGGCAGGCCCAGGCAGGCCCAGGCAGGGCCCCGGCAGGCCCAGGCAGGCCCAGGCAGGCCCAGGCAGGCCCAGGCAGGCCCAGGCAGGCCCAGGCAGGCCCAGGCAGGCCCAGGCAGGCCCAGGCAGGCCCAGGCAGGCCCCCAGGCAGGCCCAGGCAGGCCCAGGCAGGCCCAGGCAGGCCCAGGCAGGCCCAGCAGGCCCAGGCAGGCCGGCAGGCCAGGCAGGGCCCCGGCAGGCCCAGGCAGGCCCAGGCAGGCCCAGGCAGGCCCAGGCAGGCCAGGGAGGCCCAGGCAGGCCCAGGCAGGCCCAGGCAGGCCCAGGCAGGCCCAGGCAGGCCCAGGCAGGCCCAGGCAGGCCCAGGCAGGCCCAGGCAGGCCCAGGCAGGCCCAGGCAGGCCCAGGCAGGCCCAGGCAGGCCCAGGCAGGCCCAGGCAGGCCCAGGCAGGCCCAGGCAGGCCCAGGCAGGCCCAGGCAGGCCCAGGCAGGCCCAGGCAGGCCCAGGCAGGCCCAGGCAGGCCCAGGCAGGCCCCGGCAGGCCCAGGCAGGCCCAGGCAGGCCCAGGCAGGCCCAGGCAGGCCCAGGCAGGCCCAGGCAGGCCCAGGCAGGCCCAGGCAGGCCCAGGCAGGCCCAGGCAGGCCCAGGCAGGCCCAGGCAGGCCAGCAGAGGGAAGACGGGGCGGTATGTCGACACGGAATCAAGCAGCATAACGGACGGCGCGGGGCACTGCCATCTCGACGGCCGCCACCACCATGGCCACCACCGCCACGCCCCCTCGGCTGCCTCGGCCCCCCTGGCCCTCGGTGCACGCGGCATGCAGACACGCCCCCTCGTTGCACTCGGCCTTCCCTCGTCTCCAATCAAGGAATTCCGTCCACGCTGCAACGCCGCAACGCCCGACGGACCGATGATCCGGCCCAGGACTCCGGCTGCTAGAGTGCACGCCGCACAGTGGGCCAGACTCGAACCGAACGCGTGATCCCAATGGATTCTCTCCGAACGATGAATCCAGTGATGGGGTCACTCGTTCGGTTTGAGTCCTGTTTAGCTACTCTGGAGCTCAAATGCGTCTAGAGTTTTGGCCGCCTCCACCGGTCTTCTGGCCTGGCTCGTCCAGGCTAGAGACCTAGAGGCTGGTCGGACGAGACTCCCTTTCCTTCACTAAAGCCGCCACCCCGTGCGTGGGGTTGCTGACGTCGACGGCGTGCTGCTGTCGCTGCCACTCACCAGGGCGTTCATGTTGTGGTGGGTGCGGTGCGGGTGCGGCTGCCGACTGTGATCCCCTCCGAGTCGGCGCCGTCTTTTATACGAGCGCACCTCCAGGCTCCAGGCTGCAGGCTGCTGCAGGCCTCCAGGAGGGGGCCCGCGCCTTCGCGTTCCTCGGCCATTTCCAGCCGTCGCCATGGAAACGCAACGCCGAGACTCCACAGGACTCCAGGACGCCAGGCAGCGCCCGGCAGCGCGTCGGCGCCCCCACGGTGCGGAGGGGGCGGCCCTCTCGGCGGCCCTCTCGGCGGCCCTTCTCGGCGGCCCTCTCGGCGGCCCTTCTCGGCGGCCCTTCTCGGCGGCCCTCTCGGCAGCCCTAGACGGCCGTGAGCAGACCGGCACGAAGTGCGCGTAGCGCGTAGCGCGTGCGTGCATAGGGGCCAAACAAAGTCGGCGAGCCTCCGAGCCACAATGAAAATGAAGCTGCACGCCTCTTACCCGTCCACGGCCAGGCCTGGCCAAGCCGTCAGGCCAGGGCAGCACCCGAAGGGCGCAGCGCCGGCAAGGCGAGGGCCGGCAAGTCGACGGCCACGGACGGCCGCGCTCCCAAAAACGTGACGACGCGGCGCACGAAATATAGTCACGGTCACAGTGCTTCAGCGCTCTGTCTCCCTCGCACTCATGGCGCGTTCCGGAAGGGTGCGAGAGAAACAGGCAGACAGACCGTTGCTGTCCAGCAGCCGCCGCCTCGTTAGTACGCACCACCTGCGCAACAAGTGTGAACCGAACTGACCCCGACAATAGCCGACCGGTGTTGGGTGACTTCGTCCGACATGCAGTCATGCTGGGAAGCGGTTTAGTCGATTTTCCTCTTTCGATGTTGCCTCGCCTTGCCTCGCACTCGAGCTTTTTACCGATGACCCCCAAAGTGGCGGCGATGTGGCGTGGCCGTCTTGGCCTTCTTGGCCTTCTGGTCCTTCAGCGCGTTCCGAGAGCCGCGTGCTCTATTCCGCATTTGGCGGGCGGGCGGCGTTTCGTTTCGTGCGGCCATTTTGGGACCGGGCACGTGCGCGGTGACATCACACATACACGGACGTGTGTGCTGTGTGAGGGTGTGTGCGTGCGTGCGTGAGTGCACCGCGGTCCGCTTGGTCGGGCGCGCAGCGCGTACCGAGTGCTCAGTCTCGGCGTGCGAAGTGTGAATCAGTCCAAGCGGTGCCGCGCGCTCGGCTCGGCGGTAATCGGGGTGGCGTCCAGGAGTCCAGGACGGCGGCATGACTGGCCTGGGAGCACTGCGGAGCACTGGGAGTGGCGGCAGGCGACGCGTCCGTGCCGCGCCCACCGTCGCCGTCGCCGTGTCTGTGTGATCCGCATGCGGGGCGTGGGAATGTGCAGTAACGTTCCGTTCCGATGAGGCCAACCAAGCCAACCGACCTGCCGAGCTATTCCGAACTCCGTGCTTTGTCCTCGTCACTCTGTCTCCCCCCCCCCTTTTCCCGCGTTTCCCCATGACTGCGAGGAGAGATACTATCCATGAGTGCGAGAGAGAGAGAGAGAGAGAGAGAGAGAGAGAGAGAGAGAGAGAGAGAGAGAGAGAGAGAGAGAGAGAGAGAGAGAGATGCTAATCCTGCAAAAGCCCCACTAACGGATCGACGGGAGGCTTCGTACCGGAAAGTAGTTTGAAAAACAGCCGCAGATCCTTCGGGCCACATTGTCAAGAGACTGTCTGCCACACCCACCACTGCACCGCAGCGCAGTGCTTGATGGCGCTTTCGGCAGCCGGGACCGGGACGCCTTGTGTGCCTAGGCTGGCCTGGGCGCACCACGCGGCCCTCCGCCACTACACTCTGCGGCCAGGATTAGCCATTACAGCCCTGCCGGCCCTGCGATCACCCGGAAACGGCCGCGCCTGCACGCGAAGGTCCGCGCCGCGCCGTGCCGCGCCGTGCCCCAAGGTGCGACCCGTCTCCGCCTCCGTGCGCCGCGCCGCGCCACGACGCGATCCCCGCAGGCGCGGCCGCGACCTGGCAGTCAATCGCAGGTGCAGCGATACCGAAATCAGCGGCGGATGCAGGAAAAGTCAAGGACCACGGCCGCGGCGTGCAGTGCGGTGCATCCAGTGCAGTGCGCGTCCCGCACGTCCTGGCGGATGGATGGCCGTGCAGGCTGCGCGCTGCGCGCGAGAACACACAAACAGTACCTCATTTTCAGTGTATCATAAAACGGTCCAAAACTACATTTTAATGTTTGCGGGATGCTAACGACCCACTACTGAACTGCCGTTGACCGCCTCCGCTGTCACGGCGCATCGCGCTATCCTCGACGTCACCCGATAGGCCCACTACACTGGGACGTACCGCGGGGCCGTGGGGGCGCGGGGGCGGGGCAGGGGGACCGGTTCGCGACTAGTGCCTCCGCGCCGCCGCGCATTGAGCCTCTGGCTAGGCGTCTGTTTGGTCGCCTCTGGCAGCCTCTACAGTCTTCATCGGCAAAGAGTCGACCGGCAAAGAGTCGACTTCATGTGACGGTCCCCGCTTACGCGGCGGGGGCGAGCTCGAGCCACAATAGTTTTATGGCCCTCCCGAGCTCGGAGCACTACCGGAGCTTTTGTCTACCACCATGTGCTGTTTGGTTTTCGTGTCGGCAAAGAGTCGAAATCCGGTCCCGACCCGTCGACTCTTTGCCGATGAAGACTGTAGTCGCCTCGGCGTCTCTTGCGGCGACAGCCTTCACGGCCTTGCGCGCGGCGGCCCGGCCGGCCAGTCAAGCAGGCAGCAGCAGCTAGTTGAGAGCGGAGGACGGTCCAGTGGACTCCCAACGCAGCAGCGCGCCGAGAAGCGAGCGTCGAAAATGATTTCTTCTGATAACGTGTCGGGTAAGGACTTTGGTTTGTTTGTTTGTTCGTTCGTTCGTTTGTTTTGATGACTTCGACAGACCGCCAGCAACACGGTCAATACCGTTAATACAGTATCCAGAATATCCAGAATGGTTAAAGTGCTTTTTTAGTATCGCTGAAAGGTCATTCACGCTGTAGCCATGTGTGGTGCATGGAAACCGAGGACTCGCGAAGGCCGAGATTAGACAAGGCTGTCGTGTGTGTGTCTCGCGCGCGCGCGCGCGTGTGTGTGTATGTGTGATATCCTAGCCGATGCACTGCACATGCCCCATATGCGTGTTTCGTGATGTAATATACCGACAAGCACATTTCATTTGAAACGTGTCGTTCGGGCCGGGCGTCTGTTTCAGTGGCGGATCCAGAGTCAGCCCAAGGGGGGGGGGCAAAGTAGCACTTTTTGCCTACTTACAGGGGCAAATTGGTGCTTTTTGCCTACCTTTCAGGCGGCTATCTAGGGGTCAAGGGGGGGGGGGCAATTGTCCTTTGCCCCCCCCCCGGATCCGCGCTTGGTCTGTTTGGGTGCCGTCTCGGACTGAGCCCACGCTTGCCCACGGCATCAGCGTTCCTCGACCCGGGGCCCGGGGTCGCCATGTCACTGATGTGAGAAAGGAGTGGGCGTTAAATGAGATAACGATTGGCCGTCTATGCGTTGGAGTACAGACGCGGTACAGACTGAACGACCAAGTCCTGTCTCCCGCACGGTCTGGTTAGACTTTCCAAACGCGTGGCTTGGCGTGGCTTGGCGTGGCGACGAGGGAGGAGCTGGGTCCACCCCAGAATGCCAGTTGAGCCCGTCAAAGCCACAGTAGACAGGCCAACGCTCGACGACTTGGTTGACGATGGTGTTGTTGTTCCGGCAGGCCGCACCATGGTGGTGGCGGCCGTGGCTGCCGCGGGCGCCGCGGTGCTGGGGGTGGTGGTGGCGCGCAAGCTGCTCGAGGACAAGCGGGACAAGTGCCCCGCGGAGTCGGCCTGGCGGCGCGTCGGCACGGTCACCACCCTCCACGTGTTCCCCCTCAAGTCGGGCAGGCCCGTCGAGACCGACAAGCTGGTGGCCGGAGAGGCCGGGCCCACCCTGGGTATTCTCCGGGACAGGTTTGGCGTCCAGGTAAGTTGGGCACGAAGTGGTCGAGCCCGGGCAGTGGGTGACGAACGCCTTGTTCTGCAGGTCTTTCGTGGCGGTTGATCGCACTGGCCGCGCCGTCACTGGTCGCACACACCCCGGCCTGCTGACCGTGTCCATCTCGCCCGCGACGGGCAAGGAGGGCGCCGTGGAGCTGCGCAGCACGCTGGTGGACAAGCCCCTCATCCTGGACATCTCACAGCTCAAGGCGCTCAAGGGCCGGAAAATCGCGTAAGTGGTTTGCTTGCTGCGCCGGCATTGCCAGCACTGCGGCGGGGAACACAATGTGGACGGAGTGGTGGCGCTCTGTGGCAGGGTGTGGAAGTGCACCGTGTCCGGGGTGGACTGCGGCGACGAGGCCGCGGACTTCATCCGCAAGGCCGCCGTGACCTCGGCGCACCCCGAGGGCTCCGCCGCCGCCGAGCTGCGCCTGGCCTTCTTCCCCTGGAAGGGCACTGACCGCAGCTAGTGTTCCGGATTGGGTGGGCGGTCAAAACCCGATGATTCCAGAGCGACTCTAGAACTCGGCCGGTGAATGCAGTGCCGCCAACAGACACTGTCAGCAGGCTAGCGTAGGACCTGAGCTAGCCCGTCGGCAGTGCCTACGGGCGGCACTGCATTCACCGGCCGAGTTCTAGAGTCGCTCTGGAGTCATCGGGTTTTGACCGCCCACCCAATCCGGAACACTAACCGCAGCGGCCCCATCAAGAGGTCGCGCGGCGTCTTCGTAAGTACCCACCCGCTGGGGCTCGAACCTCAAACCCGGGTCCGCGGTCTCGCCTGTAAGTCGCTGGCGCTCGCTGACGCCGATCTGGTGTTGCAGGGCATCTTCACGGACGAGACGTCGTACCACCTGATCGTCCGCTCGTCCGTCGACGCGCTCAACGAGAAGCTCGAGGTCCCCGTCAGGACGCTCAACTTCCGCCCCAACTTTGTGGTGGAAGGACCGGCCGCCTTCGACGAAGACGCTTGGCAGTACGTGCGCATCGGCCAGGTTGTCTTCAAGATGATCCATGCCTGCGGCAGGTGAGCCTCGCCCCGCGCGCCTCGCGCACTCCTCGTCCTCCAGCTCGACATGGATTGCTTGCTGACGCCCCCTCCCTCCACAGGTGCATGCTGACCACCGTTGATCCGGACACCGGCATTAAGTCGCCCACCACGGAGCCGCTGACCACCCTCAGGAAGTAAGTCCATCCCGCCCGACCTCGCCCCTGCCGAAGGTTGTTGCTGACGACGACGGTGAACACGTTTGCTGCAGGTTCCGCCACCCCACCCCCGAGCAGAGGGCGCTGATGCCGCCCAGCGACGGCCACGCGCCCGTCATGGGGATCATGCTGGGCGTCGTGAAGCAGGGCGAGATCTTCCTCAACGACGCCGTCTACGCGTACCCCTGAGCACCTTGCCTCCCTGCACCTGCGCGCATCTAGTTCTAAGATCATCTTCCCTGTAAATTAAGTATTGTTTATGGTTGTATTTTCGTGCCGCCCAGTGCGATTACGCTGGAAGGTGGCAAACTGCCATCGGGAGAGTGGGTTAAAATAAATTGTCATCAGTGACCGGTGTTCTGGAACTCATTCGCCTCGCGGGGTGCATCCACGACCACTCCAGGGCCTGTCCAGCGGTCCAGTGCGCCAGCTGCAGTCTACAGCCTTTGAATAGAGTACTCCAAAGAAGCTCTGGCCCGGAAGAAGAAGAACAAAAACGGAAGTAAGAAATTGCAGTATCTATGAGAAATATACGCTGCGCATGAGCATCCGCAGCGTATATTTCTCATAGAAACTGCTATTTCTTACTTCCGTTTTTGTTCTTCTTCTTCCGGGCCAGAGCTTCTTTGGAGTACTCTATTGTAACGCGACGTCCTCGATCTAGCAGAGGATCAGTTCTGTTCTAGCCTATCATGTTCATGTTCATCATCGCGGGTGGCGAGTGCCAGCCTCGCACTGCTGTGCTGGCTGCACGGCGCACGGCGGATGGGCGGCCAGCGCGGCGCGTGGCGGCCGAGTGTATGCACAAGGTGGGGCAGGCGAGCTAGTGGGCCGGACGGCCATTAGCACGGTGGGGCAGGCCGTGAGGCAGGCCGAACGGATGCAGCATGCTGATTCCGAGCAGTGCTTTTGTCGCTCTGTCTCTCTCGCACTCACGGGGCGTGCCGCAGGCGTGCGGGAGAGATGGAACGGAATCGGCCTGCAGGGCAGTAAAGCCAAGGCCGGCCCGCGGTAATGAAGATGAGGATCATCACGTCGAGGAGGAAGGGGGAGGGGGGGGGGAGAGATTGACTGTTCGCCCCTCCCCGCGGTGTTGGGTGAAAACGACAGCAGCCGACACCGCTGAAGACAACGCGCCAGCGGTCGGTGCGCCGTGAAGCACGCAGCCCACAGTGCAGTGGCGAGCGTTGGGTTGCCGACTCGCGCCTGGCCTGCCCCGCGCAATCCAAACGCGGCTATGTACGCGCGGTGCGACGTGCGACAAGGTGCTCAACCAGCACAGATGTTTTCTGTTTACTTGTCTGCCACTAATTTGAAAGGTCATAGGGGGCCGTGAGCCAATCCACGTGCGCTTTCTGTGACCTATCTCTGCTTGGTGTCTTTAAAAAAACAAGCATTCGCCAAGGTCGTGCTTTTTGCAGCAAAGAAAAGATACTCTTGTTTTGTCAATTCATTTTAATTTAAGAAAACAACGGGACAATTCAACAAATATGTCATTTTTTTTCTATTGTAGTGGTAAAAAAAATACAATTATCTCATAAAACATTAAATAGAAATTCATTGCTTTTAATCTTATGTACAAAATCACTGCACTTAATTAGGTCTATCATTATGTACAATTGTATGTATAACTTACAAATTTATAACAAATCACTAACACACATTCACACAGTTAAGAATGTTTGCAGATAAACAGACTAAAAATTTACAACATATTTAGTTTTATACATTCTTACTTTGACAATTGAGCAGTGGGCTAAAAGACATAATGTGTCAAAACATACTAACTTTCTGGTACATGCAGCTTATTGTCCATTGAAAAATAATTTTGCACAACCAGTAATACAAACCTTCATACTCGCTCTGCAGTCTTATGCTTATTCTGCTTCAATTTTAATTTTGAAAAAAGTATTATGTAGAAACCATATGAAATACGATATGGTCTTTAGATTGAGCATCATGGTCAAATGGTAAGAAACAAATATTTTTCTTTAAAAATATTGGTACCAAACGTCCTGGAATATCACAACATCAGCATAATGACACCAGCTGAATGACACTTGCGATTCAGTTCTTAAGCTATTAAGTACACATGTTCATTTGGCTTCATAAGTGTAGACACATCTAAAATTTAAGCAATTTCATAATCCGGAATGGTTTCATAAGGATCAAAGTTCTTGCATGAAGTCCAGGATGAAAGTGGGGATAGGTAAGGATAAGAGAGTTTTGGAATATTTCAAAATAAATGTCATCTAACAAAGACACCTGAATAAATTTTCTTCTCAGAAAGATTTTTAGGCAAAATAAATAAATAAACCTTTTAAGGGCTAAGGCTCTCCAAGTTAAACCTAAATCATACCTGATTATACCGCTCACTTTGAACTTCCATCATTGATAGCAGGACGGATGGATTGGCACTACTTTTCACAAACTCAGAATAAAGTCAACTCTCAACACATATGTCACATAAATCTTATCAAAACTAAAAAATAGTTATGATAATATTAATAATTAGCTTATTATAAACAATGAATGACTAAGAGGAGATATCTCCATGCATCAGTATTCATGGCCATCGAGTGACAGCCAAAGCAACATTTTGATTTTCCGCATTATTGCATGAAATGGGGGAAAAATTGTCTACAAAAATCTAAAGCAAGATCTTTTTCTGGCACCATATTTCGCTTCTCTAAAGCTCAGTGGTTGTTTCAATACTGTTGCAGTCATTAATGTATGTGAAGCCCCCTAGATGGGAATAGTCTTTCTTCTCACAAAACAGTACATTTTCATTGGTGGCACTTGCATTAAGGTGGCCTACATTATTTTCTTCTTGTGATCTGAAAAGTAAATGGAAGCAGTGGTGATGGAACCATTTTTGAACTAGATGAGGAAAAAACGAGAAAAGTGAGATGCTGAACAAACCTGTCGTAATGATGATTGTTGCTGGGTGGGTCGTGACCAGTTAAGTTATTGGGCTTCATCTCTCGCCTTCGCAGTGTTTCGACTCCACCTACTATACTGGAAGCTCGCGCTGTCGTAGCTGCATCTGAGCTGACTGGACTTTGCTGGCCTGCAGTGATGGAAACAATTCATAAATGTTCTCCTGACTGTGGCCATGCATTAAGATATAAAATATGACAAAACGTACCTATACTGTCAGCATGATTTTCTTTTGTAATATAGCTTACATTGTCCATACTAAAAGCATGATTTTTTTGACTAAAGTCTAGCTGCAGGTCATTATAGCTGTCATTATCATCAAGAGGTACACTCATCTGCAGAACCTGATGATATTAAATGTAAAGATTAATACATACTCCATAGCACGGTTTAAAATAAATTAGTATTCACAGCGTTCTTGCCTGAGTCTCGTATTCCTTCAAGTTCGGTTCCACAAAAACTGGGTCATATCTTGGCACCACATACATCCTCTGCATTCTCTCCTTGTACGCCTTGTACCTGAAAACCGGGCAATTGTGAGCCAAAAGCTATTCAACTGCACTATCGTCAAAGTTGCGTAGAATATTTGCCTCATGGGAGACATGCTCGCTCGCGGTGCTCGCAGTACGCACCTGGACCAAGACACGCATATGTAGACGATGCCCACGACGCCCAGTACCAGGATGACGCAGGCGATGACGATGAGCGCGTAGGGGAAGACCTCCCACGACACGGCCACGGCCGTCTTGGCCCTCGCCACCACGTAGGGCTCGTGGATGGCGGTGGCCGTGGCCTGCAGGTTGGCCGACACGTCCAGCGTGATGTTGGACACGGCCTGCTTCTCCAGCACGGACCGCTGCACGCGCGTGCTGTTGCGCTCCAGGATGCGGCCCGTCACGGGGTCCACGGCGTAGAACCACACGTCCGTGCCGCTCGAGTCCGTCTGCAGCGTGGCGTTGTCGGCCAGGTAGTGGCGCGCCGTCAGCCTGTCCACGCCCACCACGAGCCCGGAGTGCTGCTCCAGGATGGCGACGAGCCGCTGCGCCTCGCCCTGCACCCGCTCCGGCCGCACGTCCTGCAGCACCAGCACCAGCAGGTTGCTGGGCGTCACGATGTTGACGATGACCTGCGCTCGGGCCGCGTTCGAGCCGCCGACCCCGCCCGGGTTGTCGCGCGCCTCGACGGCCAGGCGGAAGGGCAGCCGCTGCGGCGGCACCTCCTCCAGGGAGCGCTTCGTCTTGAGCACGCCCGTGTCCGCGTCCAGCGCGAAGAAGTCGCTGTCGCTGCCGCCGTCGCTGGCCACGTCGTTGTCCGTGTCGGTGGCCGCCGCGTCCACCAAGGCGTACTGCACGCGGCCAAAGCGGCCACCGTCGCCGTCCTCCGCCTTGACCTGCAGCACCGACGTGCCGATCTGCGCGTCCTGCGGCACGGCGCCGAAGTAGCGACCCGTGGCCGCCTCCAGCCCGCTCGCCGGGAACACGAAGGTGGGCACGTTGTCGTTGAGGTCCTCGACTTGCACCTTGATGCGAGTCGTGGCCTGGGCGGGGTTCACCAGCCCCGGCAGCGTGTCCAGCTGCACCGTCAGCAGGTACTGGGCGCGCTGCTCGCTGTCCAGCGGCGCCGCGCCGCTCACCCGCAGCTCGCAGTTGCGCTCCTCCGTCACGTTCACATAGAAGAGTCCTCCGTCGTTGCCGCTGACGATGCTGCAGTGCAGTGGCGCGGGCGCGGTGCGATGCGCCTTGCTGTTGACGATGGTGAGGGTCTTGACGAGCGTGCCGGCCGTGGCGTTCTCGGGGACCTCGACGGTGTACGCGTCCTCCGCGAAGCCCAGCCCCGTCTCCGGCGCCACGGTGGCGGTGTGGCGCACGAACACGGGCACGGACATGACGGACGACAGCTGCGGCTCACCCAGGTCGTAGGCCTTGACGTCCACCTGGTAGCTCTGGTCCGCCTCCTTGCGCAGGTCGTCGCGCACGCTCAGCACGCCCGAGTCCGAGTCCACGGTGAAGTACTTGCTGGCCTTGCCGCGGCCGATCAGCTCGTAGCGCACCTTGTTGCCCGGGGCCGTGCCGTCCGAGTCCGTGGCCGTGAGCGTGGTCACGCGCGTGCCGATGCTCACGTCGTCCTCGAGCGTGACGGGCCGCGCCACGGCCGTGAACACTGGCGGGATGTCGTTGCGGTCGTCCACGTTGACCACGACGCGGGTCGTGGCCCCGGCGCCGCTGCCCGGGTTCTCCTGCGTGCCCACCACCAGGATGTACTGGCTCTCGCGCTCGTAGTCCAGGCCCCGCGTCGTGCGGATCACGCCCGTCTTGGCGTCGATGGCGAACAGGTCCGTGGGGCCCTGGCGGATCACGTACGTGACGCGCTTCACGGTGTCCGGGTCCTCCGCACGCACCTGCAGACAGCAAGCGGCGAGTGTCATCGGCGGCTCGGAGACAGGTGTTACAGTGTAAGTACGGGCAGAGCAGGACGACCAATTGTGGCCTAGCCCGTAGTGGTAATGGTAATGGGCGCCTGCAGCGTAGGCAGTCCCGTTGCGCACGGGTGCACGCTGGGCCGCCGGACTGCCTCCGCTGCAGGCGCTCTTCGGCTCCGGCTCCGGCAAGGACGACGGCGTGCTCCACTCACCTGCGCGACGACGTGGTCCGGCACGTTCTCCGGCACGTGGACGTCGTAAGTGAGCTGCTTGAAGACCGGCAGCTCGTCCTCCACGTCCATGACCTCGACGGTGACGGTAGCGGTGGCGAGGCGGGGATCCGGGGCGCCGTCCCTGGCCGTCACGACGAAGCGGTACTCCTGCGGGTTGAAAAAAGCCGCGTTAGTCTCTCGGAGGAACGTCGGGAACACTGGCCGATCATGTTCAATGTTCGAGCCCAAACTCACCTTCTGCTTCTCGTAGTCCAGCGCCACCTTGGTGCGCACCTCGCCGGTCATGGTGTCCACGGCGAAGGGGACGTCCTCGGGCACCGAGTAGTACACCACGGCGTTCTGGCCCTCGTCCGCGTCGTTGGCGTGCACCGAGCCCACCGTCTGGTTGGCCTCGCCCTCGCGCACCCGGAACACGTAGGGCAGCCCCACGAACTCGGGGTTCTTGTCGTTGATGTCCGTCACCTTAATGTTGACCGTCGCCGTGCTCGACAGACCACCCGTGTCTTCGGCCTTGATGAGCTGAGGAGGCAAATTCAATCAACGCCAGTCGGGAACGAGCCGTGGTGGTGAGGGGTTCATTGAGAGAAAACCGGCAGGCCGGTTCCGAACAGTGCTTGTCGTTCTCTCTCTCTTACACACCTCAATGGGACGGCGCTGTGCGAGAGACAGCGATACGAAAGCACTGTTCGGAGTGACGCTAACGACCGCGTGCCTTCCACTTCCACTCACCAGCTGGTATCTGGTGAGGTCCTCGCGGTCCAGTTTCCGGATGATGGTGATGACCCCCGTCTTGTCGCCGATGGCGAACTGCCTCAGGTCGTTGCCGCTCACGATGGAGTAGGACACGGGGTCGTCCTCGGGGTCCTTGGCCTGCGGCGGGGAGAGTGGAGTGAGTGTGATTACATGTTGCTGCACGCTGCAGACTGCACACGCTCCGAGTGTGTTTTGCGGCGTACTTACCGTAATGGTGGCCACCGTGGTGTTGATGGCGGCGCCCTCGCTGACCTGCACCTCGTAGACGGACTGCTGGAACACGGGGCTGCGCGTGTTGGGCCCGGGGACGACCTTCACCTCCACGATGGTCTGGCTGGACCGGCCGCCAGTGTCGGTCGCCTGCAAACGCGGAGGTTGAGTTTGACATTCAGCCGGGCGTGGGACATGGTTGCACTGGCGAGGAGCATCGCCCCGTCGCCACTCCGTCGCCACTCCGGCAAACATCGCCACGCACCTGCACCGTGATGCTGTACTGCTCGCCGGCGTTGAGCTTCCCCATGGTCTCGATCAGCCCGGTGTCGGGGTCAATGACAAACTTGAGGCGGCCGTTGTTGGACACGTGGTAGATGCTGTACGTGACCAGGGCGTTGTCGCCCTCGTCGTTGTCCGTGGCCTCCACCTTGATGACCTCCCTCTTGCCGTCGCCGGCCTGCACGGACACGGGCGGGATCATCGGCAGGCGCGGCGCGTTGTCGTTGACGTCGGTCAGGGTGACGGTGAGCGACAGCGGCGAGCTGGCGGCGTTGCCGCCCTTCTCGCGCGCCACCACCTGGAAGCGGAACTTGCCCGGGCTGGGCGGGTCGCGGTCCAGGTCCTCCTCGTTGACCGCCAGCACGCCCTTCTCGATGCGGAAGAAGTTGGTCGTCAGCTCGAAGGTGTAGGTGGGCTTGGGGTCCTCGGGGCCCTGCGAACAGCGACAAACAGCGTTAGTGCACACAAGGACAACACACATTACGGCGGTGTCCGTGACTCACCAGGTCGGCGTCGGTGACGGTGAAGGAGATGGGCCTGCCGTTCACGTCCAGGATCTGCGTGCCGACCGGGGAGTTCTCCTCCACGTAACCCTCCGTGGCCGTGGCGATGATTTCCGGCGGGTTCACGTCCACGGGCTTCACAGTGATCTCCAGCTTGGCGGTCGCGAACCTCTTGGCCTCGGACACCTCAGCGGCCTGAGTGGACACAGTGGACACATCACGTCATTGGACAAAAGAAGGGGGTGAGTCGCGGTCACCCGACGGCCTGGATCCCCACGCACCTTGATGATGAGGTGGAACTTCTTGGTGACGGAGGTGTCGACGGGCTGCGTCTGCCGCACGGCTCCCGTCTGCGGGTTGATCTCGAAGTAGTCCCTGAAGCTGGCCGGCGAGCCGCTGAGGAAGGAGTAGGCGATGGGCGAGTTGATGGAGTCCATGTCCACGGCCTGGATCTTCTCCGGCGACACGTGCAGCACGCCCGCCAGCCTGCCGCTCTGCACCTACGGCACCAAGGGGGCAAGGGCGTCAGGCAAGAGCTAAAACAACGACGACTCGAGAAAATGACGTCGCAACGAACCGATGCCGTGTACTCCGGGTTGATGCAGGCGCCGTCCAGCAGCATGCAGCCCTGGTAGATGAAGCTCGGGTCCTGGTCGTCGTCGTCGCGGACGTTGACGGTGAGCGTCGCGCTGCTCGACAGCCTCTCGGACGAGTTGCGCGCGCGGTCCTGCGGGGACAGACAAGCACGCGTCAGGCACAGCGCCATAGTTTTAGGAGTGGTGATGGTTTCACGTGGGGCTTACCGTGGCCATGATGGTGACTAGGTAGCGCTGCGTGCGCTCGTAGTCCAGCGACCGGTTGACGGTGACCTGGCCCTGATGAGGCAGGTTGATGGTGAAGTAGCCGTAGCCGTCGGCGTAGTGCGTGCGGGGCTGGGCCTGGTGGGCGGCGGTCACGGCCGCGGCGTCGCCGGGCACCACCATGTACTCCATGAGCCCGTTGACGCCCGCGTCCGCGTCCGTGGCCTGCACGCCCTGAAAGATCGTGGTCCCCACGGGCGTAAGCTGCAACAAACACATGGAATCTATCAGAACAACTTCGGTCGTTCAGCTTGCGAAGTTTTGGGACGTTTTGGGACACCCTCATCTCTAAACGGAACCATAAGAGTGGGCGCAGGTATGGACCCAAAAATCCTTATCCATTACCCTTTATCCATCTCATCTCGCGGACACTAGCTGGTCTGCGTCCGCGCCAGTTGGCGGCGACTTCCCCTCCCGTCCCCATCATCCTACCCCCGGACTTCCCGGACGCAGCCGCGCGGCGGAGCTTGCCGGCGGCGCCGCCAGATGGCCCGCCCGCGCGGCGGAGGGCGCGGCGATGGCAAATGTTGTATTTGGGGCTGTGGCCGTGGCTGGGGTGGCCGGGACGAAGGTGGTCGAGGGGGCGGGGTTGAGGCCGAGGCCCCTGGAGGTGGCGGCGAGTGTGTGCGCGTGCCGAGGCCGTCGCTGCGGGCTTGCTAGAGCGGCGTCCGCGAGTGGCCAGCCGCGGGCCGCGCCGTCCGCGGCTCGGGTTAGTCGCAACAGACTTTTCTTGTTTGGCATACTTACCTGGCACAAAGGTTAACCGTGAACACTAAGGCGGTTCCTTCAGGGTGAGGCCTGTCCATTGCACTTCGGGCGGGCTGACCTCTGCGAGTATCCCTAATGTGGATACCTCGGGTGCACAATTTTTGATAGTCGGGACTGCGTACGCGCGGTCCCGGATAATCCACACATTCATTTCCTGTAGGAAGCCGGCGTTGTGTACATTTGGCGCCAATTCGAGGCGACATCTGCTTTTCCCAACAATTCTCGTTTCATCGCGTCTGTCTTTGCCTTGTTGTGGGGCGCCACGCCTCGTGGCCCGCCCCCTCACTTGTTCCTGCTTTTTCGGCAAATGTTCAAGTAGCTTGTGTCGTGAACCACCACATTACACGGCGGGGGGAATTTCCCAGTGGTTTCCCCCCAAGCCTTCTCCCCTCGCGGTGCGCGCGATGCCGTCCGTGGTCCGTCATCTGGAGTCGCTCGAGAGATGGCGCCGCGGTCGTCTTTGGACCGCTCGCTCGCGGTGAGTTCTAGCGCTCGCGCCTTACATATACTGCCTGGAGTGCACACTTTCAACTAACTTTGCGCAGTGGCGATATCGTAACCAATGAGGTTTATCCGAGGTGCGATTATTGCTAGTTGAAAACTTTTACCAATACCCCGCCTGTTGGACTTGCAATACAGTCCGACGTGGCAATTTTTGGAAGCCCCTACGGGGGCTCATGAGACTATCAACTTCTTCCTAAACCAGTGTACGTGAATAGTCGCCTCGGTTGCGAAGTTGTTCGTCAACCAAGGGACCAACAACTATGTTTGAGGCCACATCAACCCCCCCCCTGCAAAGAGAGTACGGCGCGGCAAGTTCTGGCGGGCGGGGAGGGGGGGGGGTAGGTAGGTAAAAGAAGTCCCGGCGTTTCCCGGCCCACGTTGGTCATCAACAGCTCCCCTAAGAAGAACGGGGTATACGTAATGCATGAAGAAACTGTAAAAAAAAAATGCTTTTGGCAGAAAAATGCTTTTGACAATATAATGCTCTTGGGCGAAGTAGATCGAGAAAAAGAACAAGAAAAACGTTGGACAAGACCCTGTTTGTGGCCAGGTTCTTCACCCTAACGAGGTACAGAAACGGGATTAGAAATGCTCTTTGCAGAAAAATCCGGAAGAAATGGTCTTTGAAGGATAGAACGAAGCGTTCTTTTACTTCTTTTACACCCGTCCCCCCGACCCACCTTTTGGCCCATAGACAACATACGTTGTCTATGTTTTGGCCAGAACTTGCCGCGCCGTACTTTAGAGTTGATGTGGCCTCAAACATAGTTGTTGGTCCCTTGGTTGACGAACAACTTCGCAACCGAGGCGACTATTCACGTACACTGGTTTAGGAAGAAGTTGATAGTCTCATGAGCCCCCGTAGGGGCTTCCAAAAATTGCCACGTCGGACTGTATTGCAAGTCCAACAGGCGGGGTATTGGTAAAAGTTTTCAACTAGCAATAATCGCACCTCGGATAAACCTCATTGGTTACGATATCGCCACTGCGCAAAGTTAATTGAAAGTGTGCACTCCAGGCAGTATATGTAAGGCGCGAGCGCTAGAACTCACCGCGAGCGAGCGGTCCAAAGACGACCGCGGCGCCATCTCTCGAGCGACTCCAGATGACGGACCACGGACGGCATCGCGCGCACCGCGAGGGGAGAAGGCTTGGGGGGAAACCACTGGGAAATTCCCCCCGCCGTGTAATGTGGTGGTTCACGACACAAGCTACTTGAACATTTGCCGAAAAAGCAGGAACAAGTGAGGGGGCGGGCCACGAGGCGTGGCGCCCCACAACAAGGCAAAGACAGACGCGATGAAACGAGAATTGTTGGGAAAAGCAGATGTCGCCTCGAATTGGCGCCAAATGTACACAACGCCGGCTTCCTACAGGAAATGAATGTGTGGATTATCCGGGGACCGCGCGTACGCAGTCCCGACTATCAAAAATTGTGCACCCGAGGTATCCACATTAGGGATACTCGCAGAGGTCAGCCCGCCCGAAGTGCAATGGACAGGCCTCACCCTGAAGGAACCCCCTTTAGTGATCACGGTTAACCTTTGTGCCAGGTAAGTATGCCAAACAAGAAAAGTCTGTTGCGACTAACCCGAGCCGCGGACGGCGCGGCCCGCGGCTGGCCACTCGCGGACGCCGCTCTAGCAAGCCCGCAGCGACGGCCTCGGCACGCGCACACACTCGCCGCCACCTCCAGGGGCCTCGGCCTCACCCCCGCCCCCTCGACCACCTTCGTCCCGGCCACCCCAGCCACGGCCACAGCCCCAAATACAACATTTGCCATCGCCGCGCCCTCCGCCGCGCGGGCGGGCCATCTGGCGGCGCCGCCGGCAAGCTCCGCCGCGCGGCTGCGTCCGGGAAGTCCGGTGGGCGGCGCCCCAGCCGCTGCAGCGGATGCCCGCCAGGCCCGCCAGGCCACGGAGTCGGGTTTCGCAGAGCGTCTTTGAATGATGTTTCTTGTGCACCGGGACACCGGGATACGGAAACGTCATCAGCCCACGTCAGCGACGTCAGCGACCACATCCCGAGACAAGACTGCTCCACTCACATAGGACGGCTCAGATGCCCCGGAAACTAAGTGCCGGCTCAATTGGCGAGACGGGCGCTGCGCTGCGCCGTGACTGCGCGATTTCAATCCTTGATGACAGGGCTGAGGACGTTTGCAGGCTGATTCGAGCTCCATTGGGGCTTGGGGGTGCGAGAGGGACAGAACAGAGCGGCGGAACGGTGAGCGGAATCAGTCCGCAGTGCCGCCGCGGCACACGACTCATGGGCTCGGCGCACGCATAGCGCAAGTCAGGCGCAAGCGCGCTGCCATTGCACTGCAAGTGGAGGCTGCGTCGCGGCGAGGCAAGGCGGCTACCACCGGCAGGGCCTTGGCGGCCTTGGCGACGACGGTCCGACGCCGGCCGCTTTGAGCGCATGGGCCAGCGGGAACAGACGGAAGGAAGCTATACCCTTGTAAGCCCGCTCTGTCTCTCTCCCCTCTGCTCTCGCCCCCACGGGACGCGCCAGGAGTGCGAGAGAGACAGAGCGAATTGGGAACCAGCCTGCTAGCCCGGGGAGGGGAGCCAGCGAGAGCGGGGGAGACTCTCCCTGGCGCTGACTGTACCTAAAGGGTCCGCGCTCGCTGCTGCTCGCTGCTTCATATACGATAATTGAGCTGTGCCGTGCGCAGTGCTCCGAAGGGGGCGGGGCGGCGCGGCGGCGGGGCGCGGCGTTCGCCTCCCGTGTAAGAGAACCGTTGTTCGGAATCATGTTTACGATCGGAACCATGTTGCCGGCGAAAGGTCTGCACCGTTACAACAAAGGACGGAAAAAGTTCGTTAGCGACGTTCTCGCTGACCGCGAGGCACCGCGAGGCACCGCCAGGCACCGCGAAAGCACGTGGCCGAGGCGCCGCCCCTTCCGGGCCTTCCGGGCCTTCCGGGCAGGTCGCCTCTCTGACCCCTCGAAACCTCGAAGCGGTTCAGCCGTCCCGTCGACAGCCACCGACAACTACTGGTCCGGAGCAGCCCGTTTCGATGCGATGGCCGCGAGGAGAAGAAAAGGAAGCAAAATCCGAAAGTGGCAAGGACCTCATAACGTGACGAAAAGAGTTTGGCGGTTTGGCCGTGTCCGTGCAGGGTCAAAGGCCACGGGCCGTGCACCCGCACGAGAAAGTGGTGCCCAGCCACCCGTGCAGCGCTGCGCGGCCTGCGCGGCCAGCCAATCGAGGAGCACGGCCGGGATGACCTCCGCCGAGACTAGCCGCGACTGGCCGCGACGTGCCCCGAACTCGCCAAAGTAACTGACAGCGAAAGTGTCTCATCACGACCGGCCCCGCCGTCGCCACGTCAGCGCCGCATCCAGACACTCGGCCTCGACGGCCACCTGGGGTGCGCGGCCAGGCGCGCTGGAGAGAGCACTCTCGAGGGCTCTCTGGCGCGCACCCTGGACAATTCCGCCAGACAAGCTTACCTCGGACACGGTGGTCTCGTACGGCAGGTTGACGAAGTGGGGCGCGTTGTCGTTGATGTCCGAGACCCTGACGATGACGGGGATGGTGCGCTTCTTCTTCGTGGCCTTCACCGTGCAGATGAGCTGCGCAATGGAAGGGAGGCTCGTTTCAGAAGAGGCGGCATTGAACCCATTTCGAAAGCCACCGCCCTGGCGGAAGGAGGGCCACTCGGGAGCGGCGGGAGGAAAGGAAGCTCACCTGGAAGACGATGTGCGACAAGTTGGACGAGTCCCTGTCCAGCGGGTGCAGCAGCTGCAGCCGCTTGCCGTTGAGGATGAACATGGGCGACCCCTTGGGGAACACCAGGTCCAGGGCGATGTCAGAGAAGGGGTCGCCCACCACGGGCAGGTCGGCGGGGCTGGTCTGCTGGTTGATTTCTGCAATGAGGAAACTACGGCTTAGACGCATTCTAACTAACTATCAATCGCAATTATGTGTATGTAATCGCAAGAAAACGTGTGATACGTTTGAAGGTCTTACTACAGGCACCCCATAAAAATCTCCAAACACTAACTCAGCCTGACCGGGGTGTGTTTGCCATCTGTTTGAACGCGCTCTGCTGCCCGCCGAACGGCGCCATCATTTCGAGATCGAAAGCAAAGAGAGGACTTCCCTTAACGGCCGCCAAGCCGAGTGTGAAAACAGCGAAACAGCGGCCCTCCCTAACGGGATGCACAACGGTTGGATAATGTGCGGTGGCAGCACCGGGCAGCACCGGGCACCACAGGCCTAACGACGTCCATGCAATACGTCTGGATTACGCGAGGCTGCGCCTCGGCTGCGCCGCAGGCCGAACTGGGCTTCGTCGCTCTGTCTCTCTCGCACCCCGACGGTACTCCCCGCGAGAGCGAGAGAGACAGAGCGACGCGAGCCATGTTCGGAATCGGCCTCCGGCTTGGGAGCACCGCGATCCGTTCCTAATTCGACCGAAACGGGCGGCAGTGGGGCGGCGGGTCGAACTGCAGGCGGCATCAAATCGACCGTATTGACCGACCGATCGGCCGGCTGGCGCTGCGGTCAGCACACTCCTGGCGTGTTGCATCACGGACAGCCACTACACCGCCACTTAAAAAAAAAACCGCGCGATGCGATACTGCCAAGGTGCTTTTGGCGTGGGAGGAAGGCCGTTGCCGAGGATCGCACTCTTCCCTTCTTTTCTTTTCGAGTGTCTCTGCCCACGCGTCTCCGAGACTCCGAGACCGCAGCGTGCAGTCCGGCAGCCCGGCGCCATTTGCGGCCGCGCTGCGAGGCGAGGACCGTAAGGACTGGCCGGCGGACCGCGGCACCGCTTCTTGCCCCTTTCCAGTTTTATAATACGTATAAAAATGGGAGGACGCAAGGGCAAGACATCCGGGAAGGTCACCAGCCTCGTCTCTCCGTGGACCAGCCGCTTAGCCAGCAACAGCCGTCAGGGCCCTCCCACGCTGGCAACAGCTAGGTCCAGCACCCCAAGTTTCAACCAACCCCTTCCTTGTTCCCACACAAATCTCAAGCATTTCTCTTCCCACGACTTTCAAGACCAAAGTTTAAAAATTTCTACGGCCCAGAGACGTCCAAAGACCATTACGAGGGGGTATGCGCTCTCTGAACCTGTGTACCGACTATTACGCTATTACGCTCTATTACGCCACAAATTAATCGGAATTTAGCTAAAAACGGCCTAAAACACACCAAAATTGATAAATATTTGACAATTTCGGCTATTACGCGACTATTACGCGTATTATTACGCGTGCTATTACAGATAGACTGAACCGACTATTACGCGAGTGCATACCCCCTCGGACCATTAGGTTCAAAAATTTGATACAGGTGATCAAAAGTTGACCGATTTGTAACTCTCAGAAAATCTCCAAGAGAGTCCCACGCCCGTATTAGTACGTATTTTTGCGACTCTCCCAGACGTCTATAGTTATCCAGCGCCGCAATACTCACGAGGTCCCCTGCTCTCTTCGACGTCCAGGATGATGTTGGACTGGCCGGTCTCCACCTCGCATAGTCCTGCAACAGCAAAAGGCGCACTGATACACTGACGAAAAAAAAGAAAAAGAAAAATGAAGGATCCCATCGCGGTTCTGGTGGCGGCGGAGAAGAGGCAGTCCGCAGTAAATCTACGAGATAAGGGTGGCAAACCAGTGCGGGGCAATTACCACCCACATCAAGCACGATGATCAGCCAAGTTGGAAAAAGGGAAGAAAAAACTCAAACCCGAATACAATTAACGTCATTTCTGTTCGATTCTGAGACAGCGAACTTTTAGGTAGATTTTGCAAAACAGCCTGCCATGGAATCGACTGGCACACAGTAAATGTCTTACAGTGAAAGGCTGCACCAATATATTATGGTGGGGATTTTCTCCATAATACCAACGAAATTCATCAAAATATCTATAAGGTACGGTGAATTCTCAATGGTATGTTACGAAGTCAGCTGCACCACCATAATACTATGGAACATTTTCATCATAATATGGAGAATCTTCACCGTGTGTAGAACATTTAGAGTGCATAGTGCGACCTTCAAAGCACTAACCAGCTTTACTGAACCAGCCACTAAAAAAACCCAGAAAGCCACGCTCTTGTCTCACGCGATGTGGCGGCGTGGCGGCGCTCTTCCCGAAACGCCCTCGCCTGTCCGCGCGCTTCCTTTATTTGCCCCCCCCCCCTTTTTTTTCTCACGCCCCGCGCGACGCGGCGACTGGCGGCGACTGGCGGCGACTGGCGGCGACGCGGCGGGAAGGTGGATGAAATTGAATATGGCCGTCACGACGCGGTGCGGCACTGGCAAGCCTGGCCGGCCGGACCGCCGTCCTTGAGAACGCCACAACGCCCCATTTATCAAGGCGCGTCTTTTGAGTCTTTTGGCGCGGAAGGAGCCTCGGCCGCGATCAATCACAAACACGCTCCGCTCATTGCGAACGGCGCTCTCTCTCTCTCTCTCTCTCTCTCTCTCTCTCTCTCTCTCTCTCTCTCTCTCTCTCTCTCTCCTCCCTCCTCTCTCTCTCTCTCTCTCCTCTCTCTCTCTCTCTCTCTCTCTCTCCTCTCTCTCTTCTCTCTCTCCTCTCCCCCTCCCTCCTCTCTCGCCGTCTCTCTCTCTCTCTCTCTCTCTCTCTCTCTCTCGCACACACGGGGCGTCACGCAGGCGTGCGAGAGAGACAACCGCGCGAGATGCTGTTCGGTATCAGCCGGCAGCACTCGCCACAGGACCGCCCGCCCGGCACGGCGCGGTGGGTTTTGATATTAAAACCAGGCAGGATATGAATTAAAGTTTCTATGGTTTGAAATCAACCAACTGCCTCTGTCGAGGAAATTGGCCTTGTCGACGCACCGAGCACGGCGAAGGGGTGCGTTGCGCGCCGTCTCGGCCACAATGCGCAGTGCGCGGCGCTGGCGCACTGTAGGGCAGGGCTGCTCCAGAGGACGCGTATCGCGTAATTAAAACAAATAACGAGGTAGCCTCGCGCCGGGCCGCACGGCCGGGGCGCGCCCAGGACCACCCGGACGCTTTATTAACCAAGCACCCCGTAATGCCGTAATGCGTGCCGCATCAGCTCGTAAAGTGCAAACTCACCGCGGAGCCTGGCGGAGCCCCCGTAGTGGGGTGGCCCCGCTCCCATGTGGGCGTCCTAACTGCACTTCATGACCATGGGCTGGAATTTTTTTTGGTTGTTCTGGGGACCCACCTGAACACTTTTGCCCGCAGAGGCATTTCGATTTCGCGTGCAGAGCCAAGATGGCGGCCGTTTTAACGCAAAATTGAACACTTTTGACTTGGATGCGTTTGATCCTATGGCTTCCCTCATTCTTATCCGATTTTCACGATCCAAGAATTGATTCCCACCAAGTAAGGTCCAAGGAAGACGATGCCGTTGACAGATTCACGATATCTCGACAAGTTTTGGAGCAGTAACGTGTCAAAAGTGAAACATTGGCCCCGAAAAAAGGCAACATTATTTTTGAACCTTAATACACAGTTACCTGTTAACCGTATCAAAAAATTGCCTTCTCTGTTCGTTGTGCGTCCTTTCTAGACGAGTAATTTGAGCACAAACTCCGACCTGTGCGCCAAACCGTTTACGAGATACGCCCGTTCGAAGGGTGCCGTGTCGGCCCGGCGGAGGCCGCTCTGCAGGGACTTTCCCTAAGGGGCTGATAGGCAACCCGCTCGACGGCCGCTCCCGCCAGCCGCGAATCCAGCGCTAAACGACTGTTTTTCAACGCAAATGTGGCTTGTTTAGCCTAATTAGGCTAATCGTTCTCCGTCAACGGGTGGCTGGTTTTTGGGCCTTCCTTTGGGACACCTTTGTTACGGAGTGCGATTAGCCACCTTAGTTTGGGAGCGGTATTGCAGCAAAGTTTGTCGAAACGGTATCAAATGTGTAGAAATCGTCGTTTGGGCTGACTTTGGGAAGCCACTGCGTTTAATATAAGGCGGCTAATCGCTCTCCATCAACGGGTGGCTGGTCTTTGGGCCTTCCTTTAGAACACCTTTGTTACGCAGTGCGATTAGCCGCCTTAGTTTAGGAGCGGTATTGCAACAAAGTTTGTCGAAACGGCATCAAATGTGCAGAAATCGTCGTTTGGGCTGACTTTGGGCAGCCACTGCATCTGATCTAAGGCGGCTAATCGCTCTCCCTCAACGGGGTGCTGGTCTTTGGGCCTTCCTTTAGAACACCTTTGTTACGGAGTGCGATTAGCCACCTTAGTTTGGGAGCGGTATCGCAGCAAAGTTTGTCGAAACGGTATGAAATGTGTAGAAATCGTTGTTTGGGCTGACTTTGGGAAGCCACTGCGTTGAATCTAAGGCGGCTAATCGCTCTCCATCAACGGGTGGCTGGTCTTTGGACCTTTCTTTAGAACACCTTTGTTACGGAGTGCGATTAGCCGCCTTAGTTTAGGAGCGGTATTGCAACAAAGTTTGTCGAAACGGTATCAAATGTGCAGAAATCGTCGTTTGGGCTGACTTTGGGAAGCCACTGCGTCTGATCTAAGGCGGCTAATCGCTCTCTATCAACGGGTGGGTGGTCTTTGGGCCTTCTTTTAGAACACCTTTGTTACGGAGTGTGCTTAGCCGCCTTAGTTTGGGAGCTGTATCGCAGCAAAGTGGATCAAAACGATAAAATTTTACTTTACCCAAATATACCCTATAATACGGTAAAATACCGTATTTTACCGTTATTTACGTAACTTTGAATCTTACCGGTGTTTTTACATCCCTAATCTACTTTGACCCCAACTCAGGTTAAAATCCCGTCAGGGTTAAACATAGGCGAAATTCGCACATTTCTTTATGAACCTACGGGACGGGCCAAAGTTGCCGATGTATATCGCTACTTTTCCTGTTATTTCAGTATGGTCCCCTTTTAGATGAGGTTTCATGGGTTCATATGGAATACAAGCAAGTTCTAGAACGGTGGTGAAACAAACAAGGCTAAACAAGCCACATTTGCGTTGAAAAACAGTCGTTTAGCGCTGGATTCGCGGCTGGCGGGAGCGGCCGTCGAGCGGGTTGCCTATCAGCCCCTTAGGGAAAGTCCCTGCAGAGCGGCCTCCGCCGGGCCGACACGGCACCCTTCGAACGGGCGTATCTCGTAAACGGTTTGGCGCACAGGTCGGAATTTGTGCTCAAATTACTCGTCTAGAAAGGACGCACAACGAACAGAGAAGGCAATTTTTTGATACGGTTAACAGGTAACTGTGTATTAAGGTTCAAAAAAAATATTGCCTTTTTTCGGGGCCAATTTTTCACTTTTGACACGTTACTGCTCCAAAACTTTTCGAGATATCGTAAATCTGTCAACGGCATCGTCTTCCTTGGACCTTACTTGGTGGGAATCAATTCTTGGATCGTGAAAATCGGATAAGAATGCGGGAAGCCATAGGATCAAACGCATCCAAGTCAAAAGTGTTCAATTTTGCGTTAAAACGGCCGCCATCTTGGCTCTGCACGCGAAATCGAAATGCCTCTGCGGGCAAAAGTGTTCAGGTGGGTCCCCAGAACAACCAAAAAAAATTCCAGCCCATGGTCATGAAGTGCAGTTAGGATCGGCCAGGCCACCCCACTACCGGCGGCCACAGTGTGCACAGTGTGCTCGTCGCTCCGTCCCTCTCGCACGCTTACGGGCAGCTGCTACCGGCTGCAGCGCCACCTCCAGCCGCATGCCCTGCATGTGCTTTGGCCGAGTCGAAATGCACTAATGCGCGCTACAGACACACACACACACTCACACACACGCGCACTCACACACGGCCAGCGCCGTACGGCCGTCCTGCGGCATTCGCATACAATATCTTATTCACGTGTTCTCTCTATTATTTTGCACACCATTTGCTCTGCCGGTGCAGGCCGTGCAAGCCGTGCAGGCCGCTCGCTGCCGGGATGGCCCCGCGGTCCGCTACTGTGCGCCAGCCCCCCTGCGAGTGTGTGTGCGTGCGTGTGTGTGCGTGCGAGTGACCGAATGGGCAGTTACTCGCACAGTGTTACGGTGCCCAAGGCCCGCGCTGCCGGCGCTGCGCGCAAGGTACGGCATGCGAGGTGACTGCGCACAGTGCTTCGTCGCTGTCTCCCTCGCACTCCGGGGGTGCGTGCGCGAGAGAGACAGCGACGCCGAATCCTTCACGGCAGTGTGGCCTCCGCGCGGTGCTTCTAAACCCTTGTTCATGATGGCAAAAGGAAGCTAAAAGTGAGAGGAGCGGTCTTTTTGGGCACGGCTTCCTCTCTCTCTCTCGCCCCGCGTGGGGCGTTCTCCGCCGCTTTGGAAGATTGCGGCAAAAAGACGCAGGCCAACAGAGAGTCGTGTCGATTCGGAGCGCAGCGCCAATCGCAGCGCTCCAGTGGAGCCAATTCGTAATGGCCGAGTCCGGCCGAGGCGATCGAGAGCCTGGAGGGCCTGCAGGGCCTGCAGGGCCGGCCGGACCGCCGAGGTCGCGCCCCGCCCGTCTCGCGCTGTCTCGCTGTCTCTCTCACACCCGCGAGGGCGTTCCGTGAGGGTGCGAGAGAGACAGAGCGACGGCAGGACGGCAAGGAATCGCACTGCCGTCGTACAGCTAAACCACACGCGGCGCTTCAAAGTTCACACTGCAAAGTGGGGAGTATCTTTGGGAAGTCAGCTGCGTCGTGCGCTGTGCTCCTGCGGTGTTTTTCCTGTAAACTCGAAGCCGGCCGTGGCGAAGCACGTCGGCACGCTCCACTCACCTGGTTTGGCCGCGTCGCTGGGCCCGGCGCACACGGCCAGCAAGACCGCCAGCGCGGCGTACAGGGCGTACAGCGCCCCGGCGGGGGCGGGCGGGGCTGGCCTCATGCCTGCAACAGAGAGGAAAGGCAGGGGTCACGCTGTGCTCGGCTGTGCTGCGCTTTGCGAAACTGGTGCATTTTTCTCTCGCCCTGGTGCCGCCGCTGCTGCATGCACGACCGACTCGCCGTGTAATCGATGTCAAATCAATCAGCGATCGGGGTGCTGCCGAGCCGTTCGCCGTCTCTGTCGCACCCCCAGTGGGACGCCGCGTGGGCGCGCGTGGGTGCGGCAGAGAGAGCGAAATGGCTGGGCTGAGGGGGCGGCCGCGGCACGAACCCCGCGCCGGCGGCAGCCTCCAGGCCACTATAGGACTCTACCTCCAGGGTCGCCGCGCCGGCGCAAAACGTAGGGCTGGCGAGCGAGGCGAGACAATACTCGAAGCCGAATCCGTTTTCCCCGCTCTTCGTTCGGTCCGGCCGTTCGGCCAGAGAGACGACGATGGAGACGAAAGCGCCGAGTGAGACGAGCGAGAGCTGGCCGGGCGGTCGGCGGCCGAGGCACCGCCGAGGCACCGCGACCCCCACAATCGTCATCACCATCGTGAAGGCGGCCGTCGCGGCGTATCGCGCGCGTCATCGCAATGCGCATCGCGCCGCATCGCGCGGCCATTGGCGACAAAAGCAACGTCGGCGAGGCGGTACTCGCTGGCCGAGCCGTATCGGGGGAGGACGCCGACGACGCGGACGACGCGGACGCCGTGTCACCGCGCGGCCAGCCAGACAGATTGGCCGCCGCGATTTCAACAATTTATTCAGTTGGCAGCATTGTGTGGAAACGGCGACGTGCGCGGGAAGAAAGGGAGGCGCGGCCGGCCACCCTGCGCCGGCTGTCTCTCTCGCACTCATGGGGCGGACCGTCGGGGTGCGAGAGAGACAGAGCGACGAAACCGAGGTTCGGAGTCTGTGCATCTCTGGGCCGGCCCCCAAGACAGCGACCCGCAGGGGTCACTGCCAAGAGAGTTGAGCCCAGGGGTGGTGCTGCCCGGAGTCACCGCCGCCGCCTCGCCCCGTGTAGGGCAGCATGCTGTGCATGGAGTGCGCGGCCACGTAGAGATGTGCGAATCAGGTTTTTTCCCCTCGAATCGAATCGAATCGAATCATGAAAAAAAAATCCCCGAATCGAATCGAATCGAATCTGCATCTTTTTTCTCGAATCGAATCGAATCGAATTTTTGTCCCTGTTTTTCGAATCGAATCCGAATCTCAAGCAAAAATTTCATGATTTCGTTACGTTGTTGTTGGAGCAATACAGGAAGTGCGTTGTTCAATATCAGTAGTGCAAAACAAATATTAGTGGAACAAAAAATAATTATATTTTATTACAATGTAATATCACATAAAAATATTAGTATTTGGTAATTTCAGTCTAGAAGCTAGCTGGCGGGTGTGCAGCGCGCGATTCAAACGGGAGAGGAAAGGGACAAGATTCGAAGGCGAATTACCCTCGATTCGAATTTTTCGAATAGTTCGGATTTTAAGCAATTTTCCCGGGAGCGAATCGAATCGAATCAGAGCTGATTCGATTCGATTCGATTCGATTCCGAACCTTTCGCACATCTCTACGGCCACGGCGGTATCGAGGGCCGCGACCTGGGTCAACGTCGACAACGCCGTCGACCCGCATGCCGGGGACGGCGGGCGCGACGCGGGGCCTTGGCGGAGGATAACGGGGGGACGCCATGCAGAGCCAGACGGAGCCGGGCAGAGCCATGAGAACCGTGCCGCGAGGCCGCGGGCCGCGGGCGGGGACCGCGCACGGGGACACACGACACACGCGCAGCGCGCAGCGGGAAAACACAGAAACGGCGGGAAAAGTGCGGAACGGAAAGGAACGGACCCACTCGAGGGGAACCCCGCCGGCGTGGCGAGGTGCGCGTCGTCACGACAACGACGGCGTGGCGGTGTGGCGGCGCGCCCAACAAGGCCTTGCAGGCCGCCGAGCACGTCGAAGTCTCGTCCTTGATGAGGCATTCCTCGGTCCGCGGGGCTGCCGGCCGGCCGGCCAGCCAGCAAGGTGCCCCGTCACGACGCCGGCGGGGCGGGCAGGGCAGCGAGGCGGGCAGCGAGGAGAGCAGCGCCATGGCGGCGCGCAGCAACGGGAGCCGGTATTGTTTTCGGCCGCCGCACCAAATTAAATGTCACTCACAGAAAAGGCTGTGCTGGCGGAGGCGGCGGGAAAAAAGTGAATAAAGTGCTCGCGTCCTGTGCGGCCCGCTTCTTGGTCATTTCCTGGGCGACAGCGCGACAGCGACAACGCCGTGCAGTAACAGAGCGGAACAAACTGCCGCCAGCGCGGCAATGGCATCGGCAATGGCACGAATCCGGGAGGGGCGGCGCGGTGGTCGCCTTGGCGGTGCCCCGCTGGCTCCAGCTGCAGACGTATTCCGAGGGCTGTTCTCGTCGCTCTGTCTCCCCCGCACCTACACGGTCTTGAATGCGAGAGAGACAGAGCGACGAAAACCTCGGAATCGGTGCTGGCTCTGGCTCCGCGGTCGCCAGCTGCCGTCGAGGCCAGCGCCGCGGCGCCGCTCGGGGCACCCGCACTCACCCACGCCAGCAGTACCGGCACAACCAGCAGCAGCCCATGCTCGCAGTCTGCCAGCACGCAGGGCGACCCGCGGCGCGAGGCCTCTGGCGCGGCCTCCAGCTCGCAAGGTTGAGATCTGGTGCCAGTCCCACCACGCCCAGCCGGCGGGAACGCGTTTCGGCGAGGGGCAAACAACTTGAATTTAGGTGTACATTTTCCGTGAAATAACGTGAAATAACGGTGAAATAACGTGAAATAACGGTGAAATAACGGCGAAATAACGATGGAATAACGCCAAAATAAGCGTGAAATAGCGTGAAATAACGGTGAAATAGCGCGAAATAACGTGAAATAACACGAAATAACGCGAAATAACGTTGAAATACCCTTGAAATAACGTCGGAATAACAATGAAATAACGTGAAATAACGTGAATTTGAAATAACGGTGTACAAATTTTGACGAAGTTGTTTGCCCCTCGCGTTTCGGAAAAAAAGAAACGACGAGTGATGCGATATCTCATTAAATGCGAGTTACACCTTATTTTCGCAGTGTTGCTGCACCTCCTAAAAAAGACGACATCGTAAAATGACTTTAACCGCACACATTCGCGCACGCACGCACAGGGACACACCTTGGATGCGCTGCTGCCCAGCCCAGCCCGGCCCGGCAATGCCTGGCCATGCCCGTGTAAATGCAGTGGTGTGTAATGAGACAGGGCGGAATACCGTTCGCGGCTTCGCGCGTATCGCCGGCAGATCTGTACGGCAGCCAACACCACAGCAGCGAGGGAAGGGCGCTCCAAGCCCGAAGCCCCACGAAGGCTCGAACCGAACCGAACGGACTCGCTCATAAGATGTTCGCACGGGATACGAGGCGGCCGGGGTAAAACGCTGTGCAACGGCGGACGGATTAAAAAGGGACGCCGGGATGGCGAACGAGATGCAACGAGTCCAGGAATGAGGACGTGACTGAATGACTGCGAGGGGAGGGGAGGAGGGGAGGGGAGGGGGGAGGAGAGGGGAGGGGAGCGACATCGGCCAAACTGAGTCGACCCGGCCGGCCCGGCCAGAGCGCCTCACGAGCTCCGGGTAGGCAACTCGGCGCACGGACGCGTCCGGAGCGCGGCGGCGGTTGCCTACCCGGCACGGCTGTCGGCGGTGGGCTTGGCGAGCCGCTGTTGCCGCTGAACGATTCGTTGTTCCAGACAAAATAACACCGCCGGGCCATCAGTCTTGCGTTCCAGCGCCGCGCTAGTCTCCTTTTTTTGGCGCGTGCCGAGCCAAATCGACGGGCGGACGGGCGGACGAACACGCTCGCGGGGATGGGGCTGGCCGGCAGCCAGCGGTTCGCGGCTGGCTCTCTCTCTCTCACACTCGTGGGGCGTCCCGTGACGGTGCGAGCGAGACAGCGCGACGAAACGACTGCTCGGAGAGTGAGCCTGGTTCGGCGGCGAGGGGGTAAACACTTCAAGAAATCGTGTACAGACTACTCGGTATTACGCTGTATTACTGAGGTATTACACGTGTATTACGGCCTTAAAATGCAAAAATTTGGCACATTTGACCCGAAAAAGTTATTACGACCCCGTGTATTACGCGTAATACACGGTTTTTGTGTACAGGGTATTACGCGAGTGGTTACCCCCTCGTTCGGCGGGCACTCGACTCCAATATGCAATCAGGAGGCAATGTCACTGCATGGCATGGGCCTTCCAGCGAGCATCCAGGCGCAGCGCTGTGCCACCGCCTGCGACGACTTCGTCCGCCAGACATGCGCCAGACATGCGCGAGACGGAGGGAACTGGAGCCGTTTGTCGCGGCAGCCACCCAGCTAACCAAACCACGCGCGTGGCCCTGCATACACGCACGCACGCCCGCACAACGCGGAGGCGGCCGCGGCGGCATATCTCAGGCACCCAAAGGCACCCAGCAGGTACACTCTAAATGTAGGGTGCCCAGAAACTGGGCGTCTTTGTCGCCCACCCCACTTTTTAGGGTGCCAAATGTCGCTTAGTTTCTGGGCACCTTTGTCGCCCAGTCTCGGGGTGGACAAATCATACAGTAACCGGCCCTCTCTCATGGTAGAGCATGCACAGGTGTCTAGTTCCTGGGCGACTGAGGTGCCCAGATTCTGGGCACCTTTGGCACCTTAGTCGCTGCCGAGCCATGGGTGAAGGCAGGTTCCTGAATGGTTTGTCCACCCCGAGACTGGGCGACAAAGGTGCCCAGAAACTGGGCGACATTTGGCACCCTAAAAAGTGGGGCGGGCGACAAAGGCGCCCAGTTTCTGGGCACCCTACATTTAGAGTGTACCCCGTCGTCCTCGCAGGTCACTGCACCGCGGGGTACGCATGCACGCGAACACACACACACACACACACACACACACACACACACACCACACGCACGCACACACACACACACATACAGCGAGGCAGGCGCTGGGCTCGCTAACGACCCCGCTCCCCATTGTGGCACTGCAGTTCGATTGACTCGTTGGCCGCTTGGCCGCGAATCCAAAGTGACGCCAGTTTAGAGTGCAGCCCCGCCCCCGCCCCTCCCCGCGCGCCTGCCGCCTGGCCTGATCCTTTGTCGATCGCTGCAGCTTTTCCTGTTGTTGTTGCTGCTAACGTTGTTGTTGTTGTTGCTGATGCTGCTGTAGTCGTCGTCGTTGTTGTTGTTGTCGTCGTTGTGACGAGGCGGAGAGGCAGCAGCAGGAGAACAGCAGAGAAAGTGCGAAAGAGGAGGCATGGGTGTGGATTGAGACGTGGGGCGAAGGGCGCGGGGCGGGGAGGGGAAGGGCATCCTCTTGTCCGTGGGGCACGGCGGGCACGGCGGGCACCGGCAGGCACCGGCAGGCGGCGGGGAAAGCTCTTGCATGAGAGGAGCACATCGGGTTTGGAGTGGCAGGGCCGGGCAGGGCGCGGCGCGGCGCGGCGGCTCCAAGGCGCCGTAGGAATGTATGCCACTTCGAAGAGGGCGCCGCATACCCGGCCCTGCGGCCCAGCGGGGCTGGTTCCGCACGGCGCCTGCGTCGCTCCGCCCAGTCTGTCCGTCTCTCTCGCACTCCTGGAGCGTGTGGCGGGGTGCGGGGGAGACGGACGGGGCGACTGTCCGGGAGCGGCCCCCGCGGCCCCCGCGTCCTGGCAGCATGCCTGGCAAGTGGGCCAGAAGACTGGTGGAGGCGGCCAAAACTCTAGACGCGTTTTGAGCTCCAGAGTCGCTAAGCAGGACTCGAACCGAACCTGTGACCCCACCAATGGATTGCTCTCCGAACGAGGAATCCATTGGTGGGGTCACACGTTCGGTTCGAGCCCTATTTAGCGACTCTGGAGCTCAAAACGCGTCTAGAGTTTTGGCCGCCTCCACCGGTCTTCTGGCCCACTGTGCAGCACCACGCCGTGCCACGCAGTAGAGTTTGGGATCGGGCGGGCTAAGAATTTGCGGCTTGCCCGGGACTGTGCGGATGCAGCCCGTGAGTCTCGGAGACAGCTGGGCCACGCCAAACCACTGCGGGTGACGCGCGTTGCGACGCCGCCCAGCCAGCCGCCTCCGGCCGTTGCTCGAGCACACCGACAGGCGAGCCGACTGCGGCTGGCCGGCAACTCTCTCTCTTACTCCCATATGCAGGTAAAGGAGTGAGAGAGACAGGTGTCGGCTCCGGCCGGCACCGGCCTGACTCACTTGGCTCCCTTGGCTCTAGCCACTGACGAGCGCGACGCGTCGACTGGACGGCGACGCTGTTCGGGTGAGCCGGGCAAGGCCGGGCTAGGCGGCCCGACCCCGGGTCGGGCCGGGCCGGGCTAGCTGGCGAAGGCACCCGGGCAAGCGTTTCTGTCACTAGCCCGCCCGATCCCAAACACTACACGCAGAGCCGCTCCAGCAGGAAGAGGGCGGAAAGAGTCACCCGTCTCTTTCCTGGATCAGGCTGGAGAGGGTTTCATACAGAATTCAACTTTTTCTGTCCCTCTCCTTACGGAATTAAACAGAACAACGCCGAGAGCAAACGACATTACTGTCTTCACATTAATTTTTTTTGCGCTTTGATCCAGGACGGGCGACACCTGCACTGCAACAACACGGGCTGCGTCTACAACAACAGGACGGCGTGTCGCGCGCCCCGGCGCCGCCGCGGAGTGCCGCGGAGTGCCACGACGCGCCATGACGAGGGGGCGATATTTCACAGAACGGGCTGCAGCAGCGCGGCAAAGCAGCGGCCGTCCTTCTTTTGTGTCCAAAGAAATTGCGCAACGGCGGAGAAGGCTGAATTGCAGGCGGCTAGGGCCGGCAAGCGCCGACTGGGCTGCTAGCGGTGGCACAGTTAGGGTGAAGTACGACGGCGACGACGACGACGACGGTGTCTGCCGCATTTTTCTCGCGCCGCTTCTTTCCCGGCGGGTGGATAAACCTCCGCGCGACGGCGGCCAGGCACTGCCAGGCACTGCCAGGCGGCGCGATGACATTGCGGACACGTCCGAAAGCCGTTTTGCACATGCATCACCGGCGGGGCGGCGGCGGGGCGGCGCCGGGGCGGCCATGACACCTGCAGCGCGCCTCAGCGCCGCCGCCGCCTCGGCCGCAGCCAGCGCGGAGCAGCGCGATTTAGCGGCATCAGCGAGGAATGCGGCGGACAGGGTTATGGACTATGCAGGACACCTGCTGCAGCTGCGAGCCATAGCACACTCACACTCACTCACACACACCCACACTCACTCACACTCACACACACACGCACGCACACACACACACACACTTACGTGGAGAGGCGGCCAGTGGGCCCGTCCATACCCGTAACGGCACTCGCCTATACCAGCACACATACAGGGCCAGGCCGGCCGCCACGCCCGGCCACCCATGGGTACACACGGACACACGGATGCGTGCCGTGCCGCCAGCCCCGCCAGCCGGCCAGCCAGCCAGCCCGGTGGCGGTGGCATTGTGCTGGCCGGCGCTATAAATACGCCTCGCAAAACGGGCGACATCGGCATAAATATCGCCGCCCTGCCCGAGCAGGCAGGCTGGCAACCAGGCAGCGCGTGGCAGGCTGGCAGGCAGACAGGCAGCCAGCCAGGCAGGCAGGCAGGCAGGCAGGCGTGCAGGCAGGCAGCCCGTGGCAGGCTCGGCTGCCTGCTCGGGCGGGGCGGCGGCGCGCGCCTCGCCGCGCCTGCGGGGTAGGCACCACGCCTCTATCTCGAAACGGCCGGCATGCTGATTCCACACAGCGTTTTCAGTCGCGCTGTCTCTCTCCCACCGAAACGGAACACCCCATGAGGGCGAGAGAGAGAGAGAGAGAGAGAGAGAGAGAGAGAGAGAGAGAGAGAGAGAGAGAGAGAGAGAGAGAGAGAGAGAGAGAGAGAGAGAGAGAGAGAGAGAGAGAGCGAGCGAGCGACGAAAGCGCTGTGCTCCGGCGACGGCGACACCGCGCTTGAATGGGAACGGTTTTAGCCGCGCGCGACGGGGCCGGGAGGGTGGAGCGGAGGGAGCGGACACGAGTAAGCTTATTTACGACCGGCATGCATCGGGAGGCATCGCGAGGCTGCCTGCGGGGCTGCAGGGCCGGCCTGGCCTCCACGGCCTCGCCCACGCCGCCGCGCCGCCAGCCCCACATGGGCCATTGGGGCTTCCCTCCGGCGGCAGGCCTTGGCGTGAGGCGTGTGGCGGGGCGGGCCGTGGCAGTGGCCCTGACCTTCCCGACGGACCGCCTTTCTTTCCGCTCCCAGACTCACGGACCGCCGCTTCCGCCGGCCGACTCCCACACTGAAAAACATGAGCTCTCAATCCGAGAGCATTTGCCTCACACCGAGAGGATGCTCCCGGAATAGTTGCAAGCACCCCATACATGTGACGCAGCAAACGCAGCAAACCAGGATAATAAGCAGGGAGCGAGGTGGCGGTGCTCGGCTCGGCAAAGTTCGGTTCGGCGAAGTCCTGTCGAAGCCTGGAGCCCCGGCAGCGTGGCGCGGACTGGCCGCTTACAGATTAGTTGCAACGGAACACCGCTTCGCCAGGCCAGGCCAGGCCGCGCCGGGCTTGCCGGCGCTAGCGCGGGCGCTAGCGGCCACATGCATATCAGTGCGCCGTGCCGTGCCCTGCGCCCCCCACTGGAATGCCCTCATTTTATCGGCCCGTTTAAATCACGTACACTCCTCTGCAAACAGTGCGGTGCGGCCAGTCCTCCGCGGCTGGGCCGGGCCGGGCGGCGGGGCGGGGCGGGGCGGGGCGGGGCGGGGCGGGGCGGGGCGGGGCCTCCCGGGCCTCCCTTATCGCCTATGCAAACATAACGGCGAGGCGGTGCCGGGCGGTGCCGGGCGGTGCCATGGCGGCATGGCATGGTGGTATGGCGCACGCCGCGTGGACGGCGTGGACGGCGTGGACACCAGCACCGCACCAGCGCACCGGAACGCGACGCGACGGCCCTCGGCCCTTCCCTTCCCTTCCCTTCCCGGTCCAGCAGGCCCACGCTTCCGCCCGCCGGCGAGTCGCTCTGTCTCTCTCGCTCTCAGGGGGCGCCCCATCAAGGTGCGAGAGAGACAGAGCGTCGGAAACGACTCTCTGAATGAGCCTGCTGCACCGGCAGCGAGGGCGGCGAGGTGTCGCGTGGGACTCCATCATCATCAGCGAGCCCTTCCGGTCACCGTCCCACCGGACGTGTTTCGCTCGCCACTTTTTGGCGGCCCTACAGTGTACTTACCCTCTGCGCGGCCAGGGCGTGGCCCCGGCTGGTCGTCGGCGGTCCACCGCGCGTGGCTGGGCGGTCCCTCACATCCTGGCCATCCTCGTCGTCATCCTGCAACAGAAGAGACACGCCCGTCAGTCGTGCCGGCGGTGGCGGCGTGGCGATGCAGGGTGGTCCGCGCCTCGCCGTGCTGCCCTTGTGCGCCTTGTCCGCGGCGTAGGCAGTGCGGTAGTAGTACGACGGCGTCCGCACGCAAAAAAATAAAAGTCAGTCCAGAGCTAACTTTCTTAGTTGGCGTTTTTTAGCACCACAGCTAAAAAAATTGCAACTCTGCTAGCGACCTCTGCTGAGTAGCGCTGCTCCTTTAGCTGAGGGTCTGCCGGAGATCGGCTTTCCCGGAACCTATATTTCTGGAGGATTCAGCTACTTCAGTTTGCTGCAGTGCTAATCAATCGCTGCAAAAATGGGATTTACAATGCAGCAAAAATGTTTAGGAGATAGGGCAAGGCTAGGTTCGTTCCGTGGCGCTTCGCTCGCGCTGATGGCTAGCAGTGAGAGATGGGTTAGTCGGGGAACGGATGCTCCCCACGTTCTCACCGTGACATCACCCATGGTCAGCAATTTTTAAAGTCTCTTGAGACACGACTGTCCCGGAGGAGCCTTACGCCTCAGGACGACTGGTCCGTCTTAGACAGAAAATCCCGCACCTTCTAATAAATATCATAATCATGAAGAATTCTACAATGCTAATGCAGCTAGAGTTGCCACTAATCTCCGTTTTCTCCATAGCTAAATTTACCCAGCTAATAATTTTTAGCTGTGCAGCTAAAAATTTTGCTGGGCCTACAGAGCTAGATAAATTAGCACTGGTGCTAACTTTTTAGCTCTGAATCGATTTATTTTTTTGCGTGCGGGCGATAGCCATCGACATCTGGCGGAGGTCGCGTCATAAGAACACCGCGCGCCGCTGCCGCGCGCGTGATGGCTCGAGGTGAAGCAGTGTGTGCGCGCGGCCTGGGCGCGGCCGCGGGCGAGGGTGGGGCGCAGTGCGCGGCAAGTGCCTATGCGACCGAAAGAGCGCGCCCGCCGGGACTCGAACCCGCAACGATGCATGCGCGGACGCTCCGGGCGAAAAAGTCAAGTTTATTAGCCGGCATTGCCGTCCCGCACGAATGGATGTGTTATTGTGCAATTCGCAGTTACAGTGTACCCGAGATGTACGCGCGCGCGCGTGTGTGTGTGTGTGTGTGACCCCCATGTCGCACCGCTCGGGCCGACGCGCACGGGTTCTGGGCCGCTATGCCTCATCGCCTCTGCTCGCCTCGCCTCCTGCCCGCTGCCCATCATCGAGGCGAAGTGGAGGCTGCCGCCTTAAAAGGAGGCACAAGCCTCGCTGGAACCGCGCTACGGAACGTGCCTGCGCTCGCGCACGCGCGCGCGTGTGTCTATGTGTGTGTGTGTGTGTCGGAAGCGAACAAGTCCGGTTTGATTTCGCCTCAATCCTAATGAATGTCGATGCTGGCGTTGTGCAGATAATACGACCCGTTCCCATACGCTGCGAGTGGCGAGAGCAAAAACAGGAAAATTATGGCAACCTGTAAAGGGGTGCGTCAACAGGTGTCACGCGCATCCCCAAGCTAACTGTCAGCATGTCTGTCAGTCTGTCTTCCGTCTGTTCGCCCCGGGGGTGACTACGTGCCGGCCCACCCCCGCGACCCCGGTGGGGTTAGTGCCTCCGGATTGCCTGTGGCGATTGTCTTCGGTGCCTTCGCCAGGCAGGCAGCCAGGCGGCCGGACCGCGACACGCCGAGTGCTCCAATTAGCGAGGCAGGAATCTCTGCACCGCCGTGGCCGCGTCGCCGCGTCGCCGTTAGAGCCGCGCGGTGTCTCGGACGCCCTGCTTACGGACGGCCCAACAAAAACAATAACAACAAAAATCGATAAGGTCCTCGCTGAAGTCTGATCAACGCTGGACCAAAATGTTATTGTTTTTACTGCTCAATGGGTCATACAGTTAACCCCACCTCTCCCAAGACAGGCCCGAGAGGACGGTCCACAGTGGGCCAGAAGACCGGTGGAGGCAGCCACAAAATTCAAGACGCGTTTTGGGCTTCGGAGTCGCTATATGAGGCTCGAACCAAACGTGTGACCCCACCAATGGATTGCTCTCCGAGAGGAATCCATTGGTGGGGTCACACGCTCGGACTCTGGAGCTCAAAACGCGTCTAGAATTTTGGCCGCCCCACCGGTCTTCTGGCCCACTGTGCGGCCGGACCAGACGAGGCGCCGCCCGTTCCGGAGTTGCTGGAGCCTCCCCTGCCTCCAGCTGGAGGTGTCCGTCCGAGAGTCCGAGGATGTTGGCGCGCTTGCCGCGTTTGCCGCGTCCACCGCGCGGACGTTCCCCCGCGACTTTAATCTTTTCACTCCACTCCACCCGGCCTGCTCCAAGAGGCCTGCTCGGCGCGCCGCTCTCAACGCACGACTAATCCCGATGCTATCTCCGCACTCGGGACTCCAGAGACTCCAGACTCGTGCTCGCGGCGCGCTCCAGCTCCAGCAGTGCGGGGGCGGGCCAGCGTCTGTCTCTCTCGCACACCCAGGGCGGTGCCGTGAGTGCGAGCGAGACAGAGCGACGCAAACACTGTTCGGCGGAGCAGCGCTGGCCAGCCACGTCATTGGCCATGCCGCCGAGCTGGAGTCTCTGGAGTCGATGCCCCGCGCCGCGCAGCGATGCGCATGGCTCTTCTTGAGTCGCCGGGGCGTGGCCGCGTAGCCCAGCCCAGGCGTGGCCTTCGGTTTCGCCTTCTCTTCTCGCACTGATAGTTCCGACGCGGGGCGCCGCGCGGACGTTGCCGGACACGGAAAACCATGTAAACTGAAGACACAAAGTATTTCTCATAAACGAGAAAAAAAATGGATGAGAAACGTCCCGTCCACCTTCATGCATCGTTCGATCTCAAGTCGATGTTATTTTCTTCGCCGTTGCCGTTATTTCCATGAACAAAAAAAACAAACACCATTAAGCACGGCCTGGTGCAATTAAAGAAAAAACGTCGCGGAATGAGTCTGCTCGGCTGGTATCGCGGGTCCACGGCGTGGGTCCTTGCCCTCGCGCGAGGGCGGGGAGGGGGAGGAGGGGGAGGCGGGGATCGAAGCGAGACTCATCATCACCACGGCTTCGTTACCTTTGGGGAAATCATCATCAGCCCCTCGCCCCCTCGCCGCCACAGACGCTCTCTGGCACGGCGCGCTTCGCCTGCTTCGCGTGCTTTCCATAATCGTCCCGCCCGGCATCCTGCGCCATGAAATCACTAATGCTCGCACCGAGCGACACCGCCTGGCCATGGCCTGGCGCAGCCTCCTCTCTCACACTCGTCCGAGGAGCGCCAGGAGGAGTCACTAACTTGGGGCGGGCCATCCGCCATTCTGTCTCTCTCGCACTCACGGGGCGTTCCGTAAGGGTGCGAGAGAGTGCGAAGCGCTGTTCAGCCAGGAGGCCGCGAAGGGAGTCTCTGTCCTGCCACACCGCCCCACAGTGGGTCAGAAGACCGGTGGAGGCGGACAAAACTCTAGACGCGTTTTGAGCTCCAGTAGTCGCTGAACAGGACTCAAACGGGACGTGTGACCCCACCCATGGATTCCTCGTTCGGAGATCAATCCATTCGTGGGGTCACACGTTCGGTTCGAGTCCCATTTAGCAACGCTGTAGCTCAAAAAGCGTCTAGAGTTTTGTCCGCCTCCACCGGCCTTCTGGCCCACTGTGCGCCCCGCCCTGCTGGCCCTGCTGGTGGCGCTGATGGGGTCGTGCGGTCTGCCTGCCCGCTGCTCTGCTTCGTGCTTCGCCCCGCGTGCCCCGCGTGCTCGGAGTGCTCGGACTCATCACCGGCAACGGGGTCAGGCGAGGATTTGACGCGTGTTTTGCTGCGAGACAAAACTCGCTGCAGCCTTGGCCGCCCGAAATGGCGCCGGCCGCAGAGAGATTAGCCTGGCGCGGCCTGGCGCGGGTGGAGTGGAGAGGAGCAGGGAGTGAAAGCCGTTTAATAAACGGCTAGAGGCGGCTAGAGGCCTCCTCGGCCAGCGCAGCGCGGCGCGGCCGCGGCGTGCAGCCCGCCGGGTCATCAGGTCGCGGCGTCCAGGCGTCCCGGCACGAACGACAGCAAGTGGTCTAAGAAGGAGCCTGCGGCGGCGGCGGTCCGAAACGGGGACGGCGGGGCAGTGCCGAGCAGTGCGGCAACGCCAGGCAACGCCAGGCAACGCGTCTTCCAGGTCGCGGACGGTCCCGGACTCCGGGAGGTGGCCGTCGTGTCGCCGACGCCGTGCTCATTACGGACAATCACACTTTGGGCGGGCGGCGCGTTTTCGAGCCACGCGGCCACGCGCCGGAACCGCGTTTCCGAGAAAAACAAAAGAGAAAACGTGCACCTCGTGCCGCGCCCTGCCCGGCCTCGTTAAGGACGGTTTAGCAGCCGGTGTAACCCGAGACGAGCCCTGCGAGCTCGCTGTGCCGGCCGCGAGTGGACTGCGCGCTGCGCGCCGTGGGACTTCGATCTGCGCCTCGCCGCCGTCGCCATCGGCGTCCCGAGCCCCGCCCCGCCTTGAGTGTGTGAGGCCGGCTCGGCCTCAGCGCGACGGGGCCTTGGCCGGGGCACCGGCCGGGACAGGCCTTTTGTGCGCCGGGAGGCGAGGCAGGCACAAAATCCTACTCAGCGTGCTGATCGAATCCTTTCTAAACTGTAGTTAAAAGATACTTCGCAACTCCAGTTTTAACTGCTATTTTTAAAACGAGAGATGACCGTAGTCAAAACTGCAGATTCGACCGCAGTATTACAAAAAAACTACCAGTTTATTTGCAAGAAAACTGTAGTTAACTGTAGTTTAACTGTAGTTTCACTACAGTTAAACTGCTGTAATTACATAAGTCCAACTGCAGTCTAAGTATATATTTTTTTGTATGCAGCCTGCCATTTGTAACACTAGATAAATTTCAATTTGAGTCCAGATGCAGTACAGTTATTGTAGAGTTGTAGATGCATTTTAAAATTGTAGATTTGACTACAGTTCGTTCCACCCGGGTACATCTGGCACTCGGCCTCTGAAGTGCAGCCCTGGGTTT